AAAAAAAAAAAAAAAAAGAGCACAATTGAGAGCAGACGCACTGTACTTCACAGAATGATCTACTTTATTTATTGCTTATGTTGTCTTTTTAAGTATTGGAAGTTCATAACCTTGTTCTATTTCATTGAGTACTACTGTGCTGCTTCGTCTTGGCGCATATTTCGTAAAGACATAATCCTGCGTGTTAGTCACTTCCAGCGGTCTGTCTTCTACTCTTGGAAGCGATAAAGGTATAAGCTTTGGCCAATCTACAAACTCTGTACCATTTTGCAGAATATATGACCATGAAGCCAAAATAACGGCAAATAAAAATGATAGCAAAGTAATGTGTGCAAGAGAAGAGTTTATGCCAAAGGCATTGGGCGAAAATAGTACAAGATTGAAGAGGATCAGTGATAGAAGCAGATAAGTAGGTATAAACTTTACGTAGAGAGGCAGAATCTGTGTTTGAAAAGGGCTTATGAATTGATCACGGCTGGAAAGAGCAGGAATGACCTTGTATTTGCCAAGTATCAAGTCTATACCGTCTTGTCTCGATCCATCCATATAGTTATTCTTCACATAACGAATGATTGAATTAAAAAGATCATTCATCGCTCCGATGTATGTCCTCTTTCCAGTTCTAAAAGAGTAAAGCATAAGAATCTCGCTAAACTTGGTTACTGATATCCCCATACCTAGTAAAATCTGTCTTTAGGGCGCCTGACCCCGAGTAGGATAAGCTAAGTGCGTCTGCATTATCTGCCCATACTTTTGGATATTAAACAGGTTTTAAAATCGTATAAAGAACAAACATTCTCGACTTACCGTTCTTGAAGATAGTCATAAACTGTTCGTCATTTTCAATCACCTCAGTTGACTGCAATATCTTTACTTCTCTCAGCTGCTTATTCAATACCCATCTCCCAATGGTGCTTTGAACTACATTTGTCCTATCGAGACAATCCATACAGTTTGTTCTTATCACTGATGTTTGTTTCTGTCTTAGTACTGGTCCTGATGGATATGGCATGTCACATAAGCAAAATCTAACATACTCCATAAGTTCCTATCTCGCGTGTATATACACATCACTATTTTCTTACCCCTGTTGGCTTAAATCCTGTTCTAGCTCATCAATCAACAGCTGTACTCGATGCCAACGCATCTTTCTACATTCATAATGAAAATCAAAGTGTACGTATTTCAGATTCGGGTCATTCAGCTCCTCAATGATCCTAGCAAACACTTCTCCCACAGGGACTTCATAGCCCTTTCTGTTTACCAAGTTGATCAAAATCTGTGGACCATAATGCTTAACCTGCTGCTCAAAGTGGGTCCTGGATGCGTCGAGCACTTTCTCATCAGCAAGATTCGATTGTACCCAAAGTTGAGGCGTGTATCGCGTGTTGGGCACCTGGCGCCAGACAGCTGGTACTGAACCTCGAGTTTGTATATGCGATAAGCAAGCGGAATTAGTTTGTACCAATGATCCAGGCGAGTCACATAGTAAAAGCTGCTCTGTCTCTACAAAGTTGGACGCATGGCCTTCCTGATCAAGTCCTCTTGAAAAATAGCGCGTTCCAGCACGCTCTTGGCTTCGTCTGCTGATCAGAGCAAAGGTCACTGATCTACCACTAATAACTGATGGGTTTATAGAAATAACTAGGAAGAGAAGGGATGAATATAACAAGATACTAACTATACGTCTTTAACTTTACATCCTTGTATCACTGGCAAGACAAAAGAGTCAAACTAAATGATATGAGCTATATGAATTTTATGGGTCAATCAACTTACATCCAGTCCAGCCTTCATTTTTTGACTAGCATTGATCAATTTACTGCACAAGTGTCTATTCCAAAAGAATCGTGTATCCGCCTACATATATAGAATGAGCTTTTATTCATTTTCCTTCTATATTTTACCTTTCTCCAATCGTTACACCCATTTGCTACAAGCTCTACTTGCTTTTGAATAGAGAGGGTGATATTATACTTGTAAGAAAAATAGAATCCATTGCCCTTCAAGTGACTCTCCAATAAATGAATGTATCTTTGCTCATCCTCTAGTTGTCTATCTGACAAGATGCTCGCATTGCGCGAGATTGGTAGAATTTGGAAGCTGGTCGCTTGAAAAATTTCATTGTTTAGTAAAAGTGTGCCTATCTTTTGACAACCGGTAATGACGATCATGTATTCACCTATAAATTATAAGATGTCATGTATTCATCATTTTTATCGTCCTAAATATTACCAGCTAGCAACTCAATGAAACCAAGGATTCCATAGACGATAAATTGTTTTTGAATGCTGGCATTTCGAATAGGAGGTGCTATATATTTGTATATGTATATATTTATCGATGAGTTATAAATAAATAAAAAGACAAAGATTTAGTCACCATTCAGCTGCAACTGTCCTGAATCTCTATAGACGGTTAAAGTGTCTATTGAGTTTAAGGAAGAAGTAGTAGTTTTGGCAGGTTCATATAAAGGTGTAAAATGATAAACATCGTCTGTTATTCGTCTATATCATTTTCTTTTTAGCATTGATGTTGAATATACAATTATTGTATATATATATATATATATCTTACAACTCAAGTTGCTCAAAGACCATGTTTTTATTTTTATAAAAAGGGAAGGGAGCTTTTTGTTTAAAGATACAGAGAGATCCGCAACTCAGATAAGGACGCTACTGAGGTTTAAATTTATCATCAAGCTGCAATATGCCACTGCTGCTCTGTCTTCGTTGGTATATCTGATTTTGAGATGGATATCTTCCACTTCGCAAATAGATAGCATATCCCTCATATCTTTTTCTAGCATTACTACTCCATTCTCTGCTCACTTGAATAGAGGCTGTTCGTCTGGGTATATCTACATATGTATTATAGACTTGCTCATCTATACTGGATGCCTTTAACATCGTTCGGTGTTCACTCAGTAAATTCTTTTGAACATAATTTTGATATTGTTGGAATTCTGGAAAATGCTCAAAGTTGGAGCCACTGACTTGATTACCGTAGCTTGCTGTTAATTTTTCAGTGTTTTTAAATTGTTGAGCGTATCTAAAAAGATTTTGGTTATAATCCAACTAAAGAAAGAAAGAGACTAAATTGCTTACCTTTTATATTCCTTTAGTTCACTGTGAGTAATGCTGGGTTCGAGGCTACGTTGAACCATGCCTTCGATAGTCCAAGCAGGCTGCTTATCTTTCTCGTTCTTTTTCTCTTCGTCCACATCTGCCTTTTGTTCTTTTAATACTTTATTGTTGGCAGTAGATGTACTCTTGCTCATGGACCTAACCGTGAATGGACTCATTTCTGATGCTTCGGCTTTGGTCAGTCTATACATAACGTTCAGCTATTAGTAAAGATGAAAAAAGAGGAGATACATACTCTCTTGACTCATTTGAGTTTGCAATAAGCTTGAGTGGTCGATACTTCAATGTGCCATTCATATTGTATGTAAACAGCTTTTCCAAGCTAGTGTATTCCTTATGATTATAATACTCAACCCAATATCCTTGGTAAAGATCGCTTTCGTCTGGATCAGTCGCTGGTATACGAAATTCAATGGGTATCCTAAACAATTCTGGATCTTGATCATAGTGTTTTGTCTCTAGAACTTTCTTGTTATACCAGTTACGATAACTTTTTAAGAGAGTCTTTAGTATATCTTTTTATAAAATGACGCAATCTTACTCTCGCCTTGAGGCCTTTTTGAGTGGATGCTGATTATGTAAATGATAGTCTGAACTCAGCTCCCAAAGCATAGGTTGCCCATCTTTGGTTACAAAATTACCAAGAAACAGGTTGATCGCATCCTGTTTGTCGGCGTCTAAGAAAGAAAGGGGTTAGATATCAAGTTGTTTTTTCTGCTGTGTGAAAGCGTTGCCTGAAAATGCATTGGCGTAGTATCGTCTAATGGACTCAATCATGTCTCTGGGATGACTTGTCCATTGATTGATTTTTCTATATGTCTCCATCGTATTGACAAGATGAGATCCACCATACTGAAGAGCGATAGTATCGCCATGATCATGATACATTTCTGTAAAGATATTGACAGCATCTGAATCAAAATCGACCTTTGGAGACGCAATGACGCCTAATGCATACAGTTGGTATCCAAGAGCACATTTTCCCATTAAGAACTGTGCTGCATTTGTTCTGTCCAAGCAGTCAATACAGTTTGTTCGCAGTACTCCATTTTGCCTATATATTTTTTTTCTAAGTGTAGTTAGTAATCGAAGAGAAGGATTAGATAAGTAAATATAAAAATTACTTCTTGTAATCTGTATTGATGCCACTTCTAAAAAAGCTAGTTGATTGCATGACTTCTTCAGCTATTTTCTCCAAATAGCCAATGACGTCTTGATCATGACTAATATGATATAGTTGAACAACCCTCCTTGTCTTTGATATCAATGTTATTTTTTACCTTTTTGACGCTCTAGACATGTCCCAGGCTATGTATCTTATTTGTTTATCTTTTGGCAAAAATTGATTAAGATATGCTATCGCTTCTGCAAACTCTTTTCCAAGAATAGACTCTCTTTTTGTTTTTTCCTTTTGCTATAATTACCACAAATATATGAAGATTAGTCTTGATGGCTAAAGCCTATGTGTTTAATTTACTTTGATCAGATTCAGCACTATACACGGCGCACCATATCTTTGAAATAAATTTTCGAAATGCAGAGCTGCAGCAGAAAAGAAAGGATCAACTACGTTCACTGTAGTGATATAATTGGGGCTAAATGATCATTCTATATGTACATATAAATCTACATAACTTACATTCAATAGGAGGCTTAGGTGACATATTGGTTGTGTCTTGCGACCAAATCAAGGGAATAGAGCCTCTGTGTTGAACATAGGATGTATAGCGAGTGTTTCCAAATAGACAATCCGTTGAATGAAATGATGTGGTTACCATATCTGTTACTATCTGCTCGGTCTCTACATCATTGGCTACAAAGCCCTATTATTTTTAGTCAATATAAAAACAGTGGAAAAAAGTATGTGCACATGTACCTTGTCATTCACACCTCGCTTCAAAAATCTGGCACCAGCAAAATACCTTGATCGTCTAGCAATCAACGTAACCAGTATATTTCTTCCAAATACAGATATTTCTATAATACATGAGAGAATCTGCAGATATACACATTCTAAACTTACTTGCTTGATCCACAAAACCATAGATCAATGGTAGAATCCAGCCTGATTTACTATTTAGGTTTTTAAATCCAGAACTCAATAGATAATGATTCCAAACAAACATATCGTTGAGCTGCAACCCTTGAGACTTTTTTGTCCCACTGGTATCCAACGGCGGCTGAGTTAAGTTGTTTTGAAGTGAGTTGGTAAGGTCATATGTGTATGAAAAGTAAAAGTTTTTAGCCAAATCAATATTTTGAAATGTTGTGATATATCGAGCCTCGTCTGAATTCTTATCCAACTTGACCTGTGGACCTATAGGCACAAGACGAGTCTTGTCGATATGGTAAATATAATGACCTCCGAGTACAGCCACCTGTCTTCGTTTGGTAATAAAGATAATGTACCATCCTTGTGTAAACCTGATAAAGCCAATGACGCCATATATTTCCATAGTCGAAAGCTGTAGACCTCCAACTGAGAGGTTTCCGTCCTCAATCATTTTTAAGAGCCGTGTCTTTTCTTGCTCTGTATAAAGTACGTCATCCTCAATCACTGTCAGCTCATTAGGGTTCGTTCGGTCAATCTGTAATACTCGGTAACGCTGCTTGGCCTGATTGGTGCCCACGACATAATATCTCTGTAAGTATAAAAAAAGGGAGTGTCAATATATGTTGTTTATTTGCCAAGTGATAAGAAAAGGGTGTGTTACTTACAGTCTTTGTCTCATAAAGCTGAAAGGAACTTAGGGTAAACCGAGGATGTGCCCATTTCAGGGTTGGCTTTTTGGCCGACGCTTCTTGTGACAAGTCAGGTGTAGCAGATTCCAAGATTTGCTTTTGATTGAAATCAACATAATTGTCTTGTAAACAATCAGGATTATCTGTTAATATTTGAGCATCTTGACTCATTGGAAAAAAAGACATGAGAGTAAAAAGAAAAACAAGACTTAATAAACAAAATCCAAAGATTTTCCTTTATGGTTCTCTCGTTTATTTAAAAGAAAAAAATCAGAATACAAGCTTATCTTTATACTTCTCTTACAACCATCTTCTTTACTTTGATTCTTCGGGCTCCTCAGCCTTGGCTTCAGGCTTATCAGATTCTATAATAAATAGTTAGTATTGCACAAGAACACGCACACACAAAAGAACTTCTTACCGTCTTGTAAGTCAGAAGTCCATAATGTTAAGTTGTCTCTTAACAATTGCATGATAAGAGTAGAGTCCTTGTATGATTCTTCCGAGAGGGTATCAAGTTCTGCAATGGCATCATCAAAAGCTTGCTTGGCCAAGTGACAGGCACGGTCGGGAGAGTTGAGAATTTCATAGTAAAAGACAGAGAAGTTCAAAGCCAAACCTAAGCGGATAGGTTGAGTGGGTGCTAATTCAGTTTGCGCGATATCAGTAGCACTCTTGTAGGCTTCATGGGCTTCAGTAGCAGCTTCTTTGCGGGCTTCACCTGTCAAGAATTCAGCAAGGTAACGGTAGTAGTCACCCTTCATCTTGTAGTAAAAGACCTTGGATTCGCCACCTTGAGCAACGGGAATCAAGTTTTCGTTCAAGACAGACAAGATATCGTTACAGACATCTCTGAGTTCATTCTCAATCTTTTGGCGGTAAGCTTTGATCTTGCTGACTTGCTCGGTGTTACCCTTACTTTCTTCCTTTTGTTCAATAGAAGAGACAATTCTCCAGGAAGCACGACGAGAACCAATAACGTTCTTGTAGGCAACAGACAAGAGGTTACGTTCTTCAACACTAAGTTCATTGCCCATCTATGGATAAAGATGAGTCACAACTGTTTGACGTTTGTCAGCTGACTTTCTTACCTTGGCCACTTCCTTGGTGAACTGGACCATTTCTATTTTTGTATGGAATTAGAAAAAGCTTTCCCTTAACATCTCTCTTCTATAATTTTACCGTCATAACGCTCGGCTTGCTCGGCGAGCTTAGCCATGTAAACATTATTATCGCGTTCCTACAGAATAAAAAGATAAAGAATTAGCAAGAAAAAGTTTTTATATTCATCATCTCTAATACAAGAGAGTGCCTTCTATTCACGCTGAACTCTTGTAAAGAGGAGAGAAAAGAAAGGGTGTAAAGGGTGTAAAAAAGAGAGAGCAAAAGCTAGCAAGAAATAAAGAAAGAGAGGAAGTGTATACTTACAGTAGACATTGTTCTAATTAATTCAATAAGATTAAACTGTGGTTTTTCTTTTTCTTTCTTTCACAAAAAAAAAAATCAAAAATTATGGTTTCGTCATCGCAGCATATTAAAGCTCAGAATAATTTGTTACAAAACATATTGCAGTCACGAAATGTCATCTAGGCCTCCTTTTAGGTACAGACTTTGATTCGTCTAATTTTTTATGTAAAATAAATGTCCCCCTTTTCCCTTCCTTTGCTCTCTTCTTTCTTTACTAATAATCACAAAATTAAGTTCATTTTACGTATCTTAATATATAATAGACGTGGTTGGACCAGTTCTGTCAAAGATAGTCAGCAAATAACAATTATTCATTGGTAATCTATGACGTGATTAATAATACCCTTGCGACGCTAATTTGTTACGGACGCATTTTCCCTTAACTGAGGAACGACGCACTTATACAAGCCATAGCAATGTTTTGGTCATATTAATTTGCTGAAAAAGGAAAACTTATTATGTGGGATGCCCATGGAGCAGCATGCTATAGATGTGAGTTACATTGGTCTTATATCTTGAGTGATTAGATCTACAGTAGATTAGAAGATGATGCCTACCAATTTACTGAGATGATAGCTTCCACTAAACCAGAAATAAAGACGTGATAAGGTGTATATAAAAGCTTTCCTTTTCTTACATTTTGAACAAGTGGCGTATGGTGAACTATAAATGATGCTATTTTGTTATGTAACCTAGCCAGCCACGAGCCTTTCTTGTAAACTCAGATTCATAGTTCCTATTCTTTTATTAACCTTTATTTTTCCTTGAAAGTTTTATTATATTCAGTATTTTGACCAGACGCGTCGTATCCAAACACACATCTCAGGCACATTACTCATAAAAGACTGCATTAGCTTTCATACTTGGCTTTAAGCAGACTGTTAGATCTCTATGTGCTACATGGTCACTAGTACAAACAAGACTAAACTTACAGAACTTGCAAGTGTATCAAAGAGTGTTGTATTATAAAATCAGAATCATTGTGTTTGCTGTTAAGAGCAGATATATGGAGTGTATCAAATTTGGTTTAGAATGTTTATGAAACCACTGTCATAAATGCTCTCTTTCTTTTTCTCTCTATTCTACTGTTGTCTATGATTAAAGGAATCTATGCATATAATGGGCGTTTTGGATCAATTCCCTGTCTGTATGTTCATTCTGACATCTCAGTCTCTGTTTGAAACAGTTTCAAGTCATACAGTCCCCTTGATATCCATTTCCAAGCAACTGTTGATACTACTGTTTTTGGCCTCAATACATCATTGCTTTTTTTATTGTCTAAAAGGATAAAATAACAGCTGTTGTAAAACAATCCATTTTCCCAAACACAAAACAAATGATGCTGTCTTAACGGTAAGACTTTTGGTAACGGGCACGGGCACCAGGACCGGCAAACTATAGACGATGTGAGTAAGGTATTTTTCGTTTGTTTACCCTTTACCTTCTTGGGTTCACAACGACGAGGATCGGCAACAAGAAGAGTACGGTCATATTGAACGAGGATCTCCTTGATTTCCTTCTTGGCAGCTTCATCAACGTACTTTTGGTAGAAGGCAACAATAGCCTTAGCAAGAGCTTGACGGATAGCATAAACTTGAGAAACGTGACCACCACCGTGGGTACGGATTCTGATGTCAACGTTGGCGAAACGTTCTTCACCCAAGAGAAGGATGACTTCGTAAACCTTGAACTTTAAGATCTCAGGTTCAAGAAGCTCAAGGGGAGAACCGTTAATACGAATGAGACCACGTCCACGCTTGCAGTGAGCAACAGCAGTGGCGGTTTTCTATATAATATTCATTTAATATCTTTCTTTCTGTCATTGTTGCTTTTGTGTGTATAGCTGGGTGGGTGTATAATAGTATCTATCTGTCTGTCATTACCTTACGACCAAAGGTTTGGACAGCTTCCATATTGGTACTATATGTAATAATGTCGATGAGTGATGCTATATGTCTGGCGGATGGATGGATGGATGCATACCTTTGGATAGAGAGGGGTGGGACACACAAATTCTGTCTCGCCCTCTTCGTCTCTATTCTCTCCCTCTCTCCCTCTCGTTCTTTGCTGTCTCCCCCACTGTGTGGTGAATAACAAAAACAATTCCCGCCCGGACAGGTAAAACGAGTCCGGTCCGATATTGTTCCTCTAAGAAGCTCATGAAGTTACCAACTAAGTGACATACAGACAATAGACCTGACTTCCCTAATGATTTAACCATGAGCTTTATGAATTTCAGAGCTATACTTGTATTAAATGGTGATATACCTTGTCCTTGGCGCAGAAATGAGAAAGTCTAAATGAATTAAAACATCCTTGTATGTACCTTTTAGAATAACTTTGCAAGTCTAAACTTGTTGCACGGACATGCCTCACAACACTAGTACTTTCCCCTTTTTTCATTTTGAAGACATGGCATCAATACTTGATATATTTTTACACCATTTGGAATGAAGATTCTTTAAATCAAAGTTACTGAAAATGGTGCGTGGCTTAGGAAGTCTATTACCATGTCTCTCTTTCTCATTCTTTGTCAACATTTGCTATGGAAAACTCTAAATCTCACATCCGATCATTATATACCATATGTCTTGAGTACATTGTAAACCACAACGAATCACTGACAGCACTAGATCATGTTCCCTTTCAACCATTTGCATCTGACATAATTCACGGCATATTCCAATCAAAAAAACAGCTTGAAAAAACCACCTTATCTATCTTTGGTAAGACCTATGGTCAATACCTACTGAGGCATACTCCATCCGAATGGACAAGTATTCAATTTTCTTACTTTAAACTGGCTGGCTCCAGTGCAGTCGTACTCGGATTTATCTCACAGCACTTTCCGATGTTTGTTACGCGATTAGACATGAGTTACACTGATATTCAAGACAAGCATATATCCTTGATCAACGGATTTAAGCATCTTTCAGTACTAAACCTTCGCGGCGCAAGGCTCTTGTCAGATAGTGCTGTATCTGACCTATCAGCGATGGCGATATACAAAGGACTACCAGCGCTTGAAGAGATCTCTTTGTCCGATATTCCATCCATAACAGATAAATCATTAAAACATATCGGCAAGATGGCATCACTATGCTACATTGATTTGACAGGCACATCCGTGACAGGGCAAGTGGCCGACATGTACTTGATAAAGCTAGGATTTACGAAAACAGATGAGAAAAGACACCAGCAGCAGTCTCCTCCTTGTGTTAAGCTTCATCAGGATATCCTTGACATGGTTCTGGCGAGTACAGATTTTGTGAGAGGGGTCAACATGTCAATGAAGCCTAGTACATCATTATCAAGAAACTTGTGTTATAAAAGGACTCAAGCTCGCGTAGAACAAGTCCAAAAAAGAAAACTGAGTTACGATGATAACAAAAGAAAGAAAGTGAGGAACGAATTGAACCTTGACGTTTATTTTGATTCCATTGTCAATGAATTTTTACAAGACTAGAATAAACTGCTTGAAAAGCTTCAATGACTTTAATCTTTTGCGCATATTCGGCAATTCATGTAAAATAGAGTATAACGCAAAGCATACAGGGACGCTGCAAGGGCTTTGCATAGTAAAGCACTCAATGATAAACAAAAGAGCTCGTTTAAAAAAAAAAAAGAAAGACGACCTTTGTTTCTCCTTTTTCTCTTTTTTTTTTTTCTTTCTAATTTTAACTTTATTAAAAAGTATAAAACACAAATAAGCATCAATGTCCCATTCTACTGTTGTTGAAGCAGATGATGCAACTATGCTCTTGTCTAAGAGGGAATTTCACAATGATAAAGATTCAACCTACTGGCTACCAAAGGATAAAGAAGAGAAGAATAGATTGATAAGGGTAGGAGATCAGTCCTTTTTATTTTATGCAGAAGCAAGGAAGCTTATCTTGAAGTAGCAACACTATGTTATAAAGGGTATTTTTGAAGGGTAAATTGCAATTGAACCTATTGAAATATTGTCCTTTTAATTATGATTGATAGAAACTTCCTCAAGAGCATTGGGGAAACCCTTAATTTTAAAAAGGATATCTCTATTCTTGACGTTGGATGCGGGTCAGGCATTTGGATCATGGTAAGGAAGAAAGTTAACCTTTACAATCTTTGTGACATAATGATACATTTTTTCCACAGGACATGATTAAAGATTACCCCAACTGTTCCTACCATGGATGTGATATTGTTGACTTTACCCAGGGGACTATCAGCTCCAGTCAGTTTACCTTTAATTATGGAAATGTTGCAAAGGGTCTCCCATATCCTGACAACTCATTTGACTTTGTGCATATGAGATTACTTGTATTGGCGCTTCGTGAGGAAGAATGGCCGATTGCCATTAGGGAATTGCTGCGTGTCACTAAACCAGGAAGAATGATACAACTGCTAGAGATAGACCATAAAGTAATATGATGTTGAATATAGTAGGATGACTAGTAACAGACGTATCTTAGTTGACAGGAAATGTCATGGTACAAGCGTTTTTAGCTTCAAGTAATATATTCTAAATCATTTGTACATCATTATATTGACCTCTTCTATAGTTCATGCAGCTTGCAGGTCAAGGGGACAAAACGCCTGCATAGCCACTGAGCTGAAGAAGATTGTTTCTGTGATTAACAATGCCAAAATAGTTCAAGTAGACTATATAATAACTGATTTATGTAAACCTCTTTGCTTTCCTTTTTTTTTCTTTTTTCTAAGTAGAAGTCGCTAATGCATATTTGTTTATTTAATGTTAGCCACTGAAGAAAGTAGAAAAAAGAACATGCATTGGATTTGGGAAGATGTCTTAAAAAGCATGCTACCTACTATTGGGCCACAGCTAGGTCTCTACGATAAACCATCTCAATTAGAATATGTTGAAGAATTTAAACGTAGTTTGGCCATACCAGAAACCTATTTCTGTATTAGTTCATTAGCAATACAAAAAATCTAACCTGTATTTAAAGGAGAAGTTCTTACCTGTATGTATGTGTTCACTATGCCAGCAAAATAAAGAAGGGATTAAGGTTGTCATTAAAGGAGAGGAAAATATATTTTTAAGAGTGGCTAAGAGTATGCTGTAACTGGTTTATATTACACACTAAACATACAAGTTCCATTTGGAAATACATGTTTTCTTTTTACAAATACATAATGTAATTATGGTCTATTCTATTTCAATGTGCTGCTCCTTACATTATGTACTAATCTTATGCATAAAGCAAACAAAAGTTTTCAAGTGTATATGATATATCGTTTATTCATAAATGAAGTTGGCCCAGCCGGAGAATAAATATGAGAATGGATGTGTTATGTCAATGGATCAATGTTGTATAAGGTATATAGCTGCGTTTAAAGACCTCCACCAGAACGACCGACGTCAACAAGACCAAGGCCATTATTGACTTTCTTCCATTTCTTTTGGAGTGCTTCATCAAGTGACGTATGGCTTTTCATGTATTCGATATGAGCTTCGGAAGGCTTTGAAGTAGATCTAACGTAGGTGGCATAACCAGCAAAGGAAGTAACAGGAACAAGGACAATAGAAGCAGAGCGAGGAATAGCAGCAATCATTATTTTAATTTGTTTTTATTTGAAGAAGTAAAGAAAAAGAGAATAAAATACAGCGCTATTTATACTTTATCTCAGCTTCCTGTTTTGTGTATTCATGTTTTGATATATAGGCAGAGTTCCCCTTAATATTGTTATTGATATGCCACATCCTGCTATGACGTATCTCTGTCCAATCGATATGAGCCTTAATCCATTGTATTAGTCGGAGTAATAACTGATATATTCTGCAAAAAGCTTATCATCATTTCCTATCACGACAATTAAGGAAGTACCAAAATGGCTCCGATCAATAGGTATTTTAACTAATTTAGTGATTAAGCTAAAAGAGGTTAAAACAAGTAAAACAAAATGAGCTCATCAAGGATTGAAAAATGGTGTTTATCTGAATTTGAATATTATCGTTTTAGTCTATATTGGCATTGCTGACCTTGGTAGGTCAAGCCTATTTGAATGGAAGGGCACGCATCAGATTAAGTTTGAGTAATTCTTTTGAATTTTCTATGAGGCATAAAAAAAAAGAAAAGGAATTCGAATGGCTCTGTGGCATCAAAGATGTGCTTGTATGTTTATAAAACCACTGATTTAATAAAGTTGCCATTTATTCTTTAATATTGCTTTCTCTTAGTGAATCATTGCCACTTTTGCGTGAATTCCAGCTGTTTGTGATAGTAAGCAGAATGCAATACAAACTTAGGCCCACTTTAAGGAACCATGCACCATTACGAATTATTTATCCATTAAAGTACAACCAAGAAACAAAAAATGGCTCTAAAAGTTGAATAAAGATGAATAATCAGGCAGTCATCTCTTGATTGATCCTATTTGAGTAAACGTAAAATTCTCAATGGTGATCTATTAAATATTTGACCTCATAACCATCTGTTTACACACAATCATCACACTTGAGCTTCATACATAAGGGGACAGTTTAAAACGTCATCTGTTAAAAATATGATACTCTCAGCTTTTAGGTTTATGCTAAACTTTATTCTACAAACATATTAAGCACTATAAGAGGAGTATTTGGTGTAAGTTGCGCAATAGACCTTTTTGGCAGTGATTGCTTTGATAAAGAACGATTTCTCAGCCCAAAGAATAGAAGCATCCTTTGAACCATTTACTAATGCGCAAGTCAAAGAATGAGTGTGTGTATAGTTTATAAAGCAAATAGTAAACCTTTCCAAAAAAGCGCTAATATGTCGACCATGATTAAAGCGTGTACCTATCTGCTTATAAAACAGCATCCTTTTTCAATCCAAGTTATCACTCCTTTCTTCCTTCTTTTTTTGATTATTTCGGTAGATTCCGTAAGTTATCTTGTCGGGTTTTCTTGCTTAATTATGCTTGTACACGATCCAAACCTAATATCAGGGTCCACTTGCTGTTTTTGAATGTGCCTTTCCCATGGCCCCACGAGATTTAAATTCAGACTTTTAACCCAGATGAGCAAATAGCAGTTTATTTTGAGATATGGTCAAATGCAGCTGTGGGCATACCTCTAAATAACAAGAGTAAAGATATACTATCTGAAACAAAACTTTCATACTATTCTCTATTTGAAATTATGGATCGAGCAGCTGAGGTTTCTTCGTTTTGCCATGCAAGTAAACTGTTTTGCCGATTTCATCAGTTAAACTGGCTTTATTGTGGTATTTTCGGTGCTTGTAAGAATCAATAACTAACAACTATCAAAATTGAAGAGAAACTAATAGAATAGGAAACAGGGCAAGATAGTGCATTCTGGCTGTAATCAGGCTGAAAGTAAATATACAGATCAAGCAATATGAAGATAGTCAGTGATCAAACACGATGGTAGGTTCAAAAAGGCAAACGATATAAATTAAAATCCTTCTTTATTAGAGAACTTTAATTATGCCGAAAGAAGATCTGGCTTAAGGAAGTGCTGAGAGTATTTCTATTTATACTATTTGTCGTATGAGATTACTAATAAATCTATATTCTAAGAATGAACAGTACAAAGAGATTGACAACAACACATGTTATATAACGCAATATGCTCAATTCTTATTGATTGTGATTAATTCATGTACTAGTTCTGTTTTCATATAAAATGATGCTATTTGTTTAATGAGCTTTCATTTTGATCTTTGTAAAGAGATTATATAGAGACTCGTTGCTTATACTTCTCTCGTAATTTACATTGTTCTGATCCATACTTCAGACTTCCAATCACACAGTTGCCGAAGCGGAAGATGAAGATGAGATGGCCACCTAACTATTAACCTTCAGCTGGCTTTCCTCGCTGTTCATTTCTACTCAAAATAAGCAGAAAGAATGAGTTGACGGCGTTCAAGGGTCTAGAAAAATAGGAACTAAAACGGCCTTTATTATATAGTATCTGAAAATAAAGTGTGGCACGAAAGGGTCTTTACCGCCTCCTGTCGTATTCTACGTTGAATAAGGGTCAATAAGTAGTGTCTGCATATCAATAACAAAAGCTCAGTAACATAAACTGAACAATCACAACAATAGCAACGTTGGCGAAACGAAGACAATGGATGTGGTTAAAACCCTCCGCGACGCGCTTTATTTTCAGTGTTATATATAATTAAATAAAATTTTCATTATATTCCCTTTATACCTTGAAGGCCGCGCTCAAGCTTTTTATGATTGAAGACATGAGGGGCGAGGATTTCTTTTTACTTGCAGTTCATTAGCCAACTGAAAAAACTTGGGAAGATAACCACATCCTCTGTCTTTGTTGCACCAACGATACTATTGTCGGTTTTGAAAGCCATATTTTGTCAGTTTTTCATACAAGAATGTCGTTTTTTAAAAAAAGATATTTATTTAAATAAAATACATTCTTCTTTTGCCACAATTACACTGGAACCTCTTGTCATAATGAGCGTTCAACTTTTGTACGAAGATGGAAAGGGAGCTGCTGTTGATGAGTATGGCAGGTCCGAGCCTATGAATAATATTGTTGATGCGGAGCAGTATCGTCTTGAAACATTGAGCTCTTATACATAGTATTTGTCTAAACTACGTCAAGAAGATGAGATAGAGGCGATGCAGATAGAAGGTAGTGTGAAGCCTGAAACTGATGTTGCAATGAGAGAAACATCGATCAAGCGAAATTATACGCTATACACTAATCAGGACAAAGTGAGGTTCTTCAAGCTATTGTTTGAAAAGCGTCTGAACGCTTCTGCCGTCGCAAAACACCTGGGAATACACGTCCGTATGGCACAAAGATGGGCGAAACAGTATGACAGCAGCCATAATAGCATCTTCGAGAAACGTCAGAAGACTGGTCGACCACGTCTTCTCAATGAGGAGCATAAAAAGATTATTCTATATTGCATTGATGAGAACCCATCAACCGTCTTTGGACAGGTGATGGAACAAGTGAGGCAGGTATCCAAGAGCACTGTGCACGATTTTGTAAGAAAACATTGCAATCCATCTCTTAAAAGAGCTCAGTTTAAACCTGTAGACAGGAACAGTGAAGAAAAAATCAAAGAGTACCTGGACTGGATTCGTAAATGAGAGAAAACTGACATGGGCTTTATGAGAAACTGCGTCTTTCTAGATGAATCTGTCTTTCATATTAACATGAAACGTAGTACGACCTGGTCAAAGAAAGGCTCACCCGCAGTGCCCAGAGTGCTCAAAACACGAGCACAGACAGCTACCATCTTAGGTGCGATTTCTGCTGCAGGTTTGGTTAAATGCAGCCTGAGACTACTTCAAAAACGTAAATGCTACAGGCAACTTGCTCTTTTGCTAAGGACATTTTGTTTGTTAAAGATAATTTAATATCTATGAGGCGCCCAATGATTGTTCTAAAAATGTACACAAAACTGATGACAAAAGAAAAGAGATTTTATTAATACGATATATATTCTAGGATGGTTGAGGCATGGAAAAGGTGCGTTTGTTATTTTGCCATCTGATCAATAGGAAGAGCTGGCGGCTTTGAGTTTGAGTTTACGAGACAGATTTACTACTGGTTAGATTGAGCAGTACGGAAATGAAAACTTTACCTCTGCCTCTTTTGATTGTTTTGATCGCATGAAAAACAACATGTACGCCCACGATTATTTTCTACACACATCCATAAATGGAAATCAATCTGTGACGGGAATGAAAAATGCGGTGGATTGTCAAACGTGACTGCTTCTGTTGTCCCTTAATTCAACTTGGCAACTTCTTTTCTTTGGTATCAAACGATATGCTTCCAAAGAAAGCTCCAAAGATTGTATTTCCTGATAACCACGCAATTTATGTAAAAGCCTTGTATAAAAGCATATTAGCGGAGGGATCACTATTTTTTGATGATCGAGCAAGGTTTTTATATAGAATCAAATGAAAGAAAAAAAGACAAAACTAAATTCTCTTGCTACCAGAACATTTATACAAAATCGAACAAGATACTTGTTTAAAGAATATAAAGATTGCGCCGATCTTGAGAGAGTAAAGAGCAAGATAAAAGAAGCAAGAAGGGTAGCTAGATTCTATAGATCAACTTTTCCTTATTTTTCATATTCTTTGATAGAAACTTCATAAATTAGAGGAAGCTAATCGAGGAAACTTTAGAAAAGCCTACAAGATACTTTTAGATGTTTATGGAAGAAGAGGAAAAGTGCGTCACTCGCTGCTTTATGTAAGATGCCATAGACGCCTTTTATTTCCAAATGATTAACTTGATTGAGGGAAGATTAGCCTTACTTAAATCAGTTCAAGCCAGTCGACTTTAAGCATCCAGAACCATTTATCCCACATGTGCCTCGCACAGCTCCACCACCACCTTTATGCCCACCGTTGCGTGTGTTGATTACAGATCATCTGGGAAAGAGACTATCTCCAATACTACCTGAGCCAAAGCATAAGCCATTACATGTCGGTAGAAAGGCCAATTTGCTCTGGAGGCATCATTCCAACTTACTTAGTCGTGTATCGGTGCCACTTCCGTTTGAAATATTATGTGAACTAGAAACAAAAGCAGGTGCGCTTCCTAATCACCCTATGTCAGCAGCCAGTTTAGGGAAAGGCGGTCCAAAATGGGATCAATTTTACTTTGCATACCAAAACAACTTTGATCTTGCCCATCTATCGCCTCATCTAAAATCTCATGTTCCTCAGTCAAAGGTAGTCCGAAGTCAAACAGTGGCTGGTATTCGATCTCCCTATGAGACAGTCAAAATGCCCAACATATTGGAGTATTTAGAAGAAAAGGAGTCAAAGAAACCAGAGCTTCAAAAGTATGAATCACCCTATGACAATAGACAAACAAGACGACTTTATAGGCGATTACTTAATGAAATACCATGTATGGATATGTTTACATGGGAAACACTTTGGAAAGAAGGCGTAAATTATACTATATTCAAATCAAACTGGATACCAAAGGGTGTTAGAGAATTGATCCCAGAAACTCTTAGTTCTGAAGTAATTAAGGAAACCATGAAAACAAATAAAAGAAAGAAATAAATGAACCATCCACTTGAGATCATGGCATGGGGATTATTGTAGTTGTAAACTCAGATTCTACAGAATGAAAGACCCTTCTTTTTTCAGATGCTCTCAAACCGAGTCTTTTAGACTATATGTCTAGTGAGCATTTCACCAATGCATCTTGTTAAAGATATAGCTTTGTATGCCTGATTTAGTTTTTTACATATAAAAAAGATAAATGATACCTTATAGCAGGGTTATCTTAATTATACTATTTCAGTTTTTTTTTTGTATGAAAGTGTGGGCTTTATTTAACAAATTATGCTATTTCAGTAGAAATCATTCTGCTTAAGGATTGCGTCAAAGTCACGTTTTTTTTTTTTTTCTTCTAAACATAAAAAAAGTAATGTCCAGTTCTGGTAGAACTCTGCTTATTGGCATAATTACTGGTTCTATAATAACAGTACTTGCATCCAGTCTCATTGCACAACTAAAAAATGAAAACAAGGAAGAACATGATGAGCCTACGACTGATATTGTCGAAGGGGTTGACGGACTCATTGGCAATACGCCTCTTATGAAAATAAAAAGTTTATCGGAAGCGACTGGCTGTACTATTTTGGTATGTCCCCCTTATACAATCATATGTGACGACGCTAACAAGATATAAATCGTAGGGAAAGGCAGAGGTAAATCAGAGGATACAAATATGGAACTGACTTATGTGCACTTACTAAAGAAATGAATATCAAAGTTTCTTAACCCTGGTGGCAGTTCAAAGGATAGAGTAGCACTCAACATGATCAAGATAGCAGAAGAGCAAAACATTCTCGTTCCACATACAGGAAGTACAATTTTTGAAGGCACTGTTGGATCAACAGGCATATCCATTGCTATGATCGCACGCGCTAAAGGCTACAGAGCATGGATCGTGATGCCAGACGATCAAGCCAAAGAGAAGTACCAGCTGCTTGAAAAGCTTGGTGCTACTGTCGAAAAAGTGAGACCTGCTAGTATTATCGATAAAAGACAGTTTGTCAATTTGGCCAGAGATCGTGCATTGGAGTTTAAAGAAGGAGATGCCAAGGGATACTTTGCTGATCAATTTGAGAATGAAGCCAATTTCAATGCTCATTACAATAATACAGGTCCAGAAATATATCGTCAAACAGGAGGCAAGATCGATGCTCTTGTATTAGGCGCTGGTACAGGTGGTACTCTATCAGGCATTAGTTGCTACCTTAAACAGCATATTAAGAAATTAAAGGTGTTTTTGGCTGATCCACAAGGCTCAGGATTATACAATAAAGTAAAATACAATGTGATGTATTCACCAACTGAACAAGAAGGATCACGAAGAAGGCATCAAGTGGACACAGTTGTAGAAGGAATTGGTATCAACCGATTAACAAAAAATTTTGATAAAGGAAGGCATTTGGTTAATGATGCCTTCCGTGTAACAGATGATGAAGCCATAAAGATGTCACGATATCTTGTCCGCGAAGATGGTATAAAAGAGAGAGAAATAAAGATGAAAACAAAGAGGGCTAATATACGCTCATAGGATTATTCGTAGGTAGTAGCTCAGCAGTCAACTGTGTTGCAGCAGTAAGAGCAGCTAAAAAACTCGGACCAGGACATGTTATCGTTACTTTATTAAATGACTCTGGTCAACGTCATTTGACAAAGTTTTGGAGCGATGAATATCTTAAATCACAAAATATATATGCAGAATTAAAACCAGAGGAAGGTTTATTTGATTTTATAAAATAACTAGAAGACTAATGAATAAAAAATAATATACTGTTCATTTTATACTTACCGAGGTGCTAAGAAATGCACAGCCGTTATGGACAGCGCATTAAATCCAAGGAGCACCGTTAGTCTTTTGAAGGGAGAAAGACTTTCATTGACTAGCAGATGGAAAATATGTTGTAGAACAGATTTTGAGTGACAATAGGTAGTTCTTCATTATATTCGAGAAGTTTCAAGAAATAGTAATTAGCAAAAATGGATTCAGCATATGCCAGTTGAGTAATGTGGTCAACTACTTGAATCAAGGTAACAAACTCAGGATATTTACAAGTATTAGCCAAAGATGTCTTGATTACAAAAGTTTTCTTGACAGTATCCTTGGGCTTTGGAAGCTTTGTTTTTAACTTATTCATAGGACACAACTTGCTGGACGAGCGAGGGTGATCGGTTCCACCACAAGAAGGACATCGTAATTGTTTTTGCCCATTGCCTGTCATCTTGTTCTTTTCTTTTTCCTTTTTAAGTGCTTCAGACTTAGCAACCTTGTCTTGATATTTCTTGGAGACCTTGGTGGGAGCAGAAGTATAGTTTGTGGAAGGAGTAGGAGCAGGTAGTACAACTTGAACACTTGTATCATTATTGCCTGCAATCATAGATACTTTTCATTGGTAACAGCATTTGAAGGGCTAGGAGCAGATGTGTCTTCTTTAGCAGCTTTCAAAGTAGTACGGATGTTCTTGTCTATTACAGCAATCTGTTATAAAACAGGTGGAACTAATAAATGTTATCTTTACCTTTTCTAAGTAATGGTGTTTCTTAAAAATCATCATCACTTGCTTCAAAAGATGTGTTCTTGAATAAATTTGTTTGCGTATGTGCAGACAGAGAAAAGAACTCACGATCGACGGCTAAATAGGCCCTTAATAAATGTCATATCAACCTTATAGCCTACATACCTTTCCCTTTGTTCCGCTTTGCCTTTGGAGGCGGATGACCATCGTCTTTTTTTCGCTTCATGTTGAAGTAAAGAAAAAAAGAAAAGCAACTATGTTAGCTTTGCCATGTTAAATTAACGATCGACGCCATTTTTTTTTATTAATTAATCATGTTTTCTTTAATAGTAAAATGTTTCTCCAATAAAAAAAAGCACTCCACTCTTTAAACATAGTGTATTTTACTATAATCTTCAAAGTAGTTATCTTTATAAAAGTGATGGATAAGGGTAATAAAATGATACACGATGGTTATGAATCACCATATAAATACCAGGAAGAGTGATTGAAGAAGTAACGATAAAGAAGGAAAAGAGGCTCAAGCTCCAATGTCATCCCTATGTTCCATGACGAAATAGCAGTATGTAATTCATACACACGTATGCAGTATGTGTATAGATGATACGTTGAAAGTACTGCTCAAAATCATGTCTTCAACGGAGACTGTCATTTCTACTGCTGCTTCCCAAGGTAAGAACGATGTCACGGAAGCTTCTGTCGCTATACTCAATAGGAATAACAGCAGCAAATTCCTCCATTATTGGTAAATCCTGGGCAAGCCTGTCGCCTCCTTCAGTGAAACGCATTCTCATTGATGGACTTATGATAATATAAGGTGACCCGCCTTCAGTAGAACGATCCTTGTTAGATATATCTTCACTGTTAATGCTAGAGTTTCATTGTTGCCCAATATCTCATACGCACGACTGTAAATACGTGCGAAGGAATTGCGCTGGGAAAGCATAGCTGAAAGGTTTCTTATAATCTCCTGGTTCATATTTTCACTCCATATTCATATCCTCTGCTCTTCGTGCGCTTAGACAGTGCCTTTTCCCAAGCAGAAGAACAGCTCCAGCTACTCTGCAGTTGATACCAGAGATTAGCCATATTACCTTTGGGCCTCGCGACGATCTATCAACTTTGGGATCTCAGATGTCAGCGCCTGATAGATTTGACAACGCCTCCTTTTGGTTGCCTCATGTGCTCATCGGACAATCCCAAACCCCACGTGGAAATCCAATGTAGTACCTATTCTAGTTGTCAAGGTCCCTCTTGGTCAGCTCTGCTTCTTATCGCACAAAGACTTCGAATTGCTAACACAATCACGCCATCTGCCTTTGGCTCTGCCTCATTCGTTGTTTCTTCGACCTCAGTATTGGCAAACTTTTTGGTTTAACTATGCCTCCCAAGGCCTTCACACCATGGTTTCGTCTGTTACACGGCTACGTTCCTACGGCTCCTTTACAGCATGCCTGGATCACCAGCGCGACCATTTCTTCACTGTGCAGACTCTGCCAACAAGATGTTGAACCACACCGCCATCTCTTTGTGTGCTGCTACCTCAAATTCAACTTCTGGTTCTACATTTTTGAGAGATATTCTTTGTCAGACAAGCTCTTTACTGCAGATGAAATATCGTCTGTGTTCACTTCTTTTGTCCCAATAGACGAGCAAACAACAGTCGATACGGATATTCTTTGCTTCTTTGGCGCGTGTATCACTAGGGAAATACCACTGACGTTGCGTTTTTGATGACAATCCGTGGTATATAACCGCAATCGTCCACAGTGTCGAATTGGAACATAACGAGTTCCTGTCGACATTGCTTTTGAACGGAAGTTATCTTCCACTATAGACACATAATTTATTTTAAAAAATTTAGTTAAATAAAGTCCACACCTTCATGCAAAAACAAAAAAAACCAGTATATATATTAGAATGATAAAAACTATTTACAAAGAGAGAAAGTGTACAAGTTATTTATATAATAAGCCTGTTGGCTTTTCTAGTAGCCCTTCTACTTCTGAGTATATTTGAAGCGCTCTCAGTATATGTGATGAATCCAGCTCAATCGCTTCTCCAAGCTTTTCTAGTACATTAGCAAATTTACCAACCTTTTGCAAGTACAGTGTAGACACAGCATTCTAGTAATTGATTTCATGTCAGTCTAATTTTAATACAAATGATATAATGATCTTACCTCGATACGTGTAATAGCATTTTCAATCAAAAAGATGATTTCTTCATCAGAGGCCACATCTTCCATACGCCTGTGGAATGACTGTGAATACTGGAATATGGCGTCTGTCCTGGATGAGCCAAGAGGACATCCTGCTGTAAGGCATTCTAAGCGGACGGTAAGGTTGTTTAAAGAGGCTACAAGATTAGGATCAATTTGTCGATTGATTTGGCGTGCAAAGGAGAGTGCAGAACTTGCGCGGCGAAAAGGAGGCTCGTTTACTTCTGCCTGAGGCGTTACAGTGGTTGTAGAAATAAGAGTGGTTGTGTCACTTTTATCCATTTCCATGCGTCCTGCCAACTGTTTTGGGAATATTAAGCTGAGCATCTCTGGCGTTTCCAGTCCCTTTAGTCTATGTTCACCTAGTTCTACGATATGAAACCCTAATCGCTTGAGTTGCTGCACATCGCGGCTAAGCGGATGTAACCTTGCGCTTGCTCCATCTGCGCTCAGACCTGTCTTATCATCTTTAAATACGCCAGGCATTTCTCTTAATGCTGCAATCACATCAGAGGATACACAGATCTGACCACCATCAGCCGCATTACATATCCGACTTGCCTTATTAACCACCGGACCAAAATAATCCATGCGTTTTGTAATCGGATTACGCTCATATACAGGTGTGCCGAGATGAATCCCCATACGTACAGATAAGCCGCGATAGATGACTTTGTTGTCCTTTTGAATCTCTCGACCTTCTTCTGTTTCTAGTATGCCTGTTGGCCAGTCTGCTTCAAGTAATTGAAGTTGAACTGTAAAACACCAAAGAAGTGCAGCAACTGGATCTTGAAAGCAAACCATAAATGCGTCACCTTCTGTCTTCACTTCATATCCACCAATGCTGCGAAGCGTTCGACGCATGACGGCGTCATGGATCTTTATAGCAGAACGCATATTCTCAGGCTGTGTATCCCAAAGTTGTGTCGAACCCTTAATATCCGTAAACACAAGCGTTACCTGGTTTGTTGGCGGCGGCACTTCTTTATCGAGTCGGGCCAAGGTCTGCAAAGTACAAAGAACACTAGTTAGTCTAAGAGGGAGCTAAAAATAAAAGAAATATCTTACCGAGTCACTAGGAATTTCATCCTTGATACGGCGTTTGTTTTTCGCCATGATACTAGGCGTTCCAATGCCTTCGTCAATTAGCACTTCGCTGGTACCTGTTCGACTTGGGCCTCCACGATAGTTTCTGCGCTTATTTCTCTTGTTAAACAGGTCACCAACGCCGATAATCATGACCATGATGTTACTATCGGCGCCGTATGTAAGAGCAAAGTCTCGTAATTTTTGAGCAGCAATCATGAGATCATCCTTTTCTGTTCGAGCAATATCAACGGCGGTCTGGTAGTTCATCTTATCCCAAAGACCTCGAGAGGCCATAATGACAAACTCATCATTTTCTTCAAGGTCAATGGTTGATACAAAGGGATTGGCGTTTACAACAGGGATAAAGTGGTAATACCCAAAGCTTCGAGATACATGGAGCTCGTCATTTAAAAGACCTGAATTGGAAACATAGCCACCTGCTGCCCGAATACGCGAAATTTCACTAGGATTCAATGGTATATGCTTCTGAGTGATTTCATGAGCTTGTCCATTGTTGCGTGAAAGTACGGCCAGTGAGTCACCCACGTTGGCCACGTAAAGCTTTGTGCCTACAATGTAGCAAACGAGGCCAGACGCGCCTATTTCCTTGTCTTCAGCCACTAAAGATCCATACTCCTTTTCAAGAGCCAAAAAGGTTCGACGAAGAGCAGAGACGATAGTATCGCTGTTTTTGGTCTTTTGAAGCTCATTGGTAAAGAATTGGTTGATATGGTCGTTTAAAAAGTAAGTTAATCGACATCCCGTCTTGCTATGCTTTAGCCCATCAAATAAACCAAAAAGACACTCGTCGTCTCGGTTACGGAATCGAGGCATCACGAGATCCCATGTTGTCAAGTTATCACTGGGGCCCAACCAATCAGCAACACCGTAGCCCATACTGTTGACTTCAGAAGGTGATGTACGCACACGACGGTTACAATCCTCTTCTGGTGTCATCACACCCAAGATAGTGACGTCCATTAAACCTAGCATACGCAGCTTAACAAGAGCATTAAAGTCAGACAAATTGCGATCTTTTGGATTATATGATTCAGGATGTGTCTTTTTTATCTCCAATCTTTTGTTGCCTGAAAGATTGAGGTATTTAAGACCCAAGTTCCAATTCCTGATTTATAATTCAATGAGTCTATGCATATTTTTTTATAAGGTAGCTTACCAGTTCCAATCGTACGGCCAATTCGAGATGTTGTATTTTAAGACATTATTGCCCACATCCAACACCAGTAATTTCCTTAGTTTACCAATTTCTGCAGGCAGTGTTTGCAACTTATTTCCATTCACAGCCAACACACGTAGATAACTGAGCTTTTCGATATCATCTGCAGGAAGCGAGGCAAGATGGTTTCCGGAAAGATACAGTTCATAAAGGTGCTGATGACAAAGTCCGTCAGGTGGAATTTCATATAGGTCGTTAAATGACAGATTAAGCGTACGAAGTTCCAGAAACAATGAAAGCGGTGACCACACATCATCTGTAAAACGATTGTCTCCCAAGAAGAGGTATCGAAGTGACAAGGAAAGTGGCGGCGGATGGTTTCGAGGACTTGCAAAGAAGGAAGGCGGGTTGAAGTTGGGTGGCGGTTGAAATCCATTGGATAGTAATGTGTTTGGAATACTGTTATCACTGCTGTTGTTATCGAAGGGATGTATCGGTAGCTGTTTAGATACTGGTGCAGGCGGAGCAATGCCTTGACCTGCCTGAGGAGTAGGAGCCACAGAAGCCGAAGGCATGCTAACATTTGGCATCAATGGAAATGGCTCAGGAAATGTTTCCAGTAGATTCGAAGAACAGTTTAATGTCTGAAGAGACGTACAGAGCCAAATCTCTCTTGGTAGTGTCTTTAAATTATTATTCTGTACATCCAGTATCTTGAGCTCTTTCAGCTTGGATATTTCAGGAGGCAAAACTTCTAAGTTGTTATTCTGAACCGACAGTCTTTGCAATCTAGTCAAAACACCAATGCTACTGGGTATTACAGTAAGGGTATTGCCGTCAAGAATCAAGCATTCGAGATTTGTCGTGTTCAAAAATAAGTGATCAGCTAATGATGATAATTTACAGTTTGCCAAATTGAGTTCAACCAGCATACACGCATGGCTCTTTATGCCAAACTGTGTCAACTGATTCTTGGACATCCGAAGTCGCTTCAGATGTTTAAATCCATAGTCAAACACAGTTACGGCGTTATAGTCTATCGAAATACGTTCTAGCTTTGGTAAGTCGTGTAATATTTCTATATCGGTGATCTGATTCTGTCTGATATCAAGTTCTTGTAAATTCTCTAGCTTAGAAAACCCTTGTGGCAGGCTTCCACTCAATCGATTTGCTGTAGCAAATAAATAAGTAAGCTGTGTTAGGTTGCCAATCTCTTCAGGAAAGGATGTGATCTTATTAAAGCTGATATCCAGATGAACTAGGCTGCGTAGTTCACAAATGACATCTGGAAATTTTGTGAATGAGTTGTTGGATATATACAGGATCGTCAAGTATTGAAACTTTGCAAAGCCATCAGGTAAAGAGCTCAGACGGTTGTTGTAAGCACGTAATGTCTTTAGAGCGCTTAATTCGTCTAGTCGTGCATGCTGCAAATCTTCAATTTGGTTTCCGGATATGTTCAGATGCTCCAAATTGGGAATATATCGAACTGATTGTGGCAATAACTTGTATTCATTATCATTCAGCCAAAGCTGCTTCAAGTTCTTGCAAAGCTGCAAGAAGTCTACAGGAATTTCGATATGGATGTTTTTGGACAAATCCAATGATGCGATACGTGCAGCATACTTGTACAAGAAGGTTGGAATGTTAAGCAAATTTCTTCCGTGTAGATCTGTTCGACTATAGAGTCCAGTGTCTTCCTCCTCTTGAACACTGTTTGAACTGCTAATGCCAAAGATGAAACGATAAAGATATGAATTATCTTCTCGACCGACATCTTCTATTCTATCTTCTTCCATATAACCCATTTGTTCTAGTAATAACTTTTGTATCTGTAAAGGACGCTCATTGGGTTGAAGAACACGTTCTATGTAATGAAACTGGTTTATATAGATTGATTCTAGAAATAGATATATATAAGCAATGAAGATTTACTTACCTAGACTATGCCTTACAAGCGTCAATCTATACCTGTTCCAATCTTGCAGAAAGAATTTTCCTGCTAGTTTCTGTATTAGATCATTTGCTGTTGCATCCAAGGGAGCAATGAGTGTGCCAAATGTGCCATCAGGACGAAATACTCGAATGCAGTACTAAAAGGGATGTAAGTCTATAACAATAACCAATCGATTACTCTTACATTTTTACTTTGCACATTCCACGTCTCATGCTCGACTACTGAAAAATAGTCTGTAGTCGTTTGCATATTGATTGAATGAACGTCCTCTTCGTCTGGTGGTTGCACAGCCCAACTATCTGGAGGTGCCCAATGTTCGCTGGATGGATCTGCAATTTGCTAAATAAAGAAAAAGCCCGATATTTTTTTTTTTTTAGTTTTCCTGCACATAATTGACATGCATACGCAATGTTTACATATAACGTCGGCGTTCTTTCATATGCTTGATATTCTGAGTTGGCGATTCCTTCCATTGTACCCATGATTTGATCTATTATAAAGTCATTTCACTCGATCATATGCGTATAAAAAAAATGGTCAACTTACGCTCCATGTCCTATAAGCATAACAGATATACCATAAATACAATAATAATAAAAGTGAAATTAATGTGTATATAAGCTAACCTCATCCTTTTTATGAAAACTAGAACTTGTTGATTTTTTTCTTTTTGTGGCAGAATCATCATCTGCTGCCAATGCATCTGTATTACTCGAGATACTCATACCATCCTCCTTCTTATCGTTTGACACTAATATCTCGGATCGACCTAATAAAATATGCATTAAATTGTTAGAGTAACGTCATATGTTTCAACTACAATTTTTCTTTTTTCTTTTTCTTTACTCTTTTTGCGTCCAAATCTAAACAAGTGTCTCTTTTTTTCTTTTGATGCAGTGTCTAATGAAAGAGTCATGAGTCATGATTTCAATTTTGAAAGGTAGTGTTTTATACTGGTATCATTTTTTGAACGATCGTGTTGTTTTGTAGATTTCGGTAAAGGCATTGAAGCTGATTAGAAAAGTGTAAAAAAGAGTGTATTTTGTGTATAATATGCAAAGTCTTTAGAAGGAATAAATAATTCCCTTCCTGTCTTTTTCGTAGTTGCAGTTATGGCTGTAGTAATAAATAATATTTGTGCTTCTTATGGTTGACGTAAAGAAGTAATGTGAAGGCTGTTGTAATGTCAGTTATGAAGTCAATTCTTTAAGCCATAATACCTCTTTTATAAACAGTCTTTGTATTTACAAAACTGGAAAGAACAAGAAAGAGAGAGAAAATATGAAAGCACTCGGGGTAAAAAATAAAAAAAAAGTGTCCCGGTGTTGCTGTTTGAAATAGAAATCTCAATCTTTTTTTTTAAAAAAAATTATGCATAGAGAAGAAAGGACTGCATAATATCATTTATGCAAAATCTCCCCTTATTGTATATGTTTCCCCCTTCCCCCTTATATATTGCTCCCTCCTTGTCTATTTCATTTCATTTCATTTCATTTCTTTTACTTTTTATCATGTTAACAAGTGACCCAGTAAAACCTATTTTAGTAAATAATGTCAACGAAGTGAAGCCTAGGTTAAACAGCTTAATGGTGTCAACCAATCATCTTTCATTAGATACTGGTTCTTGTTCACCCACTTCGCCCGTATGGAGTATGAATGATTTTGAACTAAAGAACCCTATTGGTATAGCTGTAAATTAATATTTTCTCTCTTCTTTCTAAATAGTACTTCTTATATAGGTTATGGATCCTCTGCTACGGTTTACAGTGCTATTTACAAACCACATGACAAAAAAGTAGCTATTAAAGTCATCAATTTAGACAAGTTTGAAAGAAATCAAATAGATGAACTAAGGGTAAATACATGCAGATTGACTTTCTCTTTCATTAACAATATATTTTAAGAGAGAAACTGCTCTTATGGCACTGTCAAAGCACCCTAATGTGCTACAAGTCTTTGGTTCCTTTGTTCATGGGCCTAAACTATACATTGTCACGCCGTATATGTCTGTAGGCAAGTAAGGATATCTTTTTTTTTAAATAAAATAACAGCCTAACAAAAATAAAGGATCATGCCTGGACATTATTAAAATAAAGCCTGAGGGACTTGACGAAACAACGATAGCAACAATATTGAAACAAGTCTTGGAAGGATTAGCCTACCTTCACAAAAATGGACATATCCATCGTGATGTGAAAGCTGGTAATCTCTTGATGGATCAGAATGGTACTGTGCTTCTAGCAGACTTTGGTGTAGCAAGTTCTTTAATGGAGACTGGTGTTCGTAAAACTTTTGTCGGCACGGTACATATTAAGATGATGTACATAGATAAATATATATGTATATATATATACATTGATGACTATAACTAGCCTTGTTGGATGGCCCCTGAGGTAATGGAACAAGCAGCTTACGATTATAAAGCAGATATCTGGAGTTTTGGTATCACTGCCATCGAGCTCGCTACAGGCAGGGCACCTTTTGCCAAGTTACCTCCTTTAAAGGTAAAAAGAAATGAAAAGAAAACACGGTTGTATAAAGATAAATGACGTGTATAAAAAAGGTCCTTATGCTCACTTTATCTTCTGATCCACCCACACTGTGTCGTGAAACGAGTGCCAACAAATACTCTAAAATATTTAAAGATTTGGTTGATTTATGTATGAATAAGGACCCTTTTAAACGGTAAGTAAACCATTAAAAAAAAAGAGGGAGACTTATCCCATGGTCTTAATGCTAGTCCTATGGCTGAAAAACTATTACAACATCCATTCTTCAAGCAGGCCAAGAAACCTGATTGGTTAGTAAAGAACTTGATTAAAGACATACCATCTATCGATCAGCGTCCTATGAAGTCGGTAGAGCCAAAGATTGAAGCAAATTCCAAGGCAGTGGATGAATGGGATTTCAGCGATATAAACAATAATCGACCCAAGCGACATATCTCGTTTGGTCATGCAGTCGTAAAGAGCCGAGGACATGCATTAGCGAAGAGAGCTTTGAGTGATGACTTTAGAAAGCCGAGATTAGGAAAGCATCAGCATCAAGCATCAGCACCATCTGTGTTCCCCATCTTTCAAGATGTACAAAGAGAGATATCAGTCATATACAGAAGACTTACTCATATTCATAGGAACAACAGCAAACGACACGTAACTGTGGCGTACACGACAAATCGAGTTTGGTTACATTTTCTGAAGAACAAGCAATTACACGAAAAACATTGTATAAAACACAAAGTCAAGAAGGCTTCAAGAAAGGGGATTCAATAGTCGAATCCAAATTTGTTGAAGCCAAGAAAGTGGGACGATTTGAACTTAGGCAGTCCATTCCTGTTCATCACCAATTAAATGAACTTTTAAAACAAAACGATGCACAAAAGCAACTGCTGAATGAACTCTATACACATGTGATGAATAAAGAACAACAGCAACAACCATCAAACCATGAGTTATCATCAATCATTGTAAGTAATATTGTCATCTCAGCAGAGTCCTCCACTCATTATTAATTTGACATAGGAATCGCTTGAACAACGAGTCCAGTTCTATCAAAGAGAAAACCTTTTGCTACAACGGGAAAATGAAATAATGAGGAAGCAACTAAATCAACTACTTAAAAATTAGCCTTGTTTTTCATTTGCATTAATTTAAATAATAAAAGATACTTCTTCCTCAGAAGAAGTTTACCAAAAAATTAGGGTAAACTTCCTTAGTGTCCCGCATCCACGGAAATCTTTAGTAAAAGGCGAAAGATTTATCCGATCTGAGCACAGGACGGAAGTACAAAGAACATCAATAATCTCTAGAATTGAGCTCCTTTTATACTTTTTTGCTAGATAAAAACCAGTCCGACGTGACTTTTAATAAAAAATTTACAGATGACTCGGAGATTCCTTATTTGTACTAATGTTTATATTACACCACAGGTTTGTTGTGTAATTCTAAGGATGAAATCGCTGTTTTGTACGACGATGAAAAGCTTTGGCTTTTTGGAGGAGCTATTTTCGACCTTGAATTCTGATTAAAATATTCCTTGATTTAAAAATATTATACACGACAGAATATTGCATGAATTAAGTATGGCCAATGAGAATTGAATATGACGCGTTTTAAGTGTTTTATAATCAGTTTAGTAGTGAATGAAGGAGCGCGCCAAGAGTCTACCATGTTAAATCCATTCGTACAAGTGTAAAACTATTGATTCTACAAAATAATAATCAGCATGTGCTTCTATGAGTCTTCTGATTTGCGTAACAATTCTTTGAATAACAGTAAATTTAATATTAATATCAACAGTTCTCTACATGGTTCATCAAGTTCAATCTCGAGACGATTGATTAAAGATTTGATTTTATTGATATATCCCTTAGAAATTGATGTTTCTGCCTTTTGCATCTATCGCTGCATCTGACAAATTTTAATCAAGTGCTAATAGATCAACTACAACACGGCTGCTTATCCCAAGGAACCAATTCTTGGATGGGCGTTTCCTATATTTCCTTTCAATCTCGTTGCATCTTTGCTGTCCTTGACCCAACAAGGTCCTTTTGCTGTTGTTGCTGTCATTTTGACTGGAGGAGGTTTTTATTATTGCGCTCAATTGGATGTTATATTAAATAAAATCCATCATTTTACAGAAATGACAAAAGGCCAAAAAAGTAATATATTCTATTGAGTTCTTTTTGCTGGACGAATTATCTTGTGTGGCCTTGGTCGCGACTATAAATGTTATTGCTATTAAAGCTATCAATTACACCATTGATGTTGTATAGTCATCAGTGAACTACAGCTGAATGGCATGGTTTCACACCCTCGCTGACGGACTTGGAATCAATCGTAAAATCTTCACAGAGAAAATCGCTGGGCTTTTTTTTTTTTCCCTTCTTTTGCGTTATTACAATATGCTTGCCTGTCAAACCAAGAGTCTAATAAAAAGAGTTGTTTCACAATTAAGAAACACTGGCTTACAATCCCGATCACTTTATAGAACTGATCGTAAATTATGACTGTTTACACCCTTTTATAGTCTACTGATTGCATAAATAGATAAGCATGGTGCATTCACAGTTAAACCTACTGGATTTTGGGCTGACAAAATACTTGAAAGAGAATGTAAACGTCCTGTCGTTGCTTCAACTGAACCTCGATTATTAATCGAAAGAACCGTAAGTTGCTTGCTTTTACGTATCCATTGTTTAACATTATGACAGATGAAAGACAGCTACTTGGAAGAATATTTACCTTTCAAGTCTGATCCTGAACTTTTAGACCAATACATATTCTCTGATGGAAAAATTAGAACTGGGAAATTACTAGAAGGTATAAAAAACGATGATCATCTTATGTTTTCTTACCCATTTTAGATCTTGATGCACTTGCGGGGGCCATTGCTTACAAGCATATTGATAATGGAAACCCAAATGTCTCACCTGTTACCATTGTTACTGCAAGTGTCGACCGTCTTGACTTATTTTTACCTGAAGCAGGCACACAGAATTACAAACTAAGTGGACACGTTACTTATGTAGGAACAAGCTCAATGGAGGGTAAGAAAAATGCTTTTTCAAAAGTTCAAGAATAAACTGACACTTATCCTGCAGTATTCATCAAGGCCGAGACATGTGGAGACGAAATTCCAGAAGACAACGATAAGGCCCCAGATACATTATGTGTCCTTGGCAAGAACACAGTTCTGGCTACACGATTTACTATGGTAGCCATAGACTCTGTCACACAAAAACCTGTCAAAATTAACCCGCTGCGATTGACATCAAAAGCCGAGGAGCATCTATTTGAAATGGCAGAGGCTACCAAACTAAGAAAGAAACGAGAAGCCGAAGCATCTCTCATGCGTCAGCCTCCTACACCTGCTGAGCGACTAGACATTCATGATCTATTCTTGGAGTATTCTCGATACATAAGTGATACATCAGATGAAAAGCTGCCTTTACCCGAAGACAAGGTCTGGATGAGTGACACGAGAATTGAGAGTAACTTTATTATGCAGCCACAGGACAGAAATATTCACAACAATATCTTTGGTGGATATCTGATGCGTCGTGCTTATGAGTTGGCCTATGCCAATACAGCCCTTTTCATGAAATCACCTTCGCCAACCTTACTATCCATGGATGAAGTGGCATTTAGGAAACCGGTTCATGTGGGAACATTATTGAATCTGAAGTCTTGTATTGTCCTTTCTGAGGGATTTCCTCATCGCACAGTGCAGGTTCGTGTTGTAGCTGAAGTCATCAACATTGAAAAGGATACTCGTGAAGTTACCAATGTGTTCCATTTTACACTAACAACAGGCAATCCTAATATCAGACTTCGACGTATCCTGCCACGAACCTATGCCGAATCAATGCTATGGATTGATGCCAAGCGTAGGCGATACCAAGGCATTCACTCTAGACATGTCTTGTTAGAGTCTATTAAAGAAAACGACTGCTAATTTTACATCTCTCCCCTTTTAGGTTTTTTGCTTCCAATGTCTTATTTTTTATATTTTTTTTTTATTATATTTACATTTCTAATAAACAAAAAGAAGCCTAAGCGAAAAGAGGCAAGTCAAACCAAACCTTGGGGTCGTTGAATCTCAAGTTGAAAGACTTGAGCGAATCCAAAGCCTTGTTGTCTTCATTATCCAACTTGATGTCCAAAATGTTAAAGTTATCCTTCATTCTTTGCTCGTTCTGGCTCTTGGGTATCACTACAAATTCACGGTCCAAGGCCCAACGCAACAAGACTTGACCGGCAGAGACCTTGTGCTTGTTGGCGACTGAGTTGACAATGTCGTGATCAAGTAAAGAAGGAGCTTGCTTGCCGTGTTCACCCAAGGTAACATAAGAGGCAGGACCAAAGGATGAGTAGGCAGTGATGTGAATACCTTGAGCCTTAACCCACTTGCAGAGATTTTCTTGAGGCAAGTAAGGATGCAATTCAACTATTTATAAAAAGGCGTGTGAGGAAAAAATGACAAGGTCAGTAGCTAAAGATACATACTTTGTAAAACGGCAGGCTTGATCTTGGCATAAGCAAGCAAATCAATCAAAGCTTGACAATTGAAGTTACAGACACCAATGTTGCGTACCAAACCATCTTGAACGAGTTTTTCCATTTCAGCCCAACATTCATGCATAGGTGAAGCTTCAAGTTCGATAGTATCCTTGCCCTTCTTGAACCATTCAGGAGGATATTTCTCGGAAGGATCGACATAGGCTATAGGGATAGGGACTATGTAATATACGTGAGCACTTGAATAGAGTATGAGTTTGTCAACGTACAGTGAACATGATAAAGGTCAAAGTAATCTAAGCCCCAGTCCTTTAGTTGTCTTTCACACAAAGGTCGTACATGCTTCTTGTTGTGAAAGGTGTTCCATAACTTTGTTACGACTAGTTTCTTGTTCAGTACATTACATCACAGTCATATATAAATACTTACTGAACAAATCTTCTCTTTTTACTAAACCTTCATCAATAGCTCTCTTAATGCCGCGTCCGACTTCGACTTCGTTACCATAGTCGCAGGCACCATCAAAGTGACGGTAACCGACCTTGATAGCATTGTAGACAGTTTCCTCGCAGACATCTTTGGGAATCTTCCAGCAACCAAAGCCACGAAGAGGCATCTTGTCACCAGTTCTGTTCAAGACAACGTAATCAGCAGTCATATTTAAAGTAATTCTGTTTCAAAAGTGAAGAAAAGAGAATGAATCGAAATGCATTTAAATAGTTTTCCGAATTTCGCTGATACAAACAGAATTTCTTTTTTTTTTCCCGCAAGTAGGATTACCCGCATAAACCTGCATACTTCCATCTATTGCATTCTGTGATGCCTTGTGTTTTATCCTTGAAAGAATGAAGAGTAAAGATATAGTGCACAAGGTGAGTTATTATTTATTATAAGCTATGAAACTAAACATGAAGAACTATGACAATGCTGGGGGTTAGTTGGATTATGTCATTATTCTGCTTGTTCCCATCGGGTCATTTTATATAAAGTGTCACACTTGATAAACGACAATAGTTTCTATCTTTATACTTTGATGCTTATTTTTAATATTCGTTCCTTTTTATCCTCCTCTTGATGCTCTGTTAATGTAAAATAAACGCGTATTTTAACAGGGTGCTTACGTAATGAAGTAAGACAAAAGAGACGCTAGGCTACAAGTAAAGCTCAGATTGGGCGAATCGGGTAATTTCATTTCTTTATTAGACCAAGTCTAGTGTAAGGAAAAAAAGAGAAAGATCTCCCAATACGCGGGAAAAAAAAAGAAAAAGAAAAAGCATAATATTATGTATTAAGTACCGCAGCAAGTTGATCGTCTATTTGCTTGACAAGGTCTTCATCAACGCGCCATAAACTATTATTTTTCAATAGATCAACACGCTCTTCTCCAGACTATGGCAATATTAGCTTGTTTTTTCTTTGTTTTATACATATATATATATTTACCTTGTGATTTACATAAACCATGTAAGGTTCTATACCAGCGGCTCCTGAATGTTTTTGCTCAAAGTATACTTCACCATTAGGAAAATGAATGTCATCCAAAAGAAGGACAAATCCGGACTTGACGTGAATATGTGTTTGGCTGAGAGCTTGATGGAACGCTTCCTGAAGCGAAAGCGTAGGTTCATACATTTGACTTTGCACAACTTGAGCTAGTAATCGTTTAACTTGATAAGAATCCCGCATCAAATAAATCAATCCGCCCTGAAGATGAGACGCATCTCGGCCTGTCGCGATCAATTGAGTATCCCAACGAACATGCATCATTGTACTAACATATTCTCGGGCTCGTGGCCAAAGGATGAGCTGATGGATGTCTAGCATCAGTGGGTTAATATCCAGGTGCACGAGCCGCTCAAGGATCCAAGGGGTATAGCTGCTGCTGTTTGAAAACCACATCCAATCATCGGGCACAAGGACAGCTCGATTTTCATAACCTGCAATTGTCAAATGACGATACAGATCAGAATCTGTACAAAATACAAGAAATCGATGCTCATTAGCTGCTTTCATAAACTCTATCCAGTTATAGAGGTCTAACCGCATGTCGTATCCTGCAACAATGACAATAAGGTCATCATTTTCTAGCCTATTTTCCTGTATTTTGTCTCTGATATCTGATGGTATAGATGGCATACTGTCAGGTACGATAACTGGCCGTTGTTCACCAAACTGTGCATTGATCTTGGGAGGACATGAGCAAGGATGATCAGATGAGCTTGCCTCAATCTCAGCAATGACCTTTTCTTTATTTTTAAACTGCACATAATAAAGTATGAATAATAATGCTGTAGATAAAATAATCGAACTGCTTGTTTTCCAGTGGGCCAACATGAACACAATAACATGGGAAAGCTGAACAGCCTTTTTTTTTATTCTTGTCCCTCCTTTTTCACATCTAAAACTCCGCTCAAGATCCTTTTCAACAACATCCTCTTCTTTTTGTATCCTTTTTATTATATTTACAAGTAGCTATTTTTATGAACATTGAAGAAATAGTCAAAAGATTTAACGAACAAAATGTAGAAGTAATAAAACAAAATATAAGATTGAATCAGCGAGTGACTCTGCTAGAACAAAAGATCATCGAATTGCAAAAGGAGAGCTTTGAATTGAAGTTAGAAAACGAACGACTAAAGAGAAAGAAACAATCAAGAAAAGTAAAGAAGAAGACATCGAATATATCTGTATACATAGATAACGATCAGTCAACAAAGCAAGAGAAACACGCAAGAGAGAAGAGAAGCTGCGCGAATAAACCAGTGAACTACGCTCTACCGAATGTAAAGAGTAAACTAAGGAAAGGTGATCCATTCACCTTTGGGAATGAACAATAATAATAAAAAGTTGCTTATACATTGGCCTGTTTCAATCGATATTCCAACCAGTGGCCAGTTGAGTCATCTTGCTGAAAACGGTATTGTTTACTGATCAAGGCTCTTTGCTTTTCGATAAACTCCTTGATGGATCGACATTTTGAAAAGTTAATCAAGTCGGATTGGGAGACGAGAAAGGTTGAATTTTCTTTTAGAAATGTAATATCTTTAAGTATCACAGGCAAAAATGATATCACTGGTAACTTCTTGGCCGATTCAATCTTGCGTCGGTAATACAGCATGTTTGAGCTTACATCTAGCAATTTTTGAAGTGTTGTGAACGTATTCATTTCTCGGTTAGACAGAGATTGCCATGCTTGCTTTAACTTGTTCGATGTACTAGACAGTCCCATCATGATGATCATGCATGCATGAAAGTTGTTCAAGGCTAGGCAAAACTGCAATGCAGCAGGCATATATTATATGAGTTTAAGGAATATAGACAGTCTTTATTGTTTACCTTGGATATTTCAATAAATTTGGTAATTAAGGCTCTTTTAGCCTTTAATGTCTTGGTATTATGCAGTTCAAATGCAATCCAATGATTTAGCTATATATTTACATTAGTACAGAAATCGGGCTAGAATAACATGCTTAGTACAAACCATGTTAAACCGTGTTGTCATACTATGGATACACCCTTGATTCGTAGTATTACCATAATCCATCAACTCATGCATCACGATATACTCCATAGTTTTATAGTCTATCAAACACAAGTATCGAGCAATGCTTTTTGAGTCGACTGATAGGATGGGAACATTATCACAAGCAAAAGATGCGTAATCAAGTTGTAAAGGTAGACGGAATTCTTGATGTTGACTGTATATGATGAATTGTATCAATTGTATTTGATTACTATATGCACCATATTCTCTTGTTAAAAATGCAGACAATCGTTCAAATAGCGAATGGCTCTGCTCAAAGCTACAGTAGCGTACTGCTAACCATCGACGAATGATGTAAAGGATTCTGGAAACAGAATGATTATTTTTCAAGTGTAATAGGATACACAATAAACTTGCCTTGTTTGATATAACTTTCGAGTATAAAATACGTCAATAAGCTGATCTAGTAATTGTGTAGAAGGTATAAAGTTTGCATGATTCATCAAGTAAGCATCGAGATAATCATCGTCTTCATCCAAAAGCTTATCAAATAGTGTATCTGCTTTACCAGCTACAATTTGATATCTGCCTTGAACCCACTCATGTATCAAGACTACATTGTTATTTTCTACAACCTTTATTGTTCTCTTTTCATCATGTGCTTTCTTGTATTTTTCAATGGATCGTATACGCTTGTTAGCCTTGAATAAATTATTAATTGTATAAAATGGTACAATTGTCATTCTGATCTACCTCATTTTCCTTTCTATGAATCCTTAGTAGCGCTGTCCAAGAACTGTTTGATTAAAGGTGAATATCTCAGCATACAAACTCCAAAAGGGGGAGACTTACTGTTCATCATTTATTATTTTAGTCTGAGTTGTAACTTTTGAAGATAATCTTAGAGGCATACTGCTAGTTCTGGGAGGAATAGGTGGTCGCTTTAAGATGATATCTCCCTCTGATACTTTCCTTGGAGGTGGAATACGTTGAATAAGAAGACTTTGCTTTGGTATTTTGTTGACTGTATGTAAGCATGACATTGACTGAGAATTTGGTAGTGCTTTGTTGATGGGATTTATATCCATGGATGTATCGCTACTTCTCCTTTTTCTTGGTGTCGACATGCTGCTATAAGGAAGTTCCGGCTGCATTAAATAAATATAGTAAAGAAGAGAAAAAAAAAAAAGGAAAGAAACTGAGAGCAATATTTTATATAAAAGACATAAAAATAGGAGAGCAAATAAGAAAAAGAAAGCAATAAAAGAGTTTTCATTATAATACAATGACTCCTTCTTTATTTGGTTATATTGAAACACTGTCCCTGAATTGGGCAAAGTTTAAAGCCATCTTTTACTTTATTTACATATACCCCTTCAATAAATGATCATAAATAATCCAATTAAACTTCTCCTCATTTGCTCAATAGAAGAAAGGACTTCAGAGTTATGATAATAAAGAATGCGTTGGCTTGACTTACTGGCTACTCGTCACTAATTTTTATACTATTTTTTTTATTCGCTCTTTGTAGAGAGTAAGCACCAAGTTATTCTATACCAGTTGTTTGATGTATTCTCTTTTGGATACGAGGAGTCAAGAGCACACATCCTAAGTATTCACTTTACAAGTAAATCAACAACCTCAAAGTCTGACATTCTCCTTGTACCAAGTGCTACGTTGTACAATTGTAGCATCCAGTCTTGACAAACTTCCTTTTTCTGCTCGTCTGTCATATTATCGAAAGTGAGTTAAGAATATAGAACAAATGATATAGGATATAGTCCCTCCCTTTGATGCCCTCAAAGAACTACTTCTGCCAAGCCCAAAGGCAGCCTCCGGATCATGACGGGACGCTTGTCCATTTCCCTGTACTCTCCTCCTCCTCCTCCTCCTCCTCCTCTTCGTATGGTCCGATAGAAAGATCATCTCACAAAGTAAACTATTTAGAAATCGTATGATTAAAAATCATTGTTCTACTGCTCTCTAATAATGATCCCTAGTCGATGATGTATATGACCACTTGTCAGTCAAAAAAAATCTTACAAGCCATAGAAAAACAAGGAGCTGAAGCCCATGTTCTTTTAATATTTCATGTTAATGTAAAGGGATAGCACACTATCTTTGTCCAAAGGAGCATATTTGATGATACACGAGTGGACTACTTGCCTACGAAAAAAGGCCTTGCTATCCTCACTTGATATACTCTGTTACTTTATCATCAAGTATATTTAAGACATGGAGGTGTATTTCCTTATTTTTGATATTTAAGTGGTCTATGTAATCTTTCTTTCTTTAAAATAATCCCCTTTGAGTCATTTTGGTTGTTCGAGGCTTTATATAAAAATAAATTTGAGTTATTTTTTAAACTTTCAAAGCATAGCCATCACTTTTCCCCTCTTGAGCTTATTTGAGGACATTTGACAGCTATCAAACTGAGTAATAAAAAGTTTTCCCTTTTTTTAAAAGGCCTTTCTTTTCTATACAACATTATGACCAAAGCATTTGAGAAACTAGTGCTAGAAACACAAACAAGTCTTCATCAGCTATTTTTGAAAAAGGCAGACAAGAACCCAAATAGTACAGTGATGATCCAATCTGCCAACATTCCTTGGTACTGAGATCGTGTGTGTGTATATGTAAACCTTTGTCAGTCAAACTCATTCCCCCCCTCTTTTTTCTCCTTTCCTCCTCTCATTTAGGTCTTGGGTTGCTATTCACGTTGCCAAGATGCTAATTGAGTATCCTACAGGATTAACCAATGTTGTTTTATTAGCCATGCTTGAAGTTCAGGTATACTTTTTTTTTTTTTACTATTTTATATTCTCAGAAATGACACGTTCTTTATTATAAAAAGTGGGAAAAGGCATTTCTAAGAAAGTTTAAAGGATTTGATTCAGGTTTTTATGCAAATTATAAGAAATACACAATGGTTATTAAAACAAGTTAGATTTTGGCACGATCCAAGCTGTTTACGATAGCATCTCAGCCGAAACCTTCTTACTCGAAACTACCGTCGTCGATTGGGAACCAATACCGGCTGCCAACACTTTCAGACTGACCGTGACAGATGATCAGATACGGCAAATGGATTTGATGATGCATCCCAAGTTTACTTCTTGGATCAGCAACAACAATTTCTTTAAAAACCGAAAACTACGTATGATCTGCCCACCAAAGGCAAACATGCCTGTTCAGGATCCTAACCTGCCACGTCGATCACGTATTGCCCTGATTCCACCCACTGATTTGCTCTTGATAATGTTAACCCAAAGTGATAAAGCATTCGTTGAGGGCCATTTTACAAAGATAAAAGATGTTCATAGCCTCTCAGACTACAATGTCTGGCTCAAGATCATACATGTTGAGGAACACAAGCATGAGCGAAAGAAAAAGACGGATATTTATTTAGCAGACATGAGCAGTGATACACTTCCTGTCATATTAACCCTGTTTGATGAACAGATTCAGCTGGCATCTATCTTTCGAAGAAATGATTATATGGGCCTTTATCGTCCACAATATGTCAATGCTGGTCCGCAACCAATGAATCCTTCTGGAATTGTCCTACACTACTCAAATGATACAGTCATATTTCTGATGCCAGAATCTGAAGCACAAGCAGCAGGGTTGGCCAAGACTAATTTATCTAGTTATATTCAAAGCCAAGGTACAATCAACTCTAGTAATAGCACGAAAAAGGAGATATTACAGCGTGATGAGGAGGTTAGTAAAGGGGAACGATTTACATACAAATAATAATCTTTCTTTTATTAGGGGTTCATGGATTGCTCGAATTACATACCAAGGATATATGTCAGTGATCTTGTTCACTGTATGCTGAATGTAACTTTATTGGGCAAAGTAGTGGGATTAGCCAAAAATGTAAGCCGGACCCTCTTTTATTTTTATTATTATTAACATACACGACAGAACCCCTTTTATAAAGATGGAAAAAGAATGGATAGATACGCTTTGCGGATTGCTGATACAACAGGTAAGCTATATATCGTATAATGTGTATGCAAATATTAAAAATTATACCAAAGGTATAATGGATATCACACTTTGGGAAGAGGCTGGACATGACTCGAGAAAGCTAAGAGTCGGGCAATATGTCCTATTAGAACAGTTGACAACTTCTGATATGCAACTGAACGGCTTACAAAAAGTATGGTATGTTAATGGAAGCGTGATCTGCGGCACTAAAGTGTACAACAGTAAAGTATTGAATGACAGATAGCCTATCTGCATATATTAACTTGGTAAACCTAGTCTCTACCATCACGTCACTTTTGACGAGCTCATCCTTCCGTATGCCTATGCCACTATGGCATGCCAAAGAAGCCAAAAGCGATCATTTTCAAATTGAAGCAACTATAGTTGGATGGGAGCTACATACCTTTATAAACAGACAGAAGGTCATACATGACTCAAATCAAAGCCAAGATCTTGACACTATGCCAACACAATGTATAGTGTCAGCTGCACGTTAGTTTATTTTAACAGCTACATAAAATGTGCATCTCATCTTTTTTTATTGTAGACACAACGTGTCTTTTACCACTATCATCTAGTATACTCGAATGTGAATTTTGTGGATATCCTGTAAATAATGAAACCATACATGTTTTCCGACCGCGATCAAGCGACGCATCGGAAGACAAAGGTTGGATCGAGTGGGTATTAGATGATGGTACAAGCACATGTCATGCTTTTGGAGGAGAAGAAGTATAGAAAATTAAACTAAATATAACAGAATGACTAAAATATAGATTATAGACACTGTTAAATATTACCGCATACAACTATAGCAAGCTAACACAAAAAACACAGATTCATATGTTGAATGACCTGATAGGAATGTCAGTTCTGTGCTCTCTTACTGTAAGTTATTTGACTCTTTATATATTTTATGGAATTAACTGAGATGTGACAGGATACGAACTCTTCTGGTTGTTACAGGATTGAACAAGTCGCCTTTGTCGAACCTACTTTAAAGGAATGTGAAGATTTGCTTGAAAAGGTGTCAAAATAAAATGCACGCATAGACATTAAAATCAAGTTTCAGGCATTCAATTTTATTCATATGTTGTTCTTGAGCAAAGCCTTTAAGGCAGTATCAAGATCACTGCTGATACATTTAAGTCTTCTTTTATTTGCCTTATTTCTCGTACATGGCTTCTTTAGTTCTTTGGATAAATTCCTGAGTTGAATTGGCCTTGGGATAAGGTTGATCGGGTACTTTTTTGTCCAAGAATTTGCAAAGTCTCTCCCATCCTTCACCTAACTCCATAACCAAGAGTCTTTCTGGGGGCACGGTTCGTTTGACCTCTTCAATATGATCAATGAACAATTGCTTCACATATCTTTCGTTGTTTACTCTTTCTTTGTCGACAAAAAGGCCATCCAATACTACAAATCGGCACATGTCACCCATTCTCTTCATAGTGGGGTTTCCTGAACACTTTGCATAGGATGCAGCTAGAACAATTGTATTCATTACTGACTTGTACCAGCTTTCTGGTGTTCTCACGGTCAGTATGACCTTAGCGTCTGGGTACTTCTCCATTAATTCTTTATAGAAAGTACATGTAGGCCAGTCTACAGCCGCGTCAAAATCTTTGTAGATCGTGTCCCAATCCCCTTGTTTATTGTTCAGGTAGGCTTCTTTAAAGGGTAATGGATCAAGATTAGGATCCTTTTCGAAGCAGGACATATGATGGGTGCGATATCTGAAATACAAAATAAGGCTTTAAAAAACAATGTCAAATGATGTACTCTTACCCTAGCATCTCTAAAGCCATACGAAGACTATCTGTTCCCGTTCTTCCAAATCCTGCGCCGATGACTTGTAAAGGTGCCATTGAATGTATTAAAATGAAAAAAAAAAAAGAAAAGAAAATCAAATAAATCGATACATCTTTTATTAAGGGAAACCGGGTAGGCGATGGTGCATTCTCTTGCATCACAATACACCATACGTACAACTTGTTTATTTTGCTTTGATAATAAACAGCTTTTCACACACACGTGTGTTCCAGAATATCCTTTTTTAATATTGGCCGTTATTTATCCGCAGTAATACCATTTATCCTCCATGAGTGATAAGTTCTCTCTGTCTTATGCATTGGCCATTGCTTTTATATTGCTTGATTGATTATAATCAAGTATTATTTACCAGCACACAATAACGTATGTTATATACATTACAAAAGCCACTCTTACTTATTCTAAAGCTCCACAGACAAGACTATAAATAAGTACATGCAACTTTATTCTTGTCCAATGTCAAATGACTTGTATTACATTAGCCGTCTGATTGCTTAAACATACAAAATATATTCAACAGCATAAAAAGATCAAGAAATTGCTTCAATAAAGAATTGTATGAACAAGCTTTATTTAGTTCTTCCCCATTTATAAATCTGCAAATCATATAATGATTTAATTTTATCAAACAGTGAACCAGAGTGCTTATCTCGTTCTGCAGCTTCTTTTGCTGATTTGAACTCAAGAGCCTTTTTGTCTTTGGTAATATCTTCATCCATGTTAGAACTCGAGTCCATACCAGTGTCATATGCGCTACTCTCACTTTCATCGATGATCTCGGTATTGTTAATGTCTGGGTTTTCTTCGTCATCCGATATGATTTCTATAGCACCACTCTGTGGTTCCCTTGTTGAATCTTGGGAATAGCCATAATACTCATTTGTAACGCCTTCTACATCATCTTCATCATATTCATAATCTGGGGGTATTTCTTCATCATCTAATGGGTACTCCAAGTAGTTATCTTTCTCTTCTTGCTCAGTTGTGTCCTGTGCGTAGTCTGATCCATCATCGATGGCAATAAAGTCTTGTTGATTACCATCATTGTTTTCTTGTAGCTGCTCGTCTTCAAATTTATCATATCCACCTTCAGTGTCTATGTATTCATCATAGTTTTCCTTTATCTGGTCTTCTTCATAGTCTTCGTATTCATCATCATGTTGGTCATCTGGATAATGCTTCAATTCATCTTCATCAGCTTCTATATCTTCATAGTCTTCGTAGCTTTTAACACTCTTATACATGTCGTCATCATTGTTTTCTTCTTCATCTTCATATGCGTCGTGCTCTAAGTGATCAATTTCTTCTTCATATTCTGGCAAGCTAGCGTCATCTTCAAGCACATCTGCATTGTTTGGTGCCTCTTCTATATGTTCAAGAAAGTCTGTCTGGTTATTTCCTTCAGTTTCATCGGCATATTCATGATGCGTACTATCATAAAATTCATCTCTATCAGCTTCATTATCTTCAACATCCTCTCTGCTGTCTTTATCATTGTCTGATTCATCACGGTCTTGAACAACTTTTGCTTTCTTTACGTCCTCAGCCAAGTTAGTCAATTCATCTATTTTTGCAGGTTCTTCGTGTAGTTTAACCTCCTCTCTGGTTTCAGTTTCTGTGTTCTCTTCACCTTTTGTAATGTTATCATTCTCTTCTTTTCCTTCTTGGTCCTTCTGATCAAGTACACCTTGCTCGTCTTCATCATATTCAGGAAGCTCACCGCTTGAGCTGGTTTCATTTTGGCTTAAATCATCTTGGTTTACATTCTCCTCGTCATCTTCATTCAAATACAACATATTCTCATTCAGCTCCTCGCCTTCTTCTTCAGCGTACTCATCGCCGCGCGCCTTTTCATCAGCATACTCTTGATCTTCTTCTTCCCACTGATCCTCAATTAATTCGGCATACTCTGTACCTTCGTCTTCCTTCTGTTCCGTGTCTGTTCTATCTTGGAGTATGACCAAATCATCAGACTCTTCCTCGCCTTGCATTCCAAATGCTACTGCGTCATCTCTATAATAATTATCATCACCTACATCCTTTGACACTTGCTTCGTGATTGGCTGTGACCATCGCACATCGTGTTTTACAGGTAATATAATTTCATCTGCTTCAGGGTTAACTTCTTCACTAAATACTTCTAGCGATTGTCTTCGCTTTCTAAGCCCTGTATCTTCAAAATCATCCTCTCGGTCAACCATGACGTATGAGTCAAGATCATCTGCTACCATGTGTTCATCGTCATCTTCTTCTTTATCATCATTGACCGAGGTCATATCTTCATCCTTGTCTGCTGCATCATCTAGCTGCATACCTTCACTCTCCTCTTCATCATCTAATTCCATCCAGTTTCCAAACTTATCAAGGTCCATGGATTCCTCAGCGTGTATTTCCTCCGCAGTCCCAGTTGGCTTCTGAACATTGTCTGTTATAGTACTTGGTTCAATCTTATCACCTCTCTCAGATAACTCTTTATCTTGAACTGAAGAGTTCTCTCTGACTGTAGGCGGCATTTCTTTAGCAATTGCGGAAGATTCATCAAGCACTGTTTCTTTTACAGATGATATAGGGGATTCTGAAAATGCTGCTTCTCCAGTAACAGTTTCGCTGATTTGGTCTTGCTCATTAAATATCTTTGCATCAGCCTTCTCTTTAGTTGAGACAGCATCCACTTGCTGTTGGTCAGCATCAATTAACTCAGTCTGTTCTTGATCACCTGTGGCATCTGTCTCATCATAATCTAACGGCTCTTTTATAAATTCAAACGATTCAATTTCCACTGCTTCCTCTTGCTCTATTGTTTCCTCTACATTATTTGATAGTGCTTGTTCTGACGTTGCAACAGTAACAGATTTTTGCACAATTTCCGTAACTTTTTCTGTTGTGCTTAAGGTAGTGGTTTGTTCCTTGTAGGATTCCTCGTCTTCTTGATTTCTCTGTATCACAATATCTTCCTCCAGTTCTCTATTCAACTCTATGTCACTTTCATCCTTATATTCTTGATTCGACAGTACTTCTTCGTCATTCTTAAAGTCTTGGTCGGATTGCACCTCTTCAGCGCTTTCATATTCTTCATCTGACTGAGCGTTTGCGTCATTTTCTTGATCCAAGGGTTTCAAGTCCTTTAGCTCTTCAGTAGCATCCTGATCACTCTTATCCACATTTTCCCTATCAGAAGTCATGACTTTGGGTGTAAGTATCTCAGAATCTGGTAATTCGTCAGCAGAATATGGAGATCGACCCTGTTCGACCATAATTTCATTCTTTGGCTGAATCAGACTCCATCCCTCTTCCTCTTTGTATCCTGGCTTTATCTTGTGCGATAATCGCTCTTTCTTCACCTGCGCAGCCTCTATGGCGGCTAGACTCTCTTCAAAAAAGACAGTTGTTGCCTTTCGTTTCAGACATACCGCGTGATGAGGAAAGGCATATTCGACCACTTTTTCTGCTTTTCGTAAAAGAAACTCTTTCATATCAACCTGAGCATATGTTGGCTGATGCAATTGTTGGATACATGCAGATTCGTCAATCTCTCGCTCAAGAGTGAGCGTCAATTGTTGTTTGTCATCCAAATACCAAACACTGATCTTATAAGTCGGCTGTGAGTAAAAGACGATGGTCAGATCGATTCCATTTTCATGATGAGGCATTAATTGAGCCTCAGTTGCCAATGCCGTAGGTGTGGGTGCTGAAAGGTGCTTAATAACTTGTCTTTGTGGGCCATTGAATTCAACAATCTTTACGTATGAGGTAGCATTTCTTTTTGAGAAGTGTCAGTATCATGTAACCATACAATCGTTGGAACTTACTCGTATTTCGCATCGTCATCAGGTTTAGCTTGTGCAAAAGCAGCAATAAATCTTAAACTGGTGTATGTTCTTGCGCAGGACAAGTGAGTAATCGGGTCTATAGTAAAGTATAAGTCTAGAGTATAACAAGACCAGGGATATGCTTTACATACATCCAGGAAATTCTGTGAATTCAGATAAATCAATAGGTGATCTTATTCTTGATGCTTTAAACGAATAGACAGTGGCTCTGAATCGGTAGATGCGAATAGCACCTTTACTATATCCGAGCAGAATTTGTGGATCGTGGTGTCCCATACGTCTATCTTCTGCATCTTGCGGTAGGATATAAATGGCAGTAACGTGTCCAATATTGTCATCTTCGTTTTCAAGGTATTTGAAAGACTACATGTTAAAAAGAAGATGAGATAAGTGAGTCTGGTTTAAAACATGCTATCTTACAATGCTAATATTAAGTGAATGATCAATATGTAATAGGATAAGAACAGTTGAACCGTTCTGGATACCGATGACAAGTGCATAACACATTTTGGTCTCTGCAGTTAAGTTTTTATATACATAGTTCTAACAGAAAGAATCAGATGGGATGTTCAAACAACTGGAATAATATTCAAGCTTACCACTTCAAAAGGTCGATTTGTTATTTTTGCTTGAGTAATATTACCAACAATAGGTGTTTCAAAGTTGATTCTTTTACATTCCTTTGTGATGACGCTGTGCCAAAAGAAGTGATTATGATTATCAGAATCCACGCATGCAATGATAAGCTTTGGTTGATCATGCAATCGACAGCTTAGGACGTGTTTGATTTGTAACTAGGGAGCAAGAAAAAGATGGGAGAGGTATAAGTTTCCTTGATTGAATACATCAACTGATATAAAACCTTTTCAGCATCTATTTGTAGATCCGAAACTAAAATATGCTGCCTTGACTTTTCTGTTGTTCCAGGCTGTGTGTAGATTATTTCGATTTGCGTGTCGTCAAAGTAGTAAACAAGATCTCTGTTCACTTCATAGTTAAACTTTGCTTTTTCCATGGTGAAATAAAGATAAAAAGAGACGTGGTATAGCCGAATGGCCAATCAAAGAAGGCAAAACAGTGAGGGCAGCATGAATCTAGGTACACCCCACCCTGTCGTCATCCTGATGTTGCTTCTATTCACATACGCCGAACTAAGTGTATATGTTTATGGCTCTTGCTGTTGCTTGTCAAGAATGCGTCAGCGCATATATACAAGATTACAAGCACTTCAGGTATTATTTTCTTAGTAACGATATTCGGAATTTAAAATAGAAATTGAGTGCTTCTTGGATTAGATATTGAAGTTGTCAAGCTGCTACAGAACAAACCTATTTTTAATATGGAATTTATATCGTTTATTGTCAAGTGAACTGCTGCTTAGTGATCACCATAATCATTCTTCCAATGATCGCATGGTTACTTTTGGTTACGGTGTGTACAACATGACAGCGCTGAAATTCAAATATAGTTGCCAATCATATACTTTCGATTTAAATGCTCGTAAACATTATTACTCTCCCCTTTTTGCACTCACACACAAGCACATATACACACCTCTTTCTTCTTGATGTCTTATCCTGCTGATTTACTCAAAAAGATAAACGATTTAAAAGAAGAGTTTAATCAACAAGTAGAAGCTCTTGCGAACGAATACAATCACATTATTTCAGCTAAAAAGATAAAAAAAGAAATCCTTGGAAGACATTCAGAAAAAGGAAGCAGAGCATCTAGACCGTCTAGGAGGATCAGAACTCCACAATCAGAATGTAAATCACACACCACTTTTTTATTTGTAATGTGATATTTATGCATGTACTAACACTGATAAATAGCGCCAACGCCTGAGAGTAGCACAACAAGAGAGCCATCAGACGCGTTATTGAATGACAAAAATGAACATTTCAAAAGCCAATGCAAAAAGATTTATGAACTGGCAGTGAAGCTTTATCGAGAGGACGGTATTCATGTACTGGCTTACTGTGTTCCTTCACCAGAAGAAGACGACATTCGACCATTGAAAGTATTCAACACAAGTAAGAGCACAATGATGGCTATGATATCATTATACATTTCTATTTACAATCATGCTAGAGTTGTGCAAGAGATTTAATAGTAAACTGACAAGAGAGATGGTTAAGTTGACGGATGAATTGAAGTCTTATATTGCTTTTCATACGGGCCCTAAAGGTACACAGGAATAATTACAAAAAGATGTTCTAACCAAGAATGTTCCAGTTACCAAGGAAACAGAAAATCAGGAAGTTGCTAAAAGTAAACGATCAGTAGCAGAGGCAAAAAATCAGGAAGTTGTTAAACCTAAGCGATCAGTGAAAGAAGCAAAGAATCAGGAAGTAGTTGGAACTAAGCGACTAGTAGAAGAAGTAGAAAATCAAAAAGTAGTTAGACCTAAGCGGTCAGCAGAAGAAGAAGAAAAACAGGAAGTAGTCAGAACTAAACGACCAGTAGAAGAAGTAGAGAATCGAGAAGTAGCCAGAGCCGAACAATCAGTAGAAGAAGTAAAAAATCAGGAAGTAGCTAGGCCTAAACGATCAGTAGAAGAAGTTGATCATAGTGATGATGAAGACGATGAAGATGGTGATGATACCAAAGAGGAAACAGAAGAGCCTGTTTTTAAGAAATATAAGTCACGTCAACTTAAATCCTTGAGCCTGATGTTAAGAGGCGAAGAGAAGATAACAGGGACGCTTCGGCCTTTGCCAGGAAGAGAAAGAAGGATAAATAGAAATGATGCCTTCAGACGGAGAACAAAACCTAAAGCAGGTAAAGCATAGGATTTTGTCTGCTCGCATAAAACACTCATCCTAAGTACAGCTTCAGAGCTTGCCAGATTTAACTTGAAGAAGGATATCCGAAAGAGGTTATTGGACATGTTGCGTAAGCATCAATGAAATTAAAGAGAAAAAACATTTATTTATTTTTTCTATAGGCGATGCAGATCCTGAATTAGACGAGACAGCGTTTCCATGGAAATCCTTTGGTGATACAGGAACATACAAAACGTGCATTATGGAAGGGCTACCGACCAATTTAGTCAATTTAAGTAGAGGATTAGACAGGATGACAGGCACACAGATCAACATATTAATGGACGCTCTTGAAAAGGGAAATATAAAGATAAAAAAGATAGAGTAGTGATGTAAAAAACAAATAAATAAAGAATTGTGTTTATGTACAAATAATACAGTTCTGTAAAGGACTTGATCGTATCTTGAATGGGTCATTTCGCTTGGGTAAAACTCTTCTTTGCCTCAATGGACACACTATCTTTTGAGCACGCATCATGTTGACTTCCGCTACAATCATTCGAAAGTAGTCCGTATTTGTCCTGATATCACGGGTATGTTGGCGTATTGTCTGTTCGTTTACTAGCTTCTTTTCACTATATTTTTCTGATTGCTCAACCAAGATCCACTGCTGGCGGTTATTTTCTCTTTCTAGAGGTGCTTCAAATAATCTAAATGTCTCCAAGGGCACATTATCATCTTTTATCGTATTATTGAGTTGTTGTTGCTTATAAACATAATGATCACATAATATATCAGACAGTATGGATGTGTTGTCATCAATATCAGATAATGAATACTGGTTGCTGCTAGTAGTACTACTTTCTGAACTACTCAGACTTGTAGACAGCGAGGGGGTATCTTCTTGATTAAAATGATGATGACAGTCAATAGGTTCTGTTGATGTGATGGTTTGTATTTGAGGTTTATTGTTATGGATAGGCATAAATCCTACTTGCTCTTTCTTTGATGTGAATAATGATGATAAAAATGAGAAAAATGAATTGGTAGATGATGTTGAAAAGAAGGGGTAAGGGGCTTGAACAGTGGTCTAAAGAGTGTCAGCATCGTCAAATTCATTATCTAATGAGCTTACATTTCTCTTCTTTTTCCTATATTTAGGAATGTGTCCATAAGGAGTAGGTATAGGATGTGCCTTACTAAGCATTGCAGCAATAAAAAGAAAAAAAGAAAAAGAAAAAGAGAAAAAGGAAATTAATCAGTCTTTAAATACATGTCTTTCGGGTCGGACTTTATATTAATTGGAGAGAGGGCAAAGGGAAGAAGGAAAGGGGGGCGTAAGATAGCTTATCATTGCCGTTTTTATACATTCTTCTTTTACGGTTTATCTCAGGTTTACTTATTTTGGTTGTTTTATAAATGAAAAGGAAATTTTGTGTTTATATAGGGAGTTTGTATTACGCGTTTATTATTGGATCCACATTTATTGTTGATAAAGACCAGAACCAGTAGGCTTTAATTGGTTGACTCTATATGGTTCAACGCGTTCAGTAAATCGGATACCCTTGAATTCTAGTTGCTCCAAGATAGGCTCATAGACATGTCTTTGAGTGGGTACTTGTACACCTCTTTCAGGTATTTTGTTATCCAAAACTAATTCAACAGCCATGGCTGCAGGTAATCCAACTGTCTCTGCCATAGCCGTGTGCTCGTCATTGCCGTAACGGATCAAGGTAGACGTCAAAGTTTCCTAATGAAATTGTTAGTGATCCACATGCTTATATCATGTAGTAAGAATATACCTTCTGACCAGATGAATGCTCAATACCAAATTCATGATGCATGGCCACCATATCATGCTCTCCCTTTTCATATCTTAACCTTTTAGCTAATAGGTTTGAAAATAAGTCTAAAGGTACTGCTCCTTTCATGTGAATAGGGAAGTCATTATCCCTTGAAAGCAAGTAGTGCATGGCTGACCAAACAGTTTCTGTCATTGGATGGTCATTAGATAACCCGAGTCTTTGAGTTACGGACTCCTTGGTCAATGGACTGCGTAAGGTGACTTCAAAGTATTGTTTCTATTCAAGTCTGTTAGAAGGTTGGTTACGTATTCCCTCTTTTCCCTAATTTACCCAGTTCATGCAGTCACTAAGGGGTTTAGTTTCCAAGAAACCCAATTGGCGGAAGGCGTAAAGCAAGTCAGAGTATCCCTATCATAAAATATGAGTCTTTACTGTTGAGTATCACCCGATTGTCTTACCTGGTAACGAAGGGTGCCTCTAAACATTGTGTCCATATCGGACAACGGACCTAAGCCGTAGACGTCTGCGTAGCCAAGGGAATTCCTATTGGCTAATCCTTCAAATACAAACCCAGCAAAAGGGGTACGTACAACTGGGAAATGCTGTTTTAATAAATTATCTCCTGAAATGATATGCTCCTTTTATCCGATTAAGTAACACTAAAAATGAGGCCCTTTATTTGTCTTACCTTTTTGTTGTTCCAGTAGATCGCGTCATTTCCACTCGCAGTAAGTACACCACGGGGGGACCAGCTAAACTTGTAGCCAAATGGAACGTTGGATGCTTCGGGGGCAGGTAATCCACCACACCAGGAAATGAAGGATCGAATCTGGAAAGAAGGATGTTATAAATTTATTACTCAAGTGCTTCATAGCCTTACCTTGCTTCCTTTTCTTTTGGCTTCATCAATGATCTTCATGGCAGACATGTGGTCAATACCAGGATCCAAACCAACTTCATTCATAATCAAGACACCCGCCTTTTGTGCCCTACGCCAACGTGAATAAGCGAACCTGTAGTCATACTTGTTCATTTCTTACTTTTCGTTTAAGCCTTGCATCTCTGGAGAAACGTAGCTGGCCGTGACCATGTCCTTTCTTTGTTCAATACATACATTGGCTACTTGTGTATGCAGAAAAGCAGGAACAAAGCTAACCACACGGATTCAGTACACGCTATTTAAAATTGTATATAGTTACCTCACAACAACATCTGCTTTACCGACAAGAGCAGAAAGGCTCTGTTGATCCGAGATATCTAGGGGAACAGACTCTGCGTTTGAAAACTTTGAAACAAGAGCTTTGGCCTCCTCAGCAACATTGCTAGCTATAAAGACTTTAGCCTGATCCTATATATTTGACGATAAGACAGCGTACCAACAACAATATTCACATCAGATCTTCTGGCTAAATGCTCCACTAAAGGAGCGGCGACCATGCCTGAGCCTAGCAAAAGAACGGTCTTTTTGGGTTCCTTCTGCGTGGTTGAGAGATAGCTTTTTAAACCCTGGTGCGCTTCAGTTAACTTTCCATCTTCTGCAATCACTGAGTGACGTAGTAAAGGCGATTGACCAGGCTGGGTAGCCATTTCCTTGATAAAGGGATACAGCTTTTCACTAAAATGCTGACTACTCTCAACGGGCAGTTCTGCAGGCAAGATGTCAATACCCATGATCTGGATACCGTTTCCCTCAGGACTAAGCAGGACAGGTTAGTAGTTTTTATTATACAACATCAAAGACATACTTTTTATGCTCCTCATTCTTGAGAGCGTCATAGTAAAAGAAGCCATCGTCTACGTTGGTAGAGTGTGATAAACATTCAAATGCACCCTTTTTGGATGTTAGTCCCTTCATAAAAACTGACAACAGAATAAACCTACCCTAATATCACAAACGATATCTGCCAAACTCATCATCTTTCCCTTGTTGATGACACCCTTTTGTTTTAGCAACTCTATCTCTCTCAGTTGATCATTAGTTAGCGTTCTTGGATATCGTTTATCCCAGTACGCGCCTGTGATAACACAGTTAGTATAGGGCGCGATCTAAAGAGCAGCATGAGTTGTCTGTTGCCTGTAATATTACTATACTACCTTCTGGTGAAAATTCGAATGGTATTTTTCGGGATGATGAATGTACTCATCATGGGATTCTAAAGGTCTATTTCCATCCTTTGTCACGATGTAATCCGTGACGTCTAGTTGAGTTGCGTAAAGCTTGTTTAAGTTTGGATCTAAAAAAATGTAGAGGTTAGCTCGAATACAATCAAGATAAATATAACCTTACTTTTATCATTAACGATTTTTTCTAAATCTTGTGCTGGTACAAATTCGTGTGGCAACTCTTTGAATATTTCCATGGCACCCTTTTTGCACGTTAGCCCATTCGCACTCCCTTGCTATACTGTTATTTCCCCTTACCTGAGCTACATTGCCGCCTCCTGTAAATGTATAGACTAGAGGACCAAAGTCTTTAGGTGTTCCATTTCGTTCGATCATGTCGGCAACTCTAGCAAGCGCTAATCTGGCCTCATTTAAGGTAGGGTAAGCATGTGCCATTGATGTATACTACCATAATTTAATTAGAGTTACTTTTAAATACATTTGCCTTTTCCCTTTCTTTACCATAAACGGAGTGCTATAGCCTAATCCAAGGAATCGATGGCCCATTCCATGCAGAATATCAATCATACCTGCATTACCAGCGAATTTACCAAAGGCAACCAATCTCCTTCCTTTTTCGTCTGTCATTAACTCGTAGTCCATTAAGCGTATCCTCTATTCCCACGAGAGGGTGAGAAAAACAAGTAAAGTTTTGTACAACTCAGTTACCTTGTCAAGTATGGTTTGAAGCATTGGCATGTTTTTTTCGTTCCCTTTATGAGTGTGGGAAAAGAAGAGATAGGTCTTGTCTGGCAAAAGTGATTCCTGGGGCACTTCTTTGATACCAAGGATGACATCTGCCTTTGACAGATCCTCGGTTACTATAGCACCAGCCTAGCAACCAGATCAACCATTTTGCACTGCTACCATGTGTACATACATGAACTTACCTTTTTATAACTCTCGATTGGGAAGATTCTCTTTGTACTGGGCTGAACATAGACTTGAGTTCCTGTCTCATGGATCAATTTCTTGACGTGATCTGGTGTCAAAGGAGTGCGTCGCTCCCAGCGACTTTTATCTTCTCTTCTAATACCAATAGTGGCATAGTGCCGTCTATGGACGAACTTGTGATTTCCTTTAATTAAATTCAGTAACATTTTTATGAAATTAAAAAAGAAAAAAGAAAGCAAAATGCGATAGGCTCCTTTATTTCTTTCTCTCTCACGATCAGCTGCATGTTTTTGTCATAGAGCTCGCGTCACACATGCAGCGATAACTTGCGGAACTTGAACTCTATTCTGTTTGAAAAGAACAAAATGATAAGCCTTGATAGAGTCGAGCCTTAAAAACTCTTAAAAAATTTAGAAAATGTATCGTATCTTTTACAATTTGTCATACATATATTGTTTATTTGATATTATTGAGCCATTTGTGTATGAACATGCAATAGACATCATTACACGCCATTAGTTTACACGTATCAGTTAAGTACAAATAAACTTTGTATGATAGGCTCTTTAGACATGATAAAAAGTGTAATTTTGTATTAAATATATCTTTATTTTATAATATACATTCAATAAAAATGGGTTACTTTCTTCTTCGCGTATTAACCGAGAAAAGAAAAGTTTAGACCTAGAAAATAAGTAGTTAATAAACACTATAGTCTTATAGAAATAAAAGATGTATTATTCGTCAGGCTCATTAAATCAGTATTTTTGTAAGCCACACAAAAGATTAGGCCAAAGAGGTTATGCATCCTTCGAATATACACCTTTCTTTTAAAATTAACTTGCCATTTTTTTTCTTATAAAGAGAGAAAGAAGCAGTAAAAATTTTTTTTTTTCACTTCTGTCATTTTTATACATTCATTTGGGTGGCTTAATCCGTTTTGATTCTCCATTTCAATCCAAAGGTACATTCATTTTATACGCGCTTTTTATCTTTTTTGCAAAATCACTATATCCACCTATCAACTTTAATTGGTCGCTATCACATCCCTCATAAATAAATGGTGAAGTAGATTGTGTTGTTTTGAATTCCTAATGGATACATCAGCAGTCGTTTCATCTTATTTCTTTCTATTTTTTTTTACCTGTTGCAGTTCTCGTGCACGCTCTGACCACTGTTGCTTTATATATGCACTTACATCCACTTTGATATTGGGATGCTTTGCTGTTAGTCTATCACCTGCTTCAACTGCGTTCGAAAAATAGACACAATTCAAAAACCCTTCCTATTTAAAAGGTCAACTTATGATATACAATAACATATCCAAAGCCATACAATATGATAACACTCTGTCTTTTGTGGAATCTCGTCTAAGCCTTGAGTCGATGGAGTGTTTCCCTTTTGAAGCCAAGAAAACAATCCCATTGCGAATTTGAAAAAAAAAAAAAAGAAAAAAGAAAGGGGCAGGACAAGGGCTGGTATTGAAAATTGAATACTGGCTTTTTTTTTTATTGTCATGTCATTCGACATTATTGATGCTGAACAATGCTTCTCTAAAGACATGAACCCGTACACTCTCACTCCAGGTGAATTCAACGTATTTGAACCTTACTTTCAGGAACGTCAAGGCATCCCAAAGAAAAAACAAAGAAAATCACCAAGTAACACTGACGTCGAGACTGAAAAGCGCCACGAAGAACTGAGGCCATTATTGACAGACTGCATAGATAGATTACAAGCGGTCTGGCCAAAACGTGAACAAAAGTCAACTGAACCAAAGGAAATCAAAAATGAGATCGATTTCCCGAGCATCCAAAGCATGGTGGAGTCAGCTCATAATAGATTCACCTCACAGCATGATGAAAGAATAGAACTACCCGATGAAAGCGATGATGATGCAGCTTATAGAGACTTGGATATATATTCAGTGTTTAACAAGATTTGCATTAATTCAGCACAACGGTTAAAACAAATTGAAATCACGCCGTCTGCCAAATATTTGATACCCCCAAGATCATCATTTATCATGGGATCCATGACAGATGGTAGCTTACAACAATTAAGCGATTATGGTAGATAGAATGCAAGTGAAGACGAGGTATAGCTAATACCCTTACATTCATTAGTGTCCTCATTAGGTGGTGCCGACTTGATTGTCATAGACCCACCATGGCCAAACAAAAGTGGTAATAAAACATATACAAGGCATTCTACAGTTACTTATGAGCACACTACATGCAAAAAGTTCATAGATCGTCCAACTATGAAACACAAGATATCTATGATTTATTTACCATTCCAATGAAGGACTTGATAAATGAGGATAGCGTAGTAGCCGTGTGGGTTACAAATAAACCCAAATTTAGAAAGTTTATTATCCACAAACTCTTTCCTGCTTGGGAACTTGAATGTAAAGCGGAATGGGTATGGCTGAAAGTAACAACAGAAGGTCAATGTATTTTCCCACTTGATTCTAGTCATAAGAAACCATACGAACAACTGATCATTGGTCATCGTCAAAAGGCAAGCGACTTACCTTCAAGACATGTTATCGTCAGTGTTCCCAGCCTTAGACATTCAAGAAAACCGCCATTACAGGGTATTGACTATTTGCTTTATACAATAACTTGTAATTCATGTGATTATAGATGTTATTTTGCCTTATTTGAAAAACAGGGAAAGACCTGTTTGTGTAGAGATGTTTGCTCGCTGTTTGACACCTGGATGGATCAGTTGGGGAAATGAGTGCCTAAAGTTTCAACACACAGAGTACTTTGAAAAGAAAGCGTCTTGAATAGAAAGGGTTAATATGCAAAATGGGATAGTAACCTCTTGTAACAAGCATAGAACAACATGAAGAAAGGATGTCAAGGGCAAAATTAAACGAGACTCATCCTTCCTAGTTTTTCATTACGAGATAATATCTCTTTGTAATAAATCTCTTTTTGACAAACCTTAGCACTTTTATTCTTTGAGCAATTGACATCTTTATTTTTCGTCTGTAATAAAGTGCCGAATTCTGTTAAAAAAGATGTGAAGCTGTACGCCCTGATATGTACCGTGCTCCAATACAAGCAGTTACCCCTTGGAGGGCGCCGAAAGATCCGCGAAGAAGCGCACTGTTTTTTTTTAGAAACCGACACAACTTTACTTTCCAGGAAAAATGTATTCGTCATTCTATCTCCTCTTTGGACGACGGGCCAACTGAGAGTACTTACTAATTTGGGATAAATAAGAGGCGCACATTCGGGCTACGGAAAAACTGTATAAAGATCTCTTTTCTTTCTCGTATGTTTCGAAGAATAGCAACTACTCTTTTTACAGTGAGTGTTTTACCCATGTCAACCGCTTACGCCCAAGGAAAAGACCATCATGATGGCAATGGATTTAAAAACCCTTGGCCGTCGTTTGTCAATTATGGATTCGCGGATGCTGCCCGAATGATATACTCTGCCGAGCGAAATAGACCCCTGAAAGGAGTCAGCGTACAGGACAGACCCAAGCCTGTCGAAATTGACTGGAGTGCATTAAAAAATGAAGAAAAGGATATAATCACTGCCACTTGGCTGGGACAGTAAGTGGTAAAAGGATATAATCATAAGATACAGGGACTCATATCTAATAGTGCATGTATGCTCGTTCAACTGAATGGGTTCAACATACTTTTAGATCCCATCTTTTCTCAAAGGTAAATTATCGCTACCATACAAAAAGAGTATACTAAAGTATGTATAGATGTTCACCTGTCCAGTTTATGGGCCCAAAACGATATTCAGATCCACCATGTCAGTTAGAAGATCTACCGCCTATTGACGCTGTTGTCATCTCACATAATCAGCAAGTACACCCCATTTCCTTTTTTGTTAGTGTTACACAATTGACATTAATGCATATGAATATAGCTATGATCACCTTGACGAGCATACGATCGGTGAAGTCAGCCGAATGAATCCTGACTGCAAGTTTTACGTTCCTCTAGGAAACAAGCAGTGGTTTAAACTTGACAAACCACTTGATAGACACGGTCACGATCGTGTCATTGAGCTTGATTGGTGGGATACATCTGTGCTTCAAAGGCATGCAAATGGTCAAGTTACTGCACAGGTCCGATTGACGTGTACCCCTTGTCAACATTTCAGCGGAAGGGGGTTATTTGATCGAAACAAGACGCTTTGGGCATCTTGGTGTCTTGAAGGCTTAGTAGATGAAAATACAGTGAAGGGAAAAGTGTTCTTTGGAGGGTAAATTCAACCAAAAAAAAAGGGGAGGGGAACATATGATCATACTGAACATTACTAGCGATACAGGATATCGCTCCCTTCCTGAAAGTGCCACTCCAGACCAAGAGTATGACACCAAGTACTTGGATACGCTTCCCTTTTGCCCTGCTTTCAAAGGTTAGACACATGAAAAAAAGGGAGATATCATCATGAATGCATACTCACACGACCTTTTCAATAGAAATTGGTGAAAAGTTTAATGGGTTTGATTTAGCATTCATTCCGATTGGAGCATATTCGCCACGCTGGTTCATGTCACCTTGTCATTGCTGTCCAGAAGATGCAGTTAGAATTCATCAAGATGTTCGAAGCAAACATTCAGTAAGTCACACGCTATGACGATCCTGGGTAACCTAATTGGTTATCTCTCAGATAGGTATTCATTGGGGCACATTTGTATTAACGGACGAACATATATACGAACCACCCAAAAGATTAGAAGCAGCCTTGAAAGAAAGAGGGTTAGACCAAAAAGAGTTTGATGTTCTTCCATTGGGTGGAACATTTGTTACCAAAGCAACAACATGAATGACAGCATAATGATGGATAATGTGAGTAAAAACGCATTCGGTGTTGATAAGAGAAAAAATATTTAATGCAGCTCTTAATAAATTTATTTTCCTTTTTTTCTCTTTTTCTCTCCCACCCGCTTCTTTTTTTTATATAAATAAATAATGGTAGAGTCACCTTTACTATCTCCCAGAAACGGACCAATCTTTCAATCAGAATCCCCTGATCCTAGTATCATTCAGGCCAAATGCTTAAAGCCAAGGTAATATATTCTAATAAAGAGGAACATACCTGAATAATTAATACACATTTCTACAAGCCGTGATTATATATCACAAACTTGGAAGAATGGTCTAGGAACCACGGACGAAATAGCCATTTATCCTCCAGATAAGAATTTCAAACAGGATGACTTCTTTTGGCGTCTTAGTGTGAATAAAATACAAAGCGATTGCAACTTTTCCTTATTCCCTGGCTATGAGTGGTAACTATAAATATGTAAAAAAAAAAATCAACATGATGATACTCACCTATCTTATAGTACAATGATTATTATGCCTACAGAAAATGAAAAGGCATCATTTTCAATCAGCCATGGTGAAACAGTGACAAAAGTGCATAGTCTATTCCCTTACAGCTGGCAAGGAGAGAAGTAGCGTAAACCTCATCTATTTATGAACTCAAAAGCTAACTATTTTATTAGAACTACATCCTGTAAACTGAGTAATCCTCCTATTCAAACGCTCCAGTTTATGTTGAAAAGGGATTCTGGAAAGGCACAGATTCGCATTGAAAAGATTGGTTCATACGAAACAGATCTTCAAGGTGATGTTGACTCCGGTAAAAATATGTTGTTTGGCGCATTTGTCCTGGTTTATGTTGTCGATGGGTATGTAAATGCCCTGTTGGACAAGAACCATGCGCATGGACAGAGCTTTGATATGAAGGCGGGCGAGTCTTTGATGATAGAGCGCGATGAAGATGCATCTCCGACTAGCATTTTATTAAACGCTACCAATGAACACTTTCAAGCAGCTCAAAGTGGAATAGGTAATAATAAATGATTTCAGGCCAGAATACATTTCTCAAATGTTGTCTCTTTTATAGAGGCAACTGTGGTGATTATTCAAATCGAGGAAGGCAAGACATTTGGTGGTGTGCTTCAAAGACAGCCCGATCTATCTTCCATAAATCAGGAAGGCATTGTACCAAGCCAGCGTCGACCAATCAATCGTCGGCCAAGCTTGCTGGTATCGTTGAACGAACAGCCACCGAATAATGAAGAAGAAAAACCAGAAAAGGATGAAAAAAGTCGTAGACTTTCAATACTTTCTCTAAATGATGAGGCCGTTCCAGATAGACCACTACCAACACGACGTGACAGCCTTGCAGGCATCTCTTTTGATCCTAGTATCGTATACGAACCTCCTCCTTTTGCCCTTTCACATCAAGATACCGAAGTTCCTCCACCTGTCATACGAGATAAACTAGAAGTAGATGAATTCCCATTTTCGACTATAAGCACAGCATGGATCAAGATCATGACACAGGGTTTGAGTGAGTGGGTCAAACTTCCTGTAATCGTGTGTCGTGGCAAAGAAGACGGGTAAAAGTTCAATAAAGAAAAGTTATATAAACAAAGGGTGACTAACATATACTGTAGTCCTGTTGTTGGCCTTACAGCTGCCGTGCACGGAAATGAACTGAATGGCGTTCCTTGTATTCACAAGTAAGATATACAAAAGGATGTGGGTTAACTCATCATTCTAACTCTTAAACAGAGTCATCTCTCAGATCGACGTAAACCAGCTTAAAGGCACACTTGTAGCCGTACCTTGCGTAAATGTATGGGGATATCTCAAGTTTCAACGTGAGTTTGCCGATGGACGCGATTTAAATAGACAATTTCCTGGTAAAGAAGACGGATATTCATCACAAGTGTTTTGTCATCACTTGATGAGTAAGATTATATCACAATTTAACTACATGGTTGATTTGCACACTGCAAGCTTTGGTCGAGTCAACTCCTATTATGTGAGAGCGGATATGGTAAGCATTTAAAAAAGAGAGATAAACTTGCCTGCTGACATCAGCTGTAGAATGATCCTATAGGCTCAAGTATGGCAAGTCTTCAGCAACCGCAGATTATTCTGCATAATTCAGGACAAGATGGAACACTCAGATCAGCCGCAGCAGCACGAGGTATAAAGGCCATCACTGTTGAAATAGGAAATCCCCAAACATTCCAAGATCGATACGTACAGGTAAATAAATAACAGTAAAGTGTCTAAAAAAGAGAAAATACTTACTTGATGCAGTGGTCATTCATGGGTATCATGCGAATTTTGGATCACTTCAAGATGTTTCCCTTCAAGAATGTGCTAGACAGCTTTAAGGACGAGTCGAGTGAAGATGATTTTGGTCCTAGTCACACTATCTTGTGTTCTAGAGGCTTTTGGGTAAGACGTAGCACAGCAAAAGATCAGCAAATGTAACAGATGGTTTCTATAGATCTATACAAAAAATGGAGGTATACTAGAAGTGTACCCTGGAGTAAATAGGTTGATAAGAAAAGGTGAAATCATTGCAAGGATTAAAAATATGTTTGGAAATATCATTGAAGAGTACTTTGCGCCTTGTACTGGCATCGTAAGTTGCTATAGTGACGTTATATCAATAGAAACTAAACTTTAAAAAAGGTCATAGGACGTAGTTCGAACCCTGTCGCCATGGCAGGAGATCGTATAGTGCATCTTGGTGTTATTAAGAAGACAGGTGAGGCACTAGCAAAAGCAGCAAAAGAAAACTATTAAATCCATAAAAGGCAACGGCCGTAAACAAATAAATAATATACTGTTTTATTCTTGAATAAAATGGGTATCTATAAAGAAAGTACTATATACAAATTAAGCGAGGATAAGCTGATTATCGTGAAAGAAGTAATTATGATTGCTATTAGCATTGTTATTATTATTATTGTTGTTGTTGCAAGCTGATTTTATATCCATGTGCTGCCGCCGTCGGACTTTTCTATTTTTTACTTGATTCATCAACAGGGCTTCCTTTTCATAGTCTATGGTAGGATCAATAGGCTCAGGTTCTTCTGTAAAGTAGCCCAACTCTTTAAAGAAGAATTGGAAAGTAGTATGTATATGATTATCTTCATCAATGGTAGATTCTTCTGGTGTAAGTGGTATAATATTAAAGGTATTTTCTTGGCATTCATTATCATCCATCCATGAATAGTCATCCTGCTTGTAGTCATAGCCATCCTGCTCATCTGGCTCAGGAGTTAAGCAAAAGAAAGTGATAGCTTCATTCATACTTTTTTAAGTATAAAGAAAGAGAGAAAGAGGTAAATGTAGATCTCACTATTTATATTATACCTAACGGGAATTCAAGGAACAGCAGGCTGCTATAGTTGGATGTGAGCAATAGTTTATCAACCAATGGCGTTGATGGATGGAATCTTATCATCCATTTCTCTCGTAGTACACACATATATGGTACTTATCTTATGTCAACGACTACTTTTATCCATTTCGCACGCTTATTCACTTAGTTTACATATCATTAGATTAACTGTGGCATACACGCATACCTTTACCATATACTACGGATACTCATTTACAATGACTCAGTACTATAATATACATCGCAAAAAAGCCTCAGTACTCGTAACCATAGCAAAAGCAGACGAAATCAGGAGCGTGCTGGCTTTCAACAACTTCCGGGGTGATAAAATCTGGAGATGGCCATATATGGTAAGTAAAAAAAGTTGAATAGTTTATCAATGTGTGTACAACGCAAAAGAGAGTAAATTATAGAATGAGTCTATATTTCTTTGAAGTCACATTGACATTCCCTTAAACATAAGCATGACGTTTTGGTCAAAAGAAGCTTTTTAAAAACCTATTTCTAATACAAAAGGTATCACTTGTATTCATTCATTAATATAATGAATTCTGGCTTAAACTATCGGAGCACAGGTATTGATATAGTCTTTAAGCATAGTTTTACTATTTGTAGACTGTGGCACTAAAGAGGTAATTTTCTCATAAAAAGATCTCAACTTAAAAAAGAATTGAATTATATTATGTACGTGTATAGAAAGACATGAAGAAAAGAGAACAATTTGTTCCATATATTATATATATGTAAAATAAAGCGTGACTCAGAGAGAAAGAGAGAGTATCCCATTTTTGCCTTCTTTTCATCAACCGACTGATTTTTATTATCGTCCATTACTAATGATTTGCTTGAGTGGTCATTGAATAGTATGCGTGGTTCTAGAAGTACTCCAACGCGCATTACCAAATTTAAAAGTATATCAAAGACAAGAAGAAAGAAAGGGTTCATTATTACAAACAACATCATTTTATATGAGCATAGCGCGTTATATAAAAATACTTTGTGATCAGTCTCTTTGTATTGTTCATTCGTAGAATAATCACATATGATTAGGTATTTATAGGGTAAATACAACAATATGCTTCTTCATGCATAATAATAAAGTAGCTGACATCAATTCACAGTCTTTTAAAAGGCAAATTACACTTTTGAACACAATTCACCGATAATTACTATATGATGCTTCCTTTACTGCTTCTGGATCATTGAGTAGATGCTTTTAAAGAAAGATTGGGTTGAAATGATACTCTTCAGTTATCGGGCCATCTCGAGATTGGAAGGAGGGCGGAGAAATAATCTTGAGGTATTTCAACAAATCACGTTCTTTACACAAAAGTTATTGCATTAATTAAAGAAGTACCGTAGTCAGACTGCACCATTCTATTATGCACTAATGATATCTTTAGTATAGTTCATCGTCGGGGACATTATGAGTTCACAATGATAATACATAACTAAAGCTGACGTTTATAATTATATTTTATACCTCCTGTAAAAGCAGGGGCCAAGCAAATCAAAAGCTTACTCTAAGCAATCGAGACTTTTTTTTTTATTCTATTTCTATCTACAAAACTATGTCGAAAAACATCCAGTTACCAGAAGAGGTAATAGGTATTATATTGGAATATGTGTCCAGGCAAGACCTTATTCAATGCCGACTTATCTGTCGCAATTGGTACCTTCCAGCCACACGATTGCTATTCAAAGAGGTCATGTTCAACAGTCTTCAACATTTTCAACAATTTCTTGATGCTTTCCGACCAACTTCATTTCAATATCCTCCAGCAAGCTATTTCATCAAAGGACTAGTCTTTAGCGGGCGGTTTACAGGATCACTGTCATCACAACAATTCGAAATTCTTGTCAAGCAATGCCCAAATGTTGAAGTAGTGTTTTCACTGAATGATCGTTTTGAGAAGCATATTGCGTATCATTTATTGAGCATCAGCAATGAATTACAATGGCGACGACTCAAATCACTTCCAGACTCATACCACACTTTTGACTTACACCACAAGTATCGAAACTCACTTGTAGAAGTACATACAAATGAGTTTGAGAATATAGAGAATTTTGACTTCTTGCAACTTTTTCCATGTGTTCGGGAGCTTGATATACCCAATCTGCCAATACATAGCTTGAACGAACTACGGACGATATTGAAGGTATGCCCCCATCTTCAGTTTCTAAGGGCGCAGCTTCCTCCTGACGAGCGACATGAGCTTACTGAACAACAGTGTTCGTTACTAAAGGAACTTAGAGCGGTTCAATATCGGAACTGTCATGGTGAAGCACTTGAATACCTGATGAATGCCTCCAGTCAACTCCAATTTTTACATCTAGAAGTCGATAGTACAACGCTTGATGACCCACTGGAACAAACAACGTTTCGTCAGATTGCTGCCAAGATGTACATGCGGCCGCATTTTCGTCTGTCTTTGTCAACTGAACGTAAAAATGATATCCAACTCATCCTTCGAGAGTATCTCGATAGTCTTTGCCAACCAGAACATTTGAGCTCAAGTCACACCAAGCTACACTTTTGGGAAGAACAGGAAGACCACCACGGAACTGTCTGTTTTTCGGCAGACTGGAATCGGAAAAAAGACAGTGACTCATTTAAACTCAACATGGCTATTCGTCCATCCGTGTGTTTTTTCCAAGACCTCCCTCGATACATCGGTAAGTTTGGTCCATTACTCAAGGAATTATATCTTGATCGACGCGAGATGGGCAATGGTCAGGAAGATGCACGAACAGTGATGAATATTATCAAACAGTTTTCGGCACTTCACACCGTGGGACTCGGCCAGTTTGTCCTTCGCAAGATCGATCCTTTGAACATTCAAAACGCCTCGATTGAATCAGTTGATATTGGAGCATCTTTTATCTACCCTCAGTTCCTTCAGGACCTCTCGATTTACTGTCCAAACCTTAAGCATCTTTGCTTGGAGAGCAACCAGCATAAGACACAACGGCAGGTCAACCTTTATACTGGTGAAAATGGCTGGCTTGTCAGTCTCAGTATGCCTCAAACGTATCTCGAGACATTCAAGTTTTGGCTCTGCTACCGCCGTCATCCACTTGATGAGGATCGTCCTGTGTGGATAATGGAGATCAAGACAGACGCAAGAGAGCTTTATTATAGAATCAGCTATGACCAAGATGAACCGAAAAAAATCACTTCGATGGAAGCTCATATGTTGTCATCATCAGGACAGGTCCGCTTTCAATGTAAAGAGATAAAGCAGTTTATTTTAAATGGAGTAATAGTAGATTTGTAAATATTGTATAAAAGTGTAAATAAATACCTATCAATAGGTTTATTGTTGTTGCTGATGAATGTCATGGAAATAATAATAAAAAAAACACCGACAAGCTAATTACATTATATGTCTTGGCATGACGGATATTACACCTAATTCTTAATGAACCTTTAAGGCTTTATGCTTACAATAACCAATGATCATTCTATAACAAAGAATTTATTGTAAAAAAAAAAAAAAATTGGAAGAGGGGAATATGGTAAAGTGATATGGATATACTTTAATAGATGCAGTTTCTATAGAACTGCTTGTCATCTAAAAATTGAACATTGTCTAGATTACTTTTGACTTTTTATCATATTCCTAAGCAACTAATACTTGTGCATCAGCAGTTGCCACTCTTGTTGCATTTCATCTTCAAATCCTTGCATCAACTTTAATACGTTATCTAAACTTTCATAGGGGTTTGTATTGACCTAGTGCACATGAATTAGAGCTAGACTTTTTTATTATTCATATAGTTACTTTAGCAACAGGTAAATGACAATAAGGCTCATTATCCAATTCATTCTCCTCTTCATCGTCAATCATACTAAATGAACTAGCCATGCTGCTACTACTACCTCTTGAAGAAAAGGTATTATTTTTTTCATCTTCGTCCAGGAAGTGTACTTGCTGTGCTCGATCATTTCTTTCCTGTATCTTTTTTTAATAAGTCAGCAGTCGTTAAAGGAAAGTTACGAGATTACCATATCAAGTAACAAATCGTCACAAGTGGCATTCTTGCCCTTTTCGATTTCGTTCGCTATGAAACATTTAATAAGAGAAAGTTCATTCATGATGATGTAAAGAGGTTACCTTTTTCATCATCTGAAGATTTCGATGAAAACAAAGAGGTAAGGGAGGTCAATGACGAATTTTGATTATTACTAAGCTGCTGAACTGATGCGTCGTTCAAGGAATTAGCATTGGATCTGGTTGTCTGCTTTGGAGAGGACAAAGGCCTGGCCTGTGAATCCCTTTTCCTACTAGACCGGAGCTCTTCATTGTTATTAAACAGTTTACCAAGAGCAGGAATACTCGTTGCTCGGGAAATAGACATTGATTTAGGTCGAGACAGTGTAGAACTCGTGGATAGTGCCTGTTGCATCAGGAACCTGATTCGGTAAGCGTGTTCTTGAGATAACTGTAAACATTGATTCAAAAAGAGCACTACTCCGAAATGACATGAGCTATTTTTTTTTCTTTTAGTTTATTCCCGAAAGTTCACTTACGGTTATTCCAAAAGACGCGTTCAAAGTCAATCGTCTGCTGATCTTCAGGTTCAGATAAATGATGCCACTTTTCCGCAAAGCCAGTTAGCGTGCTCAGGTGAAGACGAAAGCCTTTGAGACCTTCAGGCTGAATAAGTCCGACAATCCAAGGTGTATACGGAGAGAAGGCCGGAAAGAGCGATTCTAAGGAGATATCACGGGTGTCCACGTAAACAAGCGCGCTGTTGTTCTGATAAATGTAATGTATGAGCGTATGAAATAGTGTTTTACACATGAAATGACGAATGATTACCTTATACCTTGCCTTGACGTATGTTTCCGGACTGTAAACACTGCAAAAGGTGGGTATCTCTTTCCAAGTTCTATAATATGTCGCGTTACTAGAATCTATATAAATGTTGTTATCAAAGGAGAGATTGGTAAAATGAGAAAGGATACTTGCCATATTCTTTTGCCAGTGCTCTTGTCTTTTGATAGATTGCTTGGAACTCTAACCCCTTTTGAATGTAGTCATGTTTTTGTTGCCTTGTTAGACATTCTTTTTGAGGAATGACCGAAAATAACCTGGGGCCTCTGTAAAAATAGTGTTCGAATGAGGTAATATTTGTCATTTCATGTTGCTGGGCCTCTTCCATGTTAGATGCTGAGAGAATGAATGAACCAGGACGGTCTAGAATAGAAGAGTTGGCTTCTTTTCCATTTTCAAGTGTCTATATCAATACCTAAAACACCTTCAAAACACTCGATACATTCAAGGTCAGCCCATCCTTTGAATTTTAGTGAGTTTTCTTTTTTAGAGGGCAATCTAGAGAAGCGAGCATTCTTTGTGGGTATCATAGTGTCAACGATTTCTTCAAGGTCCATTTCTTTCGAATCAAGTGAAGAACGGCTTGCGACAAGTATCTTGTCTGTAAACAAGAAGAGGGTGACTGCTCTCAACGGCTTGTTTGTCTCGGGGTTGATCTCTAATGCGTCCAAATGCGCGACCAAGGATCTATTTTGGTTAATTAAGGAGCACTTTGGTGCCGGTTAGCCAAAAGAGAAGAAGAAATATTGAAAGTTGGCTTACGGGCGATTCCTTGATAGTTTGGTATAAAGCTAAGAGCATGGTGGCTGCTTTAGTGGTATCATCATCATCCATAGTAGCAATAACCTTTGATTTTTCACAAGCTTGTTTTAATCCCTGATAGTCTGGATGATCCTTTGGGGTTAAATTAAGTATCTCTCTGAGCATCATTGAATATCGACTGATGCGCTGTACGGGTTCGACAAGAATATCTTGTAGTCTCCTTCGTTTAAATTCAGGATGATCATTCACGTTCATTAAGAATCGTCTATAAGCTTGATTGCTCTTCACTTCCTTTGCGTGTAAATTTTGGGCTTCTCCTTGTTCCAGCAAGTATTTACGATAGCATTCAAAGTGTTGCATCTATATAAAAGCAAGTCAACAAAGGAAGGTGTCTTTTTATTTTTAATTGAGCTTACGTGCTCCCGACAGATGTCGCCAAAGCTTTCATGATTGTGTTCCAAGTCGTCCAAAAACTGTTGATTAGCTGATGCGATTTGATCGATATTTAGGAATATTTTAGTACATTTGTATGTATTAAGAATACAATGTTTTTGTTGCATAATTGATTTTAATGGATGTACGACATATTTGACTAATGTTTGTAATGTTTCCACGTAGGATCTTTCGGTCTTTATAAACTCTTGAATACGAAAAGCTCTTTTGTCGTCATCCCTTTCGAACTGAGATGCGTGTAACCTGAGTACATGAAAAATGACGTTTTTTTTGTAACTTACTTTGTCTGACATGTCGTCTACTGTAAACAGTGTTTGACGGCTGGATTTTTTAACGATGGTATCCTTGGTGATTTTAGTGCCAATGATATTGAAAAATTTCTCAAGCTGCATTTGCTGATCTAATACATATATTTAATACTTTATTTGATAGTTGGCAAGTGTACCTTGTGTTCTATCCTTGGAGGGAACAATCAAGTCAATGTTTTGACACTTTATTTTTATTAGTTTCCATTTTTAAAAAAAAAAAGACTATTTTTATGTTACCGATATCTTTTTGATTTGACAAGTGATTTTATCTACAGGTTCCTCAAACTGTAAGGTAGGTAGCTGTGTATTCTTTATTAATTTCCAGTGATGGTTATATCCACACTGTGAGAGATTTGTTTTTAATTGCTATTGTTTTATTAATGATCGTCCGTCTAGCTCATCCTTGTACTCACCTTGAAGTGAGCCATGACGTTAAAGGAAAAGGGAAAAAGAAAAAAAATAGAGAAATGTCTTTTATGTTATTGTTTTTGTATTGATGTTTCCATAATAAATCCCAAAACAGTAAAAGTGTAACAAGTATTCAATCTGAGCTTATAAACGGAAGTATAGGCTCTGCTCATTATCTGTCTTTTTATTATTTTGTAACAAAACATGTATCATCACACCATTTATTGGTTTTTTTTTCGACAATGGATAGCTCATTCAAGAAAAACCCCATTTATCAATAGAAATACTTTTGAGAATGCTAAATCTTGCTTTGATCGTTATGGTATACTTTACTTTCTTGAGTAAAGAAATAGCTCCTTCTACCGACACATCATTTACTCTTAACATAAATAGGCGCATTGTCTATTACCAATGTCCCTTTATTCAGCGCTTTTACAACGCGTCCATGACGTTTGAAATAGATGCTAGGAGATACTCAAAGCGAGTAACCAATACGAACATTGATGCTCTTGAGTTCAGTTCTATTGAACTCATAAAAATACCTAGCAAAAAGAAAAAAGAAAAAGAAAATAACCAAAGAACGTTCTTCCATAATATATTCAGTCTCTTTTTCTTGAATATTTTAAATATTGGCCCTGTAATTAACCAAGACAGCAATGCTATGATGGCCTTGTTTCTTGTTTAATCTAGTATTTCGAATCACTTGTTTATCAAATTCATCATTATCGTCCAGCGTTAACAATGAATCCATCTTTAAACTTTCCCCTTCTTTCATGTCTTCAAATGATAACATAGACGATCTATCATATTCTATACTACTATGTGTATAGTAAATATCTTTATTGGTCGTGAATCTGACTGATTTTGTCTTTCTTTTTCGTTTCTTTAGATGGTTCTTTATCCACTTCTTTATCAAAATCATATTTGTATTTAAAAAGGAGAAAAAAAAGAAAGAAAGTGTATAAGCAAAAAATAAAAATTGTTTTATTTTTAGACGCATTTAATATCACATACTTTATTGTTATCATTAAGCAGACAAAGAGGCCTCATATTAAACACTATAAAAACGATATTCTTTCTGACCGTGAAGGAGATAAGAATGGCATTTATCAGTTGAAAGACACTTGGTCCAAGCGCAAACTCACACGCTTCTGAAGAGTACACAATATTCAATCTTGTGTTCCGACACACAGTTGTTCTACTCTCAAATTTAGAGTTTTAAATATTGAAGTTCATCAGTAAAACCCAAACCTCGATTATGATAGTATTTTTTATATATTCATATACTGCATCAAATTACACTTCATCAGCTACAAATACTACGCCTATGCCTATTTTTACTGAAGGAGTGATTTTGTGGGCTGAAATCTAACACATTTCAAAAGATAAGGATTTGAATTAGAACAACCAGCTATAAACTCTAGGCATTTCATTTTTCGTAACATAGCGAATATAGAGCTTTCATCAAGATCCATTTCGTCAATAGCCTTCTCAAAGTAATATTAGTCATTACTATCTTATTTGCCTGGATGCAATGTTCTCTCATTCGAAATCAGAATTTTATTAAAAAAACAAAAGGTAGAGGCAGAGAAAGGGAGAATGTCACGATTAGATATGAACTCATGCATAATATTGACGTCCCTGAGCATCCTTTAATTAAGAGCTCGATAATTCAAGCTGATTCTTTTAATATATTGCATTCCTAACTTTCGTAAATACCCATTCATCTTTATCTAAAAAAAACTGTAGTCAATTATCACAGTATAACTTCTGTTCTTAGATCTTCCCAGTCTATTCTTATCCTCTCCTATCTGTTCCTTGTCTCGTTCTTGTCTCTGTAAGCCCTATCTCCTCTAGATTATCTTGCAAGCCCTTAACACTATCCTCTTTTGTCCTTCCAATAGTTGTATCATTCAGCATCTTAGTTCCTGTCCGATTCTATTCCTCTCCTCCTTCCTTCGCTGAAGAATACAATTCATTACAGAGAGCGACTCAAAGGTTGTCACCTTCCTCCTCCAGCTCTTCTATTGCTCTTTTGAGCAAACTAGGAGAAGGGCCAAGACAGAGCCCGTGCGTTGGCCGCCCAGACGCCGTTAGACGACTGATAAGTCCTGTGTTTACGAACTGTATTAGTATTTTTAGTTTACAATCTTTAGATATTTGTTACTTACATAAGCAGTATCCTGGTTATTTGCCCTGTTTGGCTTGATGAGGCAACCTTGGAGCCTACTATGGAGTATTTTGTACTTAACTCCGTAGTAAAAGAAGAAAGCAGCGACATCAATCTCACTGGCGAAGTGAGCGTGACAGAATCTGTGAGATGAGAAAAGTCAAAGAGTTAAGAGCTGTTTTGGCTTGTGCTATATATTTATATTTATCTCAGGCCTTAGTCTGCTTTGACTACATGGATTGATTTTACAACCGAACAAGACATTAGCAGACCAAAAACCTGATCACCTGTCAGGCCCTGCAGCTACTCACTTCGTGAATAAACATGGTGAAGGAGAAAGCGGCAGTTGCGACACATATGACAAAAATAGTGAAAGAAAGAAGCGCAAATTGATTGCAAGCCCTTTTATTTATAAACCCTAAACTGCTGATACTACACGATTTGTGTGTGCTCCTCCCCAAGACCAACTGTTGATACAAGTGCTGGATCAGTACAATTATCTCAAAAAGTAATACTGCAGGCTCTACTAAATTAGCTTATGTTGGCGAACGCTTCTATTTTATCAAATATCAACACCATTCCTAGAGTTATCTCTACTCTCAGGGAGGAGATCTCTCTATACTGATCCTTCGATCCTCTCATTGCAACATCACAGCTGAATCTGTTCATCTATAGTATAGACACCGCTGTTCAGTCAATGTTTAAACGAGGTTTTGTTTGCCAAAGTCGATTATATATTGCTTTTATTGTCCCAAGCTTACATCTGCTTTGAAATACCATTCCGTAGATCCTGTTGACAACTCTGTGTTCACAAGATAATAGAGGATTCATGCGAAGCAATGAGAGCCCTCTTTCTATAGTCTGTGCTACCCATAAATCGTCAAAGTAGAGTTTAGTTATGAAGCTTACTCAAAGCTCCTTTGTTTTGAAACTGACCCCATTAATTTTAACCAATAAAAACAAAGAATTAGTCTACTTGCATAAATTGAATCAAAGGAACTAGTTAAAGAGGAGCAGGTATATGTCTTTATACTAACAAAAAGAAAAAAAGAGAGTGAGCAAGTAGGCTGGCTGGTTTTAAGAAAGAAATGTAATAGTTAAAAAAAGAAGAAGTATTGATTGTATTACGTAGCACTGGAAGCAGAACAGCACATGAACTCAAACTAATGGACGCTGCATAAATGAAAACGCTATTTGTTGATGCAAAAAGCGTGTTTAATGGCTTACCAAAGGTTTTAAAGTAAAAAGAGAGACGCTTAGAGCCCCATCAGTCAAAACCATTCTTTGAATTATTGAGGATAGTATATTCGATGTCATTAATGATTGTGGCATGGTCTAAACGTCCTAGAATAATACTTGCTCTATTTTTACATCTGTTAAATAGCTATCTGCTCTATAGTAAAAGCACTGATATAGTCAAGGCGATCTAGGACATACGGCTTTCTTACTAGCTTTTACGCTCCGTATTGTATTTTGGCATATCATCCTAAAGTGGGCATGTTCAAAGGGGTGCAAGTATTTAACCAGCTGAGACTAATGGGATTTAGCTAAATCAATAGTTTTGAGAGAGTGCGACTAAAGGAACCGATCAAAGAGATGTGTGACAAATAAACTGTTGTTCATCTATTAAAAAAAAGGGCAGTAAATATTTCTTTAGAAAAAGAAAGTATTGTGGAGGGATTTCTTGAAGCGACAGTGATACAAATGAGCCTATTCTATTAAGAAACGCTGCACACAAACCAGCCGATGGTTGTGGTACAGATCTTCCTACATCTAATGATTCACCTTATGGCATCAATATAGAAAGGTTACAATTCAAGCAAGTTATCCAACCTTTTCTGTATGGTAATGGCAAAAACCCTCTGACTCACTCTGTATTATACCAGGATCCATAATTTATCTAGTACGTGGTCTACTGAAATATCTGACTGCATATTCAGTGTAGCACCTAAAGCTGTGCTCTTGGGAACAGGAGTGCCTACATGCTTCATTATATGTTGAATATACTGTGAGTTGCATTCGGGCTCAATCGACTATAAGTGGTCAACTAAGAAGGCAGGGAAGGCCCGGATGAGCCATGTAGCACTTGTCCGAAGCGATGCAATAGACGTGAGCTTTATATACCTTGACAAGGCAGAGGAAAGGATTTGGATGCGGATGAATTGTGATCGTCTTGGTAACGCGGGGCCCTTGGCATTTTTTTTTTTTGGAGCCATGACAGTCAAGTGTAAGGCCTTCACCGAAGTTCTCTTGGATGATCTCCTTGTGGCAAAATAATTTTGTCTTTGGGCACTTTAATGAAGGTCGCGTATGTCTCGGAACGTTTGGTGCTTTGCTGATCAGTGGTACAAAAGGAATATCTGTAGATGGTTAATGTTGGAAGCTTGAGACTTTGATGAGTGTGAAGGGCTGCCAAATAATTGATCATTTGCTGTAAGAAAGGATTCTCATAGTTGAGTTGTATTCTGTACACTATGTAGCGTAACTCTGTTGTCGAAAATAGTGTTAGCGTCTGGTGGATGAAGCAGGAGAAAATATGAAATATAATGGTGACAACGAATGACAATAAGAAAGAGTGCTTCAAACGCTTGGTGAGATGTTGATTTAGCAGTTGCTCTATTGGGATCATTGATAGCTTTATCAGTAGAATATCAGACAGTTTTGTATCATGACAAGTACAAACTAAAATAAAGAAGCTAACATATACTAATACCTTTTCCATCACCTACAAAAGGTCATTTCAGTATGATATTGTCCATATTCTCCATGTATATACTTTTTCTTTTTACATAAAGCCGATATAAAAGTAATTAAGTCATCATCATTTTAGACTGTTGATCATTCATTATCATCGTTAGGGAGTACTAATTCCCGCTGATCAATTGTTTCCTTTTGCAACTGTTCAAGGAAAAATTTTCTAAGCTTCCTGCATTTCTTTGTTCTTCTTCCTAATGCTGTTTTTATCGCCGTAATGGCAGTCGTCAATCGTTATCATCGCAGAAAATCATACATTTTGAATGCTACAAGCACTAATGGCATTGTTGGTAACAAATACTTGATACAGTTCAAGGCTCATTAAGTACAATGAAATGGGGTTTGCCCTGAGCTAATTATTTGCTATAAAATATTCAAAGAGAAAGAATGGATGCTTATTTCAAGTGGAAACTGAATCAAGTGATTTACTTATTGTAAGACAAGATGATTGTGTAATCATTTATAATTAATTTTGCATTATTTGTCTTCATAGTATTTCTGGTGTTCAATGTGCACAGACAAGGCTCACTGACAAAATATGATGACCTTTTTTCCCTGTTTAAAAAAGCAACACGAAAACCGTTAGTGAGAGCTGTGAAATATGGAAACAAGAGCAGAGTAAAAAACGTTTTTTTAATAGTTACGAAATAAACACTCCCTTCTCTTTATTAGTTAAAGGAGGAGATTTATGTTATACAATTTATACTATAATTGTTCTTTACGTCATTCGCACTCTGAAGAGCGCGTATTTTTCCAATCGTTAAAGATACAGTTGCATATATTTGTAGTCTCTTAATTTCGAAATGAAGGAATTGAAGAAAAGGTGAAAGCTATCCGGGCAATTAAAATGGAATAACTCCCAAAGGCTGAATCCGTGGCGGAGTCTAACTATATTTCTATCCAACCCTAACTGTTTTAAGTAGACTCCTACCAATCATTAAGTCGCATCGAAGTTAAAACTCCGTTATCCTGGTTGTACTATTCCAGACTAGTACGCAATAAGTTTTTCCGGCACAAAGTGCAGAGAGGAGCCTTAAATGACGCTTTTGTCTGTGTCTTCCCACATAATTTCTTTTTTTCTATAAATGTGAAGAAGGGTATTTAAAGTAACAAAAAGTTTTTTCCTTTATTTCTTTTTTCTTTTCTTTTCTTTTCTTTATTCCTACTATCGCTGTCACTATTGTCACTGTCTTCCTAACTCATGTCAATCGAGCAAAACAGTTTTGAATTTCAACCTCCAACCAATATTCGTGCCATACGTACTTCTATCGCTCAACGTATTAAACAACGTAACGAGAAAAAGCAACAGATATGCCTAGATAATGGTTTACCTTCTCCTCCTATTGAAGCTTATGAAAGTGACAAACTGTCGACAGACCAAGTGATGGACGCACTTATCGACTTATCTTCTAAAGGACCAATGTCTTCTCCTCCCTTGTCTCCTTGTACTAAAGAGCCATCACTGGATACAGAAGCAATTCGTCAGAGAATAAAGCAACTTCAGGAAGAAAAACACAAGTTGTTTCAGACAATGAAGGATTTATTGTCCAAACAGCAACAGCAACAGCAACAGCAACAACAACAACAACAACAACAACAACAACAACAACAGCAGCAGCAGCAACAGCAACTACAGCAACTACAGCATCAACCGCAACCGCCACAACCACTACAACAGCAACATCATCATCTACCACAGCATCATCAACAGCAACAACAACAACAGCATCAACAACGATATAACCGACTATATAAGGACAGGAGGCCTTCTTTCATGCGTTCACGCAGTAGCATAGATCATTATCGACCGGTATCTCGGTTATCATCATATCGCTGCAACAATAGCAGCAATAGCAGTAGTCATAGTAATACATTTAAACATTATTTTATTAAAAATTGAATGGCCGCAATGGGTGCTTATTAGCAAATCTATAGCTTTGTCCGGGTCAGATCAATAAAAATACAAGAGGCTAAAAGCCTTTTTGGGCATCAGAAAAAGAAAACAGTAAAAGAGATACGCTATAAAAGATTGAGTCAGGGTATCACAGTCTCGCTGGAACCAATTAAGGAAATTTTTGTCCAAGTCAGCGGGCACTAATAGAGATCATCTATTGTCACAATATGTATGATCAAGTTCATAGAGGCTTTTAACCTAAATTGAGAAGGTAAAAAATGTTTTTGAACTATTTGAAATATAGATTAGACAAGCATAAACAAAGAGACTAGATTATGAATAAGTCTGCAAACTGACTATCCACATATATTTAATATTCCTGTATGGAACAACGATGCTGATTATAGACAACAGACTTAATTGTTACTATAATAAATTGATATATTAAACATATACTATCGATCCTTCAGAGATATCCCCTTAGATATAAACAGACTTGCAAGCACATAATTTACAAAGATCGCTAGCAATACTACATACAAGCAGCAGCAGAAATCGGTTTTATTATACAGATATCTCTCTTTTTTAATGTTTATGGAAGCAGTTGTTACAATGTCCCTTTTTAAATACATTGGCTGCAAACTCATTACATCCACATTCGCCACAAACCGAAGCAGAAGGGGCAGATCCAAAGTAGTCGCTGGTAACTTTAAATTGAGGTGTATTGGGTGTAGTTCGAATGGTCGTGTTGCTTCTGGATGTTTGCATGACAGGCGGCGTACGAGAAGCAGGCGGAGGTGGTGCAATACGGTGAGGGGTAGGTGAAGCCGCAGGTGATTGTTGAGGACGACGATAATTGTCAGTAAAAGGTGATTCAGCTAATGTTTCGGGCTCATCCACAAATATTTGGCTGCGTGAAGATGAGGACGATGTCAAGGGAGGTCTGGCAGGAATGGGCGGGTTTGTCACCGCCTCTGTGTAATTGACCGGGAAAATGCCCCGTCGACCGTCCAGCTCTCCTAGCCACCAACCTTCGTCAACCTCCTCTACTACTTGAATAATGTCGTTTGACTTGAACGAGAGTTCATCAGGACTGTTTGCTGTAAAGTCATAGAGCGCCTTTCTCTTGGGTGGTGAAGATTGTGCTACAGCATCATTAATAAATATTATGACTCTATGATCTGTAACTTACATCGTTTGCGAGGTAGTACTGGCGGCGGTTGACGGATACCGTCATCCTGAGATAGTTTTCGGACCGTGCTGGAAGGAACTAGCCTGGGTGACAAATGATCTGTACTGGCTTGTCTACTCAGATCCATACGAGAGACAGCTGTCATCTTTGTTTTACTAGCGTGCACAACCGAAGGTGTTCCTTTTCCCCAATTTGATTTTACTTGTTGCACAATCTCTAATGAACGACTAAGATACTGTATCTGCAAGTCCAGCAAGTGCTCAAGGGCAATGCAATGCTCGTCTTCAAATTCTTGTAGCGACGCCAGCTTTTGTATAACGTCGTACTCTGTTTCTTCGTACTTTAATTTGGCTGCTTGCATCTCCTGTTCAAGCTCCGGTTTTTCCTTTTTCGATTTTTGTAAACGAGCCAATTTAGCGTCGTAATCCAATCGACGTGATTCAAGCTTTTTACGAAGTGCTTGATACTCTTTAAACTGATTCATGCCTTCTTCCAACTTCTCCAAGTAATCATACTTCATTGAGCTGGCAAAGTCGTCCTGACACTCTGCCAATTTACTCTGAGCATGGCCAAAATTATTCAAGGCGACACCTATGATATGCGTATGAGTTTTTCATCTTTTACATCTCTCATCCTCCCCCCTTTCTTAAATACACACATACCTAATGATGCATCGCCATTAAACTCGTTACCATAGTTAGCCCAACACACACCCAAGATGTCACCAGGCAGTCTCTTTGACTTATAATTGTCTTCAGGTGATGGCTTACGTTTGGCTAGCTGTGTCTGCATAATATTGGCTGCTGCATGCACCTTCTCAAAGGCTATCCTCTTTCTATCTGTTTCTACTTCAAGTCGTTGAAAGTCTTCAGTCTGCAAGGTGATCTTAGCTGATCCCAGTTTTTCACCTGTCCACTGTGTATATGTGTACGTACTTAGTTGAAGCTCCCTTTTGTCTTTTTTTCTTTGTATGCTTTACCTGCTTTAGTTTACCAATATTTTTAATCATTTTATACGAAAAAGAAAAATAAGAGAAAAAGGGGGATCAAAAACAACAAAATAACGTCTGGACCCTTTAATTGGGTTACACGTGGTAAAGGAAGAAATTTAAGTTAATTAGCTGGTAAATAGTTCATTTAAGAATATAAAAGAATAAAAGAATATGTGATAGATCAATTAGATGTTAGAAGATGCTCTGCTGTTATGTCTACCTGTTGCTAGATGACATCTAACAGCTCCCATAAAATGCATTTGTTATTGGTTTGCAAGAGATACTCAAAAAAGAGGAGTGTAACAGTAACAGAAAAATCACCAAGACGTTCTATATTTATCAAACAGAAGAAGTACCAGGCGTTCGATAATAAAAGTAATACTAAAACCTTTTCCTATAGCAAATACATATGTAAGGTATATACCTGGCCACAAATGCAATAAGTATCATTACATCTAGTAAATACGCCAAAACTAATACATACAAGATGTAGATGACTTACTCTTTATTACAGATGACCTATTTTGAAAAAGGACTACTGAACAAGAAGTTTACGTGCTCCCTTTTTATACAAAAGCTTAGATACTATTAAAAGAAGTAGTTTATGACTGGATCCTTACAGGCTTTAGTAATGGGAAAACCTAATAAACTGATACGCGTTCGGAAAAGTAGACTTTACATGCAAAGCTCTTCTTTATTCAAAGGGAAAGGCTACTTGCGTATATACTTTTTTTTATCAGAGTGCTTTATTGCCATGGTTTCCTGTCCTTTTTTTAATATAGCCTATTTACGTAATAGACTGCATAAGTATAATCTATATTGGGTAAACTTGGGTATAAATAGCAATAGGAAGTGATGGAAAACAGAAAAAGTGTCGTGGTGCGACTTTACTTTCCAGAAAGACTGTAGGAACACACTCTTATCAAGCTCGATGTGGAGTTTTAATGGTGCCGTCTAATAACAACTCATGACTGGCTGAGAGGTTGTTGTGGGCATTTTCTCTTTAAATTATGGAAGTCTCGTCTAATCCAAGCTATTTTCAAGGTAATCAAGTAAACCATACTGTGTAATTAGACTATATTCACTGTACATTAGGCATCAATGTTGACGAAGTATGTCTTAAAGAAAGAAGAGACTATAGGACTAAAAAGTCGCATCTGTAGGAAGTTCGTTTATTTACAAACAATAAAGAAAGAGATAAATATGACAACATGGCTGACCTTTACTCCATCATTGTCTTGATGGAACATTTGGAAAAAGCGTTTGTCAGAGACTCTATTACACCAGAAGAATACACTCCACAGTGCACCAACCTTATCGCAAAATATAAGACAACCCTCAATTTTCTATCAGACTCAGTAACAGACCTTGAAAGCTTTATGAACGACTACAAGGTAACTGTTTGTGCATAAACTTGTTTATTGGAAAGCGTAACTGATGGATCTGGAGAAATATAAAAGTTAAGTTGTCCTGCAGCACTCAATAGGTTCAAGATTGGTGTACCTGCAACCTATGAACATGCCATTGGCGATAATAAGAACGATATGGGTAAGTCTGCGAAATACATTGCAGAGAGTGTTCAGGTAAGCAGATTATTAGAAACAAAACACTACATGGTTATAACCAGTTATTAGCATTTTATTACACTTATGGATACATTACGATTAAACCGATATGCGGTGGATGAACTTCACCCTATCCTTGCAGACTTGATCCAATCGTTAAATAAAGTACCGACATTGCCTGCTGATTTTGAAGGAAAACAAAGGATTCGACAATGGTTGATCACCTTACATTCAATGAAAGCAAGTGATGAGATTACAGAGGAACAAGCAAGACAGATGCTCTTTGAAATGGAGCAATCACATACAGAGTTTTACAGGTTACTCAGTGGAGAACACAAGGATACTATACCACAGTAATAATAAACAACCCTTTTTTTTCAGTATATATTTTACATTTTTATTAACTTTTTTAGCTGATGTATATATTCACCTCTATTACAGGATCTATATATAATCCTACCTTTAAAACGTGCTTCCTTAACTTCTATTGCTTTCTTTAAGCTCTAGTAAAAATAAATAAACAAAAAGGCAAATAGGACCAATAGACTATTAAAAAGATTTTAATACAGGACAAAAAAAGCGTGCTCATAGTCATGTACACCACGCTTGTCTACTGTAAGCCATCAACTCTTCTATTAGTCTCTAAATCTAAGGTTGTTTTGTTACAGCATCAGGCGTCTGTGACGAATCTCCCTCTATGTGGGTAGCCTGAACATTCGACTTTTGCAAGATATCTTGCTCTTTGTGAGTAACTGATCCGTTTAACGTCTGCGCTAAACTCTCCGTCATACTGATTGCTAATACATTGGATGTTTGCAATTTCTCTATTGATTTAGAAATATTGTATGTGCTGCCTGGATTAGCATAGGAAGACAGCACTTGTTGATCTGCAGAATTCCTATAAAGAGGTTCTGCTACTGCTGTTGTAGAAGGCGCGACGAGTTCAAAGTATTGGCGTTCGATATTGTTCCAGCTCAATTCCTTCTTTTCATCCATTACCTACTCATCAGGATCCTGAATTACTGGCTGCATATGCTCTTTTGACTTTTTGCGATAAAGAAGAGATCGTGCACTAAAGATTGCTACTGTCTGAAGAGAGAAAGATGAGTAAAAGAATACTCTTTTTTTTAAAAAAAAATAAAAAATAATAGACTTACGCCCACAATTGATCCAACAGCTATACCAGCCTTTGCTTCTGCTGATAAAGATTCAGTGTTAGAATATGGTGTGTAAGGCGCTAGACCTAGAGTAATGTTTATGTTGATTGCACCAGAAGAATAGTAATTAAGTTGATATATATTTGATGCATCGGTTACATCATAGGCAAGCATAGTTGCGGACAAAACAGTGTCTCCATTCATTTCGAAAAGAATGAAAAATATAGTATTCACTATAGCGGCTAAAAATATACCGAGTAAATATGTTTAACAAGAGTTACTGAAAGACAGACATACCTGAGTGATAGGCCTTTTGGAGACCGCTGGTGTCACTTCTCAAATTGACTTGCGTCCATTTGTTATTATTGAGGTTTAGCTGTTTGCACTACAAGTGTAACACTGAACAGAGCTTGATTCTTAGAATAACGTTAATGCATTACGTATAAAACACTTGAAATTTTAGCTTTCACACACTACTTTTTCTATTAAACCAGCCAACAAAACGTCCACTCTTGTCAGTGATAATAAATATACTTGTAATAATATCAAGGACAGGAAAACACCACAGCATTTTACGTCGTATTAAATAAAATAATGCGCGTCATTTATTCAACTTTTTTTTCATTTACATTTATTTATAATAAAAACGTACTCCTTTTAGTTCTCAAGCCAATAAAGTCTTGATTAGCAGGATCAACCACGGGAAGGTAAAAGTACATCTGATCCCAAAAAAGGAAAGGTATACACTGAATGTCAATGGTGTATATACCTTATAAAAAGGGTTGATGTATCAAGACCGAACTTATACATTTGAAAAATCTAGAAAGTACAAGCTGAACAGCCCCAGACAAGTCTGGATTGACAGACTGCCAACAGGTAGCTATCGATAGGCCCCAACCTCGTCTACCGGTGGTCCCGCAAGCTCAGAAGATGGTCTTGACTCAGCAAACTACCCAAAATAGCTTTTGGTTCGATACCGCCTAGTAATAGCATAATCATTTATTTGAGTAGCCACACTTAGAGAGCATTTCTCTGTTCACAGATAACGGGCAAAGCGGTTAATCACACAAGTGTAGCCAGCCCAGAAATCTGCAAGTCACTTGAATCACCAACGAGACCGTACTAGGGTTACAGTGTGAACAAAGAGTGTGTCCAGTCCTCTAAAGGATGGAACAAAGCTATGACCAAAGCTATGACCAAAGTATCCTCACAGGGAGAGAAAAAGCAAGGAGTATCTATAAAGAAAAAAAAAAAAAGAGGTAGGTCAGAAATACTCTAAAGCGTGGACGGTTGGTTATTCAAATTATGGCATTTCGTTGGCTAATCCGTTCCGATGACAATCAAGACGGCTTTCTATTGGATCATGAGTTTCAAAAGCGCGCCTTTGCTTATATGCATATGGCTGTCAACAAAGGGCTTTTTCCTTAAATTAGGTTAACCTTCATCGTTGATACTAAGCTACTTGATTTGATAATGAGGTTATATGATATTTTATTCTTGTTAAGAACGTTATTTATATTACGTATACAATCTATAGTTGACAGAGTCTATTGTGCATTTCTTATCACTGGATTCATTTGTAATATGTGTCTACAAAGAAATTAGAGACGCGCATCTGGTGTCTGTGATATGTCTTCTGCCTTATGGATGGTGTACGTGCTATTAAGATCAGCGTCCGGTGTAAATCGTACCAGACTAGAGGTAGGCCTAGGCTGGTTTAATGCCGGAGGCCTTTTAAGTTCAAGATGTTCATTTTCAATCTTGTCCCAATCTAAAGCATCAGGATCTTTTGTATCTTCTTCCTTTTGAGCTTGATAAGCTGATTGATCCAGCCTTTTCGCTCTTTTACGGTATAATAAGAAACATACACCAAAAATCACCGTTGTCTACAAGCGCCAATTCCATGAATGGAAACCTTTTGATTTCTTTGTTATACTTACTCCAATGATGACACCAATAGCTATACCAGCTTTTGCTCCAACAGTTAAGCTTTTTGGTGGCAGAAGAGGCTGAGGTGTAGTACTTGGCTGTTGTTGCGTGGTAATATTCTCAATACAAGGAGGATATTGATTCAGTAACTGTATATTTGTCACGTCAGATACATCAAGCGCAATGGAACCAGCAGCTAGTGACCCTTTTGTCTGGTATCCAAAAAGAATAAAAAGCGTTGTATTCACAAGAACAGCTACATATCCATAAGTTCAAGAAGAATGATAATGCATTAAGTTAGCGCACCTGAATGATATGACCTTGTGAGGACCTGGCCAGTTGTATCTAAATTGACATGTGTCCAGGTGTTGTTATCAAGATTGAGTGTATAAAGATAATCTGAGACAACTATAAGGGAGTCAGCATAGTCTATTGTATGTATCCAGAGACTATATTATACCTTCATTGTCATTTTGTCCACCATATAAAATAATATGCCGTGAGTTTGGTGCTATTAAAGAGTTATAAATTGAATTAACTAAAAAATCACTATTCGTACCAAGTACAGTAGTGAACTGAGCTCTTGGGGAAGGAAATTTCCCGTTACTTGATGTATAATTGTTCTGCGACCATATTCCATTTTTAGTATCAAGTGTATACCCTGCTGTAAAATTCAAATAGACGTTGTTATTGCATGAGCTGTCAACATGAGTTCCTCCAAAGAAGTAGACAATGCCAGATTTTTGATCCAGAGTAGCTGACGACCCAATAGAAATGGCGTCGGTTGGTATATTTGTATTCAGGGTGAAGTTACCCCAAGTCTAGTGTTTAGCAAGTCAATTAATGATGCATAATGAACATGCTTATAAATCTACATTAGACATAGTATTGTATTCTGTCAAGCTAGAGCCTTTAGAACAAGAAGTAGCGTTCTTTGAGCTATTCAATACAATGTCAGCAAGAAGGACGTGCATTTGCAGCCACTTACTTCTTTGGTCCTCTAAAAAAAAGGACATTATCTCCAGTAGATGATGGTAAATTGATCGTAACCCCATTGTCTCTATGGCACTATTAGTTCCTGGTGTCTTTGTTATTTGAATATCTTACGCAGCGTCTGTTTCTATGAGCTGTGAATTGTTTGAAACAGACTTCCAAATGTTTTCTAGAGCATCGTATATGATTGTATCATTAACTATAGTGTTTTCAAAGCGAACTTCATGTCTGCCACCTTCGAGTAATAGCTGAGTTCCGTTGGAGAGTACTGCAAATTGTGTCTGGAACCTTTTTTCTGGAACAAAGTTGTTTTCTACTTTGATAGGCTCCCAATCCAGTTGGTCAAGCCGCTGTGTCTTGCTTAAATTCAGAGCGTGAAGCCCTGGATCAATAAGAAAATTGACAATTGGCGTTTGGTTTCCACCATAGCAATATATCTGATTATTGAGGTATGCACACACTACAAAGGAACAGTTCGTGCCTAGTTACTAATGTCTTTTATAAGTACATACCTGGGTATATACGGCCAGTCAGAGTTATAGAGTCTACTTTTGAAAAACAGCACAGATGGATCAAAAGCACACTAAGAATAAGAAGAGTACACATCTTTATATGCTGGAAAAGAGATTTTTGTATTTTTCGTTTTCATATTCAGTTTTTATACAGATTCACTGTTACAGTGTAACATTGTGTACTATTTGCTTCTCAGAATGTAGCTTATATAGTAGTACGTTCTATTGTTTTATATTGAGTGACGCTTGGTTCAATTAGATTGCTTTATTGAGTATTTCTAATGATCATTTTTTGAAGGAATTTTTTAGTGTCTAAGCTCTATCAAGAGTTACTACTCTACTGAGTAGCCCTAGTCTATTTTTTATCTCTTTTCCTAACTATCATGGGTTTAATAGTATGTCTCTATACCTTCCAGTTTAAATATGCAATAGACTGAGTTGGTATTGACTAAATGCTTTGGCTCGCTTTTAAGACGATATACTATTTTTCCTTGTATCTTCTTTAATTTTCCTGTTTACGTCTCATTTTAGTACCGTCTTTATAATACTTTATAAAGTCAAGCACTTGTGTTTGTTTTTAATATACGGTCTGTCGTTCTAGCTTTCATTTTTGCATTAAGGAAAATTCAGGCCTTGTCGGGGTATTTCCGGACAGTCTCCGTCTCGGCACATCCAAAATCAACTACGTCATAATGTTTGTTGAAAATGATTGGATAAGGTTCTCTTTTTTTTGCAAGCCCAAAAGATTTTTTTCTTCCTTTCCCTTTTTCCAAAAGAACACAAATAGGGTTTTTTCTCTTCATAAACCTTTCTTCTTTCTTTCCTGCAAAAGACAGCAATTCTTTATCTTTTATATTTACTAGTTGATAACAAACAATATTTTTTTTCCGCTTTTTATTTCAAGTACCTTAAATAATGGAAAACACGCCTATGAAAAGCGAAGGAACACCCACTGTGACTTCCAACAATGAGACTGCCACCTCTTCAACGGAAAACAACAGCAGTACTATGGCTGTGACTAGTAGTAATGGTAACAATACTAGTCAATCTCCCGCATTCCATTCCTTAGAGCAGCTTCATGAAGCGGTGCTAGCAGCTGTGAATAGTCATAACATGCCGCCTGGATTCATTGCTGCTGCTGCTGCTGCCGCCGCTGCTGCTGCAAATGCTAGTGATCCTCAACAACAACAACAACAACAACAGAGATATGATTTAAACCAACAGCAGCAGCTTGAACAACAGCAGGATCCTAATACTAGGCCCAGGAAACAACAACGTACACACCAGCCACTAAGCGAAATGGATATTGCAAAAAAGGAAAGTATACGTGCTTCAAACAGAGAACGAAAGAAAAAATGGCGAATTCATAATGAAGAAAGAAGTAAGTTGATTGATAGATTATAGATCGTCTTGATAATAACTTTTTTTTTTTTTTTTCATCATAGACAAAGACAATGATTTACGATGCCGTGTGAACAAACGGGCAAATAAATTGTATGGTTTAGCAGATAGCGAAGAAAAACAACGATGGATTAAAGAAGAATTTGAAAAACGTCGTTTGAAGCGTATGGAAAAAGAACGAAGAAAGCACATTGTTAACAATGTCCTCAGTGTTCCCTCACCTACTAGTACAGGATCACCAGCGACAACAACTAATGATATGCTCCCTGGTGCAGCACCCCAGCTGTCTGCATATTATTCTCCTTTACCCCAAATCGATAACGCTACAGCTTCAAAACTCTTGGATTTCCCTGCTGACTTACAGCGTCAACTGCTGGAGCAACTGAATAATAGTATGCTGGTAAGTAGACAAATATATGTCATAGTTCAAGCATTCATATCCTATTATAACAGGCACTTACAAATGGCATTCAGAGTAGCAATACAGCTCAACCAGAATCAAACGACAACAATAATAATGATAACGATAATAGCAGCAATGATACGAATGAAAACAAGCCTGCATCAGTAGGCTCTGGTAGCCCTGCTGAATCCAATGAAGTGACATCAAACACAGAGAAAGAACATAAAATGGAATCTAGTACAGAGTTATCACAGATAAAGGATGAATCAGCTGAGGGCGCCTCTAAATCAGAGAATGCTTTAGCTGCTCCGTCTGAAGAAAAGAAAGAAGTACGAGATAAAAAGGAAGGATCAAGTCATGAAGAAAAGAAGCCTGAATATCCAATGGACGCTGTGCTCTCTTTAATGCAATTAAACGCAGCATGGAGACAATAAATATTGTCTTTTTCTTTAATATATACATATCTCATACTACTAAATGTATAGCATAAACTCACTTATACTCACCTACAACACTTCAACATTCAAACACACTTAAATACATATCTCCTTTTCTCTCTTTCTATCTCTTTTCTTCTCTTTCTTCATTCACATATACGCACACATATAAATAAAAAAAAAGATGATAAGCTGTATAAAGATATATAAATGGGGGCCTGGTTCTTTTGTTGTTTGTGAATGATTTATTTCTATTAGGATATGGTACACTGTACAATTGCTTATAATTGTTTGCTTAATCTGGCCAAGTGATAGTTGATTGTATTGGTATGCTTCTTCTTGGTTACCTAAGATAAAAACAAGAGTAAACATCTTGTAATGATTGTATTTTACTATTCTTACAGGTTTTTGCATGCAATTGGTTAATGATTGGGCAGCAGCTGTACAACGGCCATCATTAACACCAGCAGTAGCCCAACATTCAAACAAGGCACCCATTTCAACAATACAAGGGCTAGCTTCCAATATCTTTTTTGGTCTAACTTTAAGTTGCTTTAACTTCATGTTGAAAATGTGAAGGAAGGGGTCCCGCTGTCACTTAGGCTCAAAGACAGAAAAAAAAAAAGTTCTTTAAAAGTCACTTAATTCTGATTGGCCAAGCCAATATGCGCTGAAAATATCACAGTGAAGGGCCATTCTTATTAAGGGCTTTTAGAGATGGGAGAAAGAGGTGTACACGTTATTGTTTAAGATTTCCTTGTTTTTTTTTATTGTATATTGTATGTATATATGGAATAGCATCTTGATCTTTTTTTTACATAAAGTCATCATAATCATCGTCATAGTCATTATAAGTATCATCTACAGCACCACTCTTTCCAGCAGCAACCAACTGTGGTTTAGCCTTACCCTTTCCTTTCTTGGTAGCTTCCTTTGCTTGCTTTTGTTTTTCATTAGCAATATTGGTTAAAGTGGTAGCCACTTTTCTAACTTCAGTATCTTTCAAAGGAACAGCGATGTCATGTAGTAATTCATCAATCATCCAGCCATAGTTGATGGATTTCTATAAAGACATAAATACCTTGTATATAACAATCCATATACAACTTACAGAATTAGCAGAAATAATCTCTACAACGCGTTTACGGAAAGTATCTAACTCAACACGATTCTTTGGCTTCCATTCCTCAATAGGCTTTCCTTTCATATCCTCTATTTGTTTCAAAACATGAATTAGAGCTCAAATGATATATTGAATGAGAATAGAGCTTTTACCGATCGAAACACCCGAGAATAATTCAGTAGCACTCATCATATCAGCCTCTAATTCCAACTGACGCATACGTTGCTTGCGGGCATAGTCGTCTTCTTCAGCCTCCTCTTCTTCTGCTAATTTTTTAGCTTCCAACTCCTTCTTCTTTTGCTCTTCTTTAGCTTGCTTTTCAGCAATCTTTTGTTTTAATGGGACCTTTTTCTTTACAGGGGCTGTTACTTTCTTGGGTTCTTCTTTCTTTTCTTCGTCCAAGTCTTCCCAAGAGTCCTTGACGTCGTCTTCAACGTCTTCATCATCCCATTTGTTCTTTTTGGGAATGGCGATTTGAACTTCAATTTCGGCGTCTTCCTCTATAATAAACACGGTTTAATGACGTGCCTTACTATACTTGTTTACAATAACATTACCCCAATCACTCATTGCAATTTCTTTATTAAAAAAAAATGTTTTGTGTATAGAAAAAAAAAGAAGTGACTTGATTTATAAAATGAGCCAATAGAAATTCATGTATTCCACTGTCTAGCTTCATTGGAAGCTAAGCGGAATAGTTGGGCTACACCTTTTATTCTCATAAAAGATACACAAAAGGCTTGAACTTCAACAAAATAATCTGCCATGTGTATAATATCCTGTTCTAATAAAGACTGAGTAAATCTAGCTACCTATTGTGTCATAGTGAGTAGCAATGACAAAGTGTGTGTAATAGTGGGAGTTACCTGCTTGACCTGTTTATCTTGCTTTGAACCTTCTTCGAGTTGGTCACATGAACGTATGCTATTTGATATATAATAGTGAATAAATTCTGATGATAGCCTGACCTTTTGATGAACAAGGACATGATGCATTATTTCTATTGACTGTGAGGTCACTGGACTACTTAGTATTGCCTCTAAATAGCTTTATTTGAGAAGTGAGTTACCCCTTGTTATATATGCCTTGGATCAACTTACTCGTCCTTATTTTTAGATTGAAGTAAGAGTGGTACTATATCAAATGCCAGGAATTGGTTTAAATTGATCAATTGTGGTAATTGATGAGGCAAGATGATATCTGATAATGGATAATTTGATAAGTTTTCCTTTCGTAATGCTTCATTCTCTGATAAAGCCAATAGTCTATTTGACGCTATAGAGAGTAGTTCAATAATGCGATCATCTAGAATGACAGTATATCTATACTATATATGAATTATCCCGTTCTTTCTCAACCTTATTTTTCTCTCTCTTTCTTTCTTACGGGTCGTCAATCAGTTTTGTTACTTTTTGCCTTAACGCGTTGATCCGTTTGACATCCTTCTTGATCGGAGGTAATATTGGTTCATTACAGATCTCAAATGGTGAACAATGAGCAATCTATGTATAAAATGAGACTTTATAGAAAAATGTCTTTCTTTTTTTTCTATTTACACTGGAAATAGTGCCTTCTAATATACAATAAATAAAATGCTGTTCAATTGAAGTAGAGTGTGAAAGCAAGTCTAAAAAGAAGTCTAAAAAAGGGTTCTGTTCTAGAGGTAATGCTGCATATTGATGATAAAGTATAAAAAGAATAGCCAGTCGAATCGTTTGCTCCTACAGATGAAGATAAGCATATATATCGAATACAATATGCTTTATTTACTGTTGTATGCTCAAATGTTAAAAATAGAGAACAGTTAGATATAAACATGTTTTGATGTTTCTTTTGTTGTCGATATTGGTTTGTTATTTCAATAAAACTAGTATTTTCCATTATAATTATTTTTTTTTCTGTTGAAGAAAAAAAAAGTGCAATCAGTGTAGAATTTATTGAATAAATGAATCATTTTTTTTTTTCCAATGAAATAAATAATGTAAAATTGTGTATAACATGGCGGGCTGTGGGTATGTAAATGGCTTTTTTAAAATGAATATAATGTAAATGATTTGTTGAATGATAAATATATAAAGAGAAAAAAAAAGAGAAAGGGATTAGCTATTTACAATCCTCCCCAAAGCTTGCCTCAAAAAAAATATCGTTTTTTTGTTGAGGTTTTGTTGATTTTTTCACTTTTTTTGGGATTTAACGTTTTGCTGATTTTTTTGTTGTTTTTGTACTAAATGTTTTAAGCAGATACTTTGTGGTTGTATGTGAACAAAGCATTAACAGTAGTAGGCGAACTTGCAACAATAGGTTGACAGCGTTTAGAGACAACAACACCTCGGCGACGACGGTAAAGAGGTACCCAGGGGTAAGAAGTAGAAGGTGCAACAGGTCGTTTAGTCTTTGCAGGAATGACCGTAGGCTTGACCGTGAGCTTCTTTTGTTGTTGGTTAAGGTAGATTTGATTTGTGATACTCGTCATTTGATCTTTAAGTTTACAAGATTCAGAACAGTAAAGAGAAGATTCATTCTAGTAAACATAAGTACTTTGTCAAGTCACTGTCAGATTCACTTACCAATACATCGTCTACACGATTGTCACAGATAATACACCAATTAAGATCCATTTTCCTTGATTTTATATTAAAAAAAGATATAGAAAAAAAGATTAAAAGTTGGTGGCCTTTGTTGTTTAATAAAAATAAAGGAAAGAAAAAAAGAAAGGGCAGGAACTTACTCGAATTTATTAAAAATTTTTTTCTAGTAAAATGGTCACACACATATAACTCATTCAGTGATCCAATCTACTGTCAAATTACTAAAATTAGATCATTCCATCATTTGTGATGAGTGCAATGATTGCATGTGCCACAGACACTAAAATGGTCAATGTTAGTTTCTTTGCCTTTTGATTTTTATTTTCGTAACCATGGTTACCTTCTCTATCAGGGTCTTCTATTTTATAATACAACTCTAATGACAGTAATCGTTTGAGCTGATTCACCAAGACTCCAATTCGAGCCCAGGATCTCAACTTGATCCATCCGTCATCTCCTACTCTAAGTCCTCGTCCGAGATGATCTACCTTGATTGACCCACCGAAAAACAGTATACCATATAAGGGCACTTCTGTGCCATCTCGAATAAATATCTTGCTCGTTGTCATTTTTGAAAAATATGTCAAAAATAACGATTGATAGCTGTTGTTGCTAAATAAAAGCGATGATGGATGGATAAAGACACGTCCTATTTTTCATCATTAGTCTAACATCCAATATTCTTATATCATGCTTACCATCGTCTTTTGTATAATACTTTATTTCTCTTGCTTCTTTCTCTCGCTCGACTGTGCCACTCAGCACTTTGTCGTACTTTGTGTCTGGCAGCTTTATTTTGACCACATTCGGATTTAAGCCCGCAAAGATGACTGATTTTACCAGATTCACATTGTCTGCGTTGTCATTGAAACGTGCTGACTCTTTATAAAATCCAATCTCCGCCAATGCTTCCAAATATTGTCGCCGCAAATTCTGTATCTCACTCAACGTGGAAAATGACAAGAAGTTTTCTTGACAGAATGTTCTGGCAGCCTTCATGCCCTTGGATCGAATGATCTCATACCAACTATCATATGCTTTCATATCAGCCAGCCAATCGCTTTTACCAAAATTGAACTTTTCCCTTGCCCTAACAAACAAAATGAGTTTCCTTTGTTTGTTTCTCGTGTTACAAACTTACTCTCTCGCCTCGACTCTCTTTTCCATTGGTGACGTGAATGGGCTCTTGAGGGACATGATCGAGGCAATGGTCAATATAGGATCCAAACAACCAAAGACAGAACCATAGATGAGCATCTTGCTAATTCTTAGATCAGCAGGAATAGCAGCCATGTGTTTTCCCAGCGCAGTTAACTGGTCTTGCTTATCGATGGCCTCAACTTGCCGCAGCGATTTGATGGCGCTCTCTAAAGCGGTCATAGAAGGAGGATCGATCGCTTGGCGGAGAAAAGACACGAGATCATCTTGGCCCATTGCCTTGAGTACCAAACAGAGCTGTTCAAGGGGCGTCCGCAGCAACTCAGGTACCTGCTGCGCTCTCATCTTCTGCTCATGAGTCTCTCTTGTAAACAGCTTAAAACATTGACCTGGCCTTGTACGACCGGCACGACCTCTTCGCTGACGACAAGATGCACGCGACGCCCAGGTCTCAACAAGATGTACCATATGACTTGCAGCCTCGTATTGTGTCTCCTTGACGCGACCGCTGTCAATGACATAGACCACACCCTCAATCGTGATGGACGTTTCTGCTACGTTTGTAGCTACCACAATCTTTCGTACATGGCTCGGCACGGGTCGAAATACACGCGTTTGTTCTTGTGGTGACAGATTAGCATGAAGTGGTAAAATTTCGGCCTCAGTGCCTTGCATGACTTCTTCAATCGCGTCAATACATGTCTTAATTTCGACAGCACCTGGCATAAAAATGAGAATGGCCGGCTTGAAGTCCTGTATCGTTTCGTGATCAGTGATGTATTTGACCAGACGTGCGACCAGGCCATAATCAATTTTTTGATGGTTGCGGTACCGCGACAGTAGCCGTACTGTGGACTCACTGAATCCTTGCTCCAAGTAAGGTATTTGCCAAGTGGCCCAGTCGGGTTTCGATATCACATCCTCGTTATGTGATGTCTTGGCTTGTCCATGAACCATGCTCAAGATGTCTTCCAAAAAGTAATCTTGTACAGGATGTGTAAAACCTGGGATTTCAATCACGGGCGCGCCTCCAAAATAATCTGAAAACAGGGCTTGATTCAAGGTGGCCGACATCAGCACCACCTTAAGATCCTTTCGTCGTTGCAGTACTTTTCTCAAAAGAACGAGTAAGAAATCGCTATCGACCGATCGTTCGTGTACTTCATCAATCATCACATGGCTCACGCCTTCCAAGTTGGGGTCACTCTGAAGCCGACGCAGGAGAACACCGGTGGTGACAAACTGCAGTCGAGTCTCTGCTGAACATTTGGTCTCCCCACGGATAGCATAACCTACTGTCTTGCCAATCGTCTCACATCGTTCTGCGGCCACACGCTCAGCGACACCAATGGCTGAAATCTTCCTTGGCTGTGTACAGATCATGTTGCAATAGCGTCCCTGCATGATTTCTTCGTCCATGATAAATTGAGGCACCTGTGTTGTCTTACCACAACCTGTCTCACCACTCACAATTGTCACTTGGTGCGCTAGAACAGCGTGAATCACATTCGACTTGAATTGATGAGCAGGCAGTTTGGATCTAACTTCAGCCATGGGCGCATATGCTTCGGATTCGAGTCGGTTGAGTAGCTGTTCTTTCAATGAATCTAAGGACGTCGTAGGCTTTTGGTGTATTTGTCTCCTTGACTTATTCTTTTTCTGGACCGGTGTGGTTGGAGCTAAGGTATAGAGGCGTTCAGACACGTCTCGTAACTTGGGAGGATGAGCAATCATGTGATCAGCATGTTCTTGTAGCCACTCAACACACATGTACACAAATGGCATACCCAAATGTAGCTCGGCTTCAGCCATAAGGCCCTGCAAGAGAGAGAGTTTCAGATAACTTGGCAAATTGGGCCATTCGATCACAAATAAGGGCAGTTCGAATGGATACATTGACTCTTTGGGAATAATGACCTGCAACACAGGTTGTTCTGGTGCGCTCACGTTGAAAGGTAGACTATAGATCCGTCGCCCGTCTTTATCTGTTTCTTGATTTAGAGACCCATAAATGGACTCGAGCGCAATCACTTCATCTTGTCTGACAGCTTCGAGTTCCTCAAGATCGACTGGGTCTAAGCTAGGCATTGTTTCGTCCTCATGTGCAAGTCGCCACTGAAGTAGTTTCAATGCCTTGGATTCATCACCTTGGACCTGTTCTAGTGCTTCCTTGCATATGCTTTCAGGATATCCTATGGCAGCCATACGCTTCAAAAGCCAGTCCTGGCCGAGGGTCTGTGTCGTGTGTGCGATGGTTGTCATGGTCGGATTATAAGTAGATAATAAAAAGTTGGCAGGTAAATCTAGTCATTTTTCAATTAGAAAGCCGCAAATCAAATCAATCTGTGTATAGTTACCGTCTTCAGGCACATGTAAACCTTTTTTTTTTTTTAAAAAAAAAAGTAGAAATCATGGTCAGCATATAAAAAGAACACCGACAAAGACACACTTACATAACCAATCGAGTGCTGTTTCCTTATCAGGAGAATAATCCAACGCTTCGTCCACATGCGCAGGACGAAAGCCCATGGCAACCAACTCCTTTGTCAAATGCATACGTTCCTGCTTGGTATGTTCTCTAGGTAACTATGAAATTTATTTTTCAATTGAATGAATAACAAACAATAAGGATTATTTACAGGTTGATAGGTTATCTTGGACCGCTTGATGATCTCTTCGACCCTCTGTCTGTTTTCTAGACTCATATGGACCGTTGGTAAGTTCTCCCATTCTTTCAGCAGTTTTTCATCTAGTAAAGGTCGCTTGGAACTGTTTGTGGTGGCGGTTGTTGGCATAGGTACAGCCGAAGCAGCATGTTCCTTGGTTGGAAGAGATCGAGACTTTTTCTGAGCGGTCATGGGTGGATGAGCATTGAACGGATCTGGGTCGTACTGCCACTGATTACTGGCTGTCTTGAGTTGCTCAAACTGTCTCCAGTAATCTCGGTGGGTTGGAGGCAAAACTCGTTGTAAAGGCATGTGTGATTTGACTCGATGAAGTGCATAGGTTGCCGCAAGGTGCTTGGCTTCTGCGGCAGAAGGTAACACCAACTCATCAGGTGGAGTGAATGCAACTGTTTGCATCTGTGCCGTCTTTTTATTACGCTGACTCAGTTGTACGGTTCCCAAGTAACCGTTCTTCTTCTTTTTGATCTCAAACTCGGGCTTCTCCCAGTTACTCTTTTGACAGTGCTCGTGCAAGAGTGAGACAGGTGTCTTGCCTGTCCAGTCTCCAAAGATACTCGATCGCTGTACCGATTCCTCGGTAGATTTGGTGCTGCCCGCATTCCCATGCTTGACAATACCCTTTTTGCTGTTTGTCAACTTTTTGGATGGCGTGGGTGTTGAAGAAGGCGCTGTCTTGCTGTTCTTCTTATTTGACATACAGAAAAAAAGGACAAAATTTTTTCGTTGTGATAAAGAGAGAAGAAGTACTTGTACGTTAAAAAAGAAACTCCGTTTGACATTGGTGGTTAAAGGGATGATTTATTTTACAGTTCTACTTTTTACTCTACACATACACACAAAAAAAAGATAATGCAATATCTATCTAAAACCAGGAAGAAACCCAGGAGCTAAATGTATTTGATTGTTCTTCATCAGGACTTGAAGCAACAATGCTGGCATCCTGTGTTGATTCCTTTATTTCCTCAACTTGCTTAGCTGTTTCTTCTTCTTCTTCGTCATCATCATCAATCTCATCACCATATACATCAGGGTGTCTACGGAAACAATCTTGCATAGCCTTGAACTTTTCGACACAGTCTAGACCTTTTGGCTCTGCTTCTGAAAAAACAAAACAACTGAATGCTGCCTTAAAGTCTTCACCACATGGTCCCTGAGCCATACCTCCTAGACCTATTTCAAGGGGAAGAGTGTTGGAATGAATGTGCAATAATGATTCATATACAACTTACATGGACAATCCCAGTTGATCTCTCCCGTCTCTGGATTGAATGCAGCTGCTTGACTATCAGCTTCTTCCTGTTTTTCTTCAACAACAGTGGCAGCATTATCAATCTCTTCTTCTGTCACAAACTTGACAGTATCTTTTCCTTCAACGACAGTGGACATGTTTATTAAAAAGAAAAAAAAAAAAAGGGAACCCTGTCACATTATGCTACAAGTTTCTGTGAAATTAGTAAGCTATTTAAAGCCAGACAAGAGATCAACTTATCACACTTGTCTCTCTTTACAGTTGAAATATAGTTATAAACTATAATTGACAAATAACTTTATGGCTGTTATATGAAAGGTCATTAAGTGTATTAGATGCTTTATTTTTTTTTTCAGTCTTTCTTTTGTGTATAAATATGTACAACATATGAGTGATTAATTACAATAACAATAAAAAAAAGGGGGGATGAAAAAGGGGAGAAAATTAAAGAGAACATATAAATATATCGTAAATCATAAGTTTTGGGAAAAAAGGGCTTAAAAATAAGGTACCATGCAAAATTATGTAATGTGCTTGAGAAAATGTTTGTGCGCTCGCGCATATGGGATTAAATAAAGAAAATTAAAAAAGGGGTAATTAAAAAGATGAGCATAGAAAGAACAATGAGGAGTGATTATGAATAGATGAAAATGATGATATATAAAGTGACAATTAGAACTCAGAGAACCAAGGGTGCATCAGGACTTGATGGATGGTAGGTCGATGTTCTGGAGATCGCTGTAACATCCATGAAATCAAGTTGAGACATGTTGGTGATACTTCAACCTTTGGCTGAGCAAATCGACCTGCAATTGCCATTTTTGTGTCATGAAAAGGAATTTCACCAAATAGAATGGTATACAAGAGAACACCAAGTGACCAAACCTCTGCTGACTCCGCTTTATAGGGTCTACCCATAAGGATTTCAGGAGATGCGAAACTGACAGTACCGTGAAACTGTGTCATTAGATATTTTGTATGATCACCATAGTGACGAGGTAAAACAACAGCAGCACCAAAGTCAATAAGCTTTACCTATAAATAAATAAGTAAAAAAGATAAAAATAAAAAAAAAAGTCCCTTTTCGTACCTGATATTGATCGTCAATCACAATATTTTCATCCTTAATATCACGATGACAGATACCAAGTATGTCAAGATAGGCAACGCATGATGCGATTTGTTGAAAGATCATTTTAGCCAAGGGTTCTTGGAAATAATTATGCTTTTCGATGCATTCAAAGAGATCACAGGAGGTACGTCTCTTGATCATGGGTGGTTCAGGCAAGTATTCTTCAATAAGTGAATCAAGAAAAGAAGAACAAGTGCTTTGAGATGTTTCTGAGAGTGCAGGTGATCGAGGAAAGTTGTTGTTGTCTGGGCTGCCTGTCCATTGTGTGCCGTGTAATTCCATGACGAGATAACAAAAGCAACGATCTTGATAAGAATCAACATAGCCAATGATGTTGGGATGGCGAATATTTTTTAAAATATAAATTTCCATTGGGATATGGCCCAGGGTGTTGTCCTTGACCCAACTGTGAGATGGAACCATATGACGATAGATGAACTTTACAGCTCGTTCAATGCCTGTCTTTCTTTCGCGTGCAGACACAACAAACCCATATCCACCCGCTCCTAGTTCTTCTCCGATGATGTAGTTGGCTAAAAAATCTGGGTGAAGTGGATAATTCATTAAACAAGCAGAGGAAGGCTTGAGTTGAGCTTTGTTATAATAATAGGGCTGGTTGTATGCTGTATTCATTGTTATAATTATAATGAAAAGAAAAAGAAATGAAAAAAAGAAGGGCCTTTATATATACTTTCAATATTTTAGGGAATATTTTATTGTTATCCTTCACATACACACGCAAAAAAAGAGAGTTCATCATGGAATGTAACATATGCTCCCTGAATAGTAATAATAAAAACAACATACATGATAGCAGATCTCTGTGTGCATTCCCTAATTACAATAAGGAATATGACTTGCTCATTTTATTCACACAGTGAGTTCATCCCTTCTTTGTCGAGGGAGAACCCTTTGAACCACGTTTATGTAATATATCACCATGACTCTCACTTGATTATTCCCCCATTCGCGCAGTGATTTATAAAGTACGGATGTGTATAAATATATATTAAGCATGCTCCACTAAAATGAAAATGTTTAAATATAGTAAATAAGGAGGTGAGGGAGAAGGAAAGAGAAACAATTAAAAAATGTGTCAAAAAGCAAACTATTTTTTATTTGTGCTTGTTGTATCTTTCAAGAACTCTTTCAAGGCCGTATAACAAAAGTTGTATTGAGATTGTGTTTGAACCATGGTTGTTCTCTGTTTACGAAATTCATCTGTTAGACAATAGACTGGATCAAAAGTAATATTGCTAGTCTTTGAGAGGACCTCTGCTGAATCAATGACACAAAATGTCCCTGTTCGGCCACATCCAGCACTACAATGAACCAGAGTAGGCTTACGATCTTTATAATATGTTCTAGCCAATTTAATCAGCGAGATCAACTTGTGAGGTTTACTAGGTACACCATGATCTGGCCAACCCAAGAATTGAAGTTGAATCACGCTAGTCTGTTTCACCAGTTCATTTTGATTATAAAACTCCACAGAGATATGTCTAATAATACAATCCGCATCCTCAAAAAGTCTTTCCTTTTCCACGTTTTTCAATTTAACCATCACTTCCTCCTCTTTCACAATTAATTCTTTTTCTCCGTCTGGCCAATACCTTGCACACTTCTCCAACTCCTTTTCGGTCTCTGGAGTGAGACAGACAATGAGGGGTACTTCATATTCAACAATCGTATGCCAAAAATCAACAATCGTGTGTCTCAGCGGTCCCTGTGCTGCAATATAATAGCGTGGAATATTGAATGGCGGTACGATGAAACTAGCGTTGATGTAATCATTTTTTCCTAATCTCCTATCTTTAAGTTCTACACAATTTTTATCATAAGGAAGAATATTATAATATCGATTCAGTTGCTCGTTTTCAATCGCTTTTTCGCATGTATATTCTTTTAGCTCCTGTCTACTTTCTTCTAGTGCAACAATATATCTAAATTTTGACATTGTATATTGTTGAAACTTTTCACTATTTTTTGTCAACTTGTTAAGATAATCCATAGCGTTTGATGTTTGCTTTTTAGATAGAAAAGGTGACATTATTAAAAAAAAAAAAAGAAAGAAAAAGAAAAAAAATGGCTGTAGAGAAAGGTAAGCGTTTATAAAAAAGGAAACTGTCACAGATGTGTGTTATTTACATTGATAAAATGACTAGGAAATTTGAAGCAAAAAAGAAAAAATTTTAAATCATGGATTGAATGAGTCTATTGATATCAAATTCTCGATCACCCGCGTCTCCTCCTTCGACATAATGTTGAAACTTGTGTGGTTTCCAACTGACTTTCTTATGTCCATTAGGATTACTTAATTTAAATGGCCAAAGAAAGTTATTGACTTGCTTGAAATGATCTCCTACTGTAACTATTTCATGAATCACATCTTCTACACAGATAATCCCAAATTGTCCGAGATGATCCTTGATTAATTGATTATCTGTGATTGGTAGTCGATGGCCTTCCTTGCTTTTGATATATCCACGCTTATAAATCAATTCACGCACCGTCTTCAGGTTAGGAGGTCCATAGGTTACATAAGGCTCAATAACCTGAAGCATCTGTTGTGTGGCTTTATTCACTCGAACAAAGACACCATTGTTGATCTGTAAGAGTCGAAAGAGTTGAAGCACTTTTTTTACTTTGGGATGAACATCTGTAATTCCTCTGATCCGAATGACAAATAGTAGTGTAGGTTGTGAAGGTATATAAAAGTTGCCTGCTTGTTTGGCCTGACGACGTAATCGAACCGTATCTTGCTCTTTTTGCCTATACTCTTTCACATAGGCATCAGCCTTTTTAAATATAATTTTTCTATCGTCTTTCTTTTCCTTCTTTTCCTGTGCTAATTGAAGTGCTCTTTCTGCATTGGCCTTTTCAGTCGTCCTTTGCTTTTTTAATAACGTCTCTGGTACATATACTTGATCACGTGTAGGCGTTCTATTTAAAATAGTCTGTAAGGATATTTCATAGTTGAATATGTGGACCAAACAAAATTGTTTACGTATATGACATAGTGGCTCCCAAAAAGACAAAAATAAAAGAGAGAGAGAGAATGGAGGCTCCCCCCGCTATTCTTTGCATAGATACTTAGTCGTATCTGATTGGATAAATCTGAATTTAAACAATTAATATTTATTTAAACATCCTGACCCTGTTGGTTTTCTACTTTTTTTCTTTTCGTCTACATATAAAAAAAATGGGTATTAGTTTCTCATCCTTGTTCAATGAACTCTTTGGCAAAAGAGAGATGCGTATTTTGATGGTTGGTCTTGATGCTGCCGGTAAGACAACCATCTTATACAAACTTAAATTAGGTGAAATCGTGACCACCATTCCTACTATTGGTAAGTTATTCTAATTTATCATCTCGTTGACCATTTGACTTAGTCTTCTTATTTTATAGGTTTCAACGTCGAAACTGTTGAATATAAAAACATTTCCTTCACCGTTTGGGATGTTGGAGGACAAGACAAGATTCGTCCCCTCTGGAGACATTGTAAGATGACCAACAGAGAGAAAGAGAGAGAGAAAGGGGGAGGTCGAAGAATAAAGCCAAACTGATATCTGTTTTGCATAGATTTCCAAAATACCCAGGGTATCATCTTTGTTGTTGACTCTAATGACCGAGATCGTATCTCAGAAGCCCGTGATGAACTTCAACGTATGTTAAACGAAGATGAACTTCGTGATGCTCTTTTACTTGTGTTTGCCAACAAACAAGATCTTCCTAACGCTATGAATGCTGCTGAAATCACTGATAAACTCGGTTTACACTCTTTGAGAAACAGACACTGGTATATTCAAACTGCCTGTGCAACAAGTGGTAAGTTTTTGAAAAGATAAAAAAAAAAGAGAGTGAGGGAAGTGTATATTTACGTGTGTCTATAGGTGATGGTCTTTATGAAGGTTTGGAATGGTTATCTTCCAACTTGAAGAGACGCTCTTAAGCTTCATTTATAATTATTAGCTTATAAAATAAATGTATCATAAAGTTTCATTCCTTTTTTTTTTTGTTGAAGAGGGGAAGTAAATCATCAATCAGAAAGACAATAGACGTTTTCTGTACCTTTCTGAGTTTTTAACATGGAAATCAATTACTTGCTTTATTGCTGCAGTCAACAAGAAAGGGAGGAAAAAACAAGTGCCCTCGACAAGATCAAGTGTTACATAAGAAGGAACATACTCTTGATGTTGAATCTTTTCAAGGTCTGTAAACACTGAAAAGAATATGGGAAGAACTAACCCAGTTCCGTAATATTTAAAGAGAAAAATTAAGCCCAGAAAATCTAAAGTCAATGCTCACGCCTCATTGACTCTGTCCTTACAGCACAATAACATGGATAGTAACTATTAATGTTACACTATTAGCTATATATGGTATACAGCCTTGAAGTAGTGTTCTATGTCAGGCCTGCGGATTTCGTCAGCTTGTAAATCAATATGTAGATTAACATTGTAGAATACAAGAGAATAAAGCGCAGCTAAAAGCCATTGCCGTATTTCTACGTTTATATCGAAGAGCATGCCTTTGTCGTCAAATAATCAATATATATATATATACTTTACACAGGCCAAAGACATCTTAAATACTAACATAATACGTCGTACTAAGCTCATAGCATTGCTTCATAGCATCTGTATTCTGTAGTAGTTGATGGTGCGTCATGATATAATTCACTAGATGTAATTGGTTGGCAACATTTACTCTTGCATATAAAGATCAGTTTCTTTTTGCCATGAATTCCTTTCTTTTCTTTGTTAATAAAAGGATTAAAAAGAGACTCATTCCATCTTGTTGTACTCTTATGCTTACAAGGTAAAACTACTAGTTACGGCTTCAGTGGAGGTATGACACGATCCGGTCGCCCATGTTGGACCTGGTGTCGAATTTACCAGCAGTAGGATCTACTTGGATTCTTTCACGATTTTTGTCAGAACCTACCATATTCAGTGATGTTGCATATGTCTTACCTCAGACAGCTGATAACTGGATTCAATAAATCCTCAACATATAAATCTTGGAGAAGAAGCTTGGAGGAGCGTGCTACCTCGTTATATATCCCAGTAACTGTCTTCATATTCTGCAGCCTGCCAAGCGATCAAAGGCTTGGTTTTGGATTTTCTTCACTGGCAGTAATATCATCTCAAGTGCTTCAAGCGTTCGATGTCGCAGTCATCATAAATGATGGTGCATTAAAGAAAGAAGAATTTAGAGGATTGCTGATGGAAATTTCACCTGCAATAGTCAAAAAGAAAGATGTAAAGGAATGGCTATTATTAAAATTTATGATGCAAAACTTGGAAGAGAGCTTAGAGAAGGATGGGCAAGTGGACGTTATCCAATTTTCTTTGGATCACAAAATGGCAGCAGTAGCCAAAGAACTGAGTATCTCTATTTCAACAGCAAGAAATCTCATCAAAAAGAGGTTTATTAGCTTACATCAGTAGATAGAAGCCTTTAGATCAGTTAATTGGTGAAAGAAGGCTCACAATGTGATACATTTATTCTGACCACGCTTTATTTTCCATATATATACATATATTGGTATAAAACAAATAAAACTCTTCTTCTTCATATCTTTTTATGTTAGAACTTTATATTTCAATTCAATTTATTTAAGGGTGAGATAAGTAAATGCGCGTCTAGTTAAAGCCATTTACGATATCATGGGCGGGTATGTATCACATTTTCTGCCTTCGTTTCACTAACTGACTGATTGGTCACTAAAAATTGGATTTTTAAACACACTGTATTGCACACAATAAATTTTAGTGTAGTACTTCTACGCTTTTTTCTCTTCCTTTCTTCCTTACCTTTTTTTTGTTATGGAAAACTTGAAGATAAAGCAGTCTTTTATAGAATTGGACAATGCAAGGTGTAATGAAAGATGGCAAGATATCCCAGAACTAGCAAAGAAATACAAGAAACACCATCCACAAGAATCAGGTACATGATACATGATAGTAAAAGAACCTGAAGCTTACCCGTCTCTTCAGTCCTTGAGTTTACAGCAAGGATAGAATCTGAATTTGTACTATTGCTAAAGCAGACGAGAGAACCCATTCTGAACAACAGCCTATCGACAAATGATCTTAGAAAAGAATCCACTGTTCAATTAAGCCAGGTGATGATAAAGCAGCTGGATGAAGACTATATCCATGCACTAGACGATCCAAACAACGTCAAATTATCAAAACGACTCACTCCTAGTCAAGCACAACTCGTTCTTGTTCGATTATTAGATGTGATTCAAAGACAGATAAAATCTGGGGAATTAGAAACCCCGGATGATTGGCAAGCTCAGGTAACGATCATCAAAAATACACAAAGAACTTGAACAATATTCACAAAGAGGGCATAGTTTTCGAAAATTATTTTGGCACGAATCTATTTCGAAACGGGAAGATACGACAAAGCTTTGGAGTGGCTACAGCAGTTGGCATTGCGGCTAGAAGATGTCGAATCAGGATATGGATTGGTTCAATTGGTGCAGGCAAGAGTCATCAAGGGAAGGTGTTTTGAGCATCTCGAAAAGGATGTGGATGCTCTAGAGTCATACATGCTGGCGTTGAGCGTTGTAGAGGAGCATCCGGATGAAAAGAACAAGGCATTGGCAAGCTGGGTTGAGGATTGTCTTTATAGATCAATATTATTACAACTGAGAAGAAAGTAAGAAGGCTAAAGACAGCTTGAATTCACAGCTAACTACTGCATACGCACGCTTAGGGGGCCGGTGAAGCAGACACTAAAATTGATGCGTGCCTATACAAATTACTGCCATACTCAATGGTGGCCAGTCCATTTCCGCATACATAAACGCTGGATTATCTTCCGTCACTACATTCGTTACCTAACGCGTGCTTATCAAAAGGGTCTTTATATTCCTGCAGGTGAGGACGACTCTCTCACGTAAAGTACTTTCTTAAACCATCCAAAGGTGTACATAAAAGGAAATAATGCAGTAACTAATTGCTATCTATAGCTCCCCAGTAACATCACCTGTAAAGTCTACATTCTCCGAAAATAGCTCAACAAGTGCATCAGCATTAGATGAAACGATTCTGCTCGTAAACGAGTTTCGCGCCTTACTGAACGAGTTTGTGAAGCGCTCCTTGTCCACAGAACCAATTGATATTAACCACAAAACTCTTGAAATCTGCCACTTGATCGTTTCAGCACACGACACTGTCGGATGGGGACCAGAGGAGCATATCGAACGCATGCTTCGATTCTTTTATAAAGCACGTGCACTAACATTCAATAGTCCAAGCATTAGCAGGCACATATTTTACCTTCATCTATACCTCAATCAGCACGATAAAGCCACGCTTGCCCTGAAAAGTTACCTAGAGCTTCTTGGCCTACCTGATATTTTGAAAAAGGGAGACAACTTGTATCATGATGAGGAGAATGAGGATCATTCTTTAGCTGAAGGCATGATTTCAACCATACAACAACAACTACAGAAAGTCCAAACCGATTCCAACGACTCAGCCTCACAGTGCTTGCAAGCAGTGGAACAAAAGATAAATAGTGTATTGGCTACGTATGACGAAAAGAGTTCGGATGAGGATGAGTTTTTGCCTCCAGCGCAGTCATCACTTCTAGATACAGTGATGACCAAGAGAAAGGTTCCACCTGGAGCATGTGAAAACGATAATGAATTTGACGTCGTACGTGTGCTTTTGGCTGGCGCGCAACAGATTTACAGCTGCTTGCCCCAAAACAATGAGGGCATCGTTCTGTGTGACCTGGCCATGGCGTTACTGGAAGAAGCTGAGACGTTAAAGAAGAAAAAGATGAACCAATGGAAATTGTTGATGATTCAATGTAGACGTGCGCGAGGCTGCTCTTATGGACTATATGCGTCTAAACGTATGCCCTCTAGTTTCAATTAAAGCTTGATATTAACATCTTTGCTTATAGACAGCGAACCGGAAAGAAGGCTGGAATGCTTCAATGAGGCGCTTGTTTCGCTTAAACGAGCATCCGAGCTTGATTCTCGCTCATGGCAGACCTTCTATGAACTCGGTTTACAGCAAGCCATAGCAGGCAACATGTCACAGGCCATATCCGCTGTTAAACGCTCGATTAAACTGAGAGGTGATTTTATCCCTAGTTGGCATCTCTTGGCGCTCATCCAGTCATCAAGAGAATTCCAAGATTTACCCAAGGCACTCGCTATCGCGCACACCGCTGTTACATATAACGCAGACATTGTGAATGAAGATGATGAAGATACCAGCAGTGAATTTTTTGAAAGAGCAATAGCTTTTATGAAACTGAAAATGAGTCAGATGTACATACTAGAGGCAATTGAAGGACATATACCCGAGGGATACATGGATCTTTTAAACTTGTTTTATAAAATATCTAAAAAGCTTAATTTGATTGTAACGCCTGTATCGTCTAACTCTAAGCGGCCTTCCGTGTATGGACACAGCAATTCGAGTAGCATGGTAATGAATAGTAGACAAAGGGCAGGCTCTTACAGAATCTCCAATCACAGCAGCATCTATAGTAATAACAGTAGCAGCATGAGTCTTTATGCTATGGAAAGCGTAGATTCGCTGCATATGTTGCAAAATGATAACGAGGAAGAAAAGGAAGACAGCAAGCTGGCACTGCTGAAAGTGGAAGAAGTTCAAGAGGAAGAGCAAGAGGGAGAGGCAGAAATGCAACAGCAAGCAAGTGAAGAAAGCGTATCCAGATCAACATCCGGCACTCCAATGAGTGACAAAAAGCGTAGTAGACGATCGTTTAGTTTATCTCGACCTCAGCTTGAAGATCCACTACTGAGCTTGCCAAGTATAAGAAAAAAGAAAGAAAAGTCAAACACGACACAAAAGCCAAGAAAATCCATCATTTCAGGCTTAAGGGCATATAGAAACAGCATTAGTGGGTCTAAAGGTAAGATTGTTCGCATCGCTTGTAACAAGCATAAAGTAACTTTAATACGTTTATAGAAGTGGCATCATCAGAAAACAGCTATGCTTCTGTCCATAAAAATGAATCCAATGCAAAGCAAGCGGAAATTAACATTGTTACCAATCAATCAACTTCAGTAATACAACAGCCAGTTGAGGAAGAACAAAGCGAGAAAAAGATAATCAACATACACCCAATTGATTATCAGAATCGGTGGAAACAAATCCTAGTGAATATTTGGATTATGACCAGTCAAAGTTACTTGAAAGACAAGCAATATGAAGACGCAGTCAAGGCGATTGAAGAGGCCGATCAGTTAACAAACGGCGAAAGTGCCCAGGTTTGGCACCAAATAGGGCTTATTATATTAGCTGCAGAAAAGGGCAATTACCATAAAGCTATAGATGCATTCAAAATGGCTCTAACTATTGACAGCGATCATGTACTATCAATTATTTCGTTGGCGTCTGTGTACCTGGATATAAACCAATATGAGTTAGCTGAACAGTTGCTGGAAAAAACAACAAAGGGGCTTGGATGGAATCAACCAGAGGCTTGGTAGGCTATAGGCACCTTTCATGTATGAAACTATTATTAATCTATCTATTTAACAGGTACCTGCTAAGCAAGGTGTACATGAAACAGGAGAGTATGCTGGATGCCAAACACTGCTTACTGTATGCTCTGCAGTTGAGTGAAACAGTTACTATTCAACCTCTTGATGGTTTTCCAAGATTTGTCTAAGTATGCAAACGAAACGCTTACTTATTGCTATTACTACTTTATTTATAATTTATAAGCTTGGTCAAACTTGTACTGATTATAATTTAAAATAATAAAAAAAAAAGATAACTTTATCTAAAAAATAGTAAATGTAAATACATAAGGATGTGTGTAAGAGTAAAGGCTTTGATCATGCATTCAAAAGCCTCAATAAAGAGAGAAGCAAAATTTCATACTCTAAAGGTATAATGATTATAAACTAGGAGTTGGAGACGACTGATATTTTTTAAAAGGGCTGACTCTTGTTGTCTTCTCAGAGGACCTGTCTGCAGAAAATTCAAAAAATGCATTAGCCATGTTCTCCCTTTTCTTTTCTCTTCTCTTCTTGCAAAAGTAAAAGAGACTAATAGCAGCAATAATGCTAATTCCAACTACCGTGCATACAATGATGATGATTACTTTTGTGGGCATTTGATGACTATTGGTATCTTGATCAATAAAAGTAGGTGGCAAATGTGCTGGAGGCATGTTGTTATAGCTGTCTGCGTAATCATTATTACCTTGTGGCCAGTTGTTATTTTGGTTACTATTGTTGTTATTATTGTTGTATGGCATATTGCTGTTACCAGTAGGGTTACTACTGTAGCCGTTGCCGTTGTGTATGGCATTATTATTGTTATTCTGTCCATTATTATTACTATTATTTGAGGGATAATTGCTACCGTTGTTATTATATGACCCACCACCATTGTTACTGTTATTGCTGTTGTTGTTGCTGCTGCCATTACTATTATTATTACTATTACTATTATTATTGCTGTTGTTGTTAGAATAGCCATTGTTGTTAGCGTTGCCATTGCTATAGCCACTGCTGCTTCCATTGTTATTCCCGTTATTATATGGCTGGCCATTGTTTCCATTATTATTACTGTTATTGTTACCGTTGTTGTATTGGCCGCCTCCATTACTGTTGTTATTGACGTTACTGCCATTATTATTGCTATAGTTACCATTATCACCATTCCCATTATTGCTATTATTATTGGCGTTGCTGTTAGAAGACCCAGTAGGACTTGGCGCGTATCTTGAACTTGTTGTCGTATAAGAGCTATCGTCGCGCTTGACAAGTTGTATACGCATATTTAAGAGAAAGAAAAAGAGTTGAATTATCCTACTTTCACGGATGGACGTTGTATTTATTAAATTAGATATATTCAGGAGGCACAGAGAATATAGGGCGGTATATCTATCAACAGTAGCCGAAAGGAGTCGATAAATATTGCAAGGAGGTGTTCTCGCAACTTTTTACCATTTTTCTTTTTTCCATTTGCTAAACTTCCCCTAAAAAAATATACCATGAAAGTTTTACAACAAACAAATATAAAAACATGTTTAAAAATAAAGCCTGCATGCTTTATACACACACACATTCAGCCGTAGTTTGCTCTTTATTCGGATTTGCCTACTTCCTTTTGCCTTTGAAGTGTGATTTAGATACAATAAAAAATGCAATATAACGTGGCCAATCTATTTTCCCACTAGAATAATGGTAAAACCAAAGAGCCAACAACTCCCATGGAGAAATTCAGCCTGCAGGAGAAGAAAAATATCGTATTTTTCTAATTTGATTCGAACTTGGATTTTTTGCTGAAATAAGGTTTCAGGGACGCTGATCCTTGGCTTCTATATTTTTCCGATCGCCAAAAACGAAGAAATATGATACTTTTTGTCGAAAAGATTGAGAAAACTCAAATAGAATACTGTGTTTTTACATTGCAGCTGATGAGCTTTATCGTTTTTCAAGTTTTTGTGATTTCAATTGTCAAATAGCCTTTGATTGTACATGATCGCCATGTCTGGTCAACGATTAAAACAAGATATATCTTTGTAATCAAGACACAATATCACTAGTTATGATGGTATTGATTATAATGCAACAGCAGTGATAAGAGTATATTAAGCACAAATTTCTGATGTATTTGATGATGCGTATTGGTTTCAATTTTTAATAAAAGACTCTCATAACGTAAACTCATCCTAAGAGTACTACAAAAATCGTCGTTACTAAATAATTCAAAGAGTTTTACGATAATAGAGCTTTTTTTTCTATTTTTCATAATGTATATAGTTATAGAAGTTTATTAAGCATATATAGACAGGAGTCATTTGCCCATTTATTGAATTAAAAAGACTGCCCATATTTTTATGCAAATCTTATAGACCAGAAACATTATGCATTTTTCCCAAAAAGGGAGTTCACTATTTGCATATCAAGAGAGTAAAAAAGAACAAAGACACCTAAACTGTTTGTTGGGACTGTCTGTAATTTCATCATAACTGCGCTATTTGATTGATGTAGTAGGCAACGGAAAGGTAGCAATAAATATCCTCATGGTTACCACACTCCGTTGTTCGGTAACGTTGTGACAAAATACGTAAACCTTCTATTATATTATCGAGTACGCAATGCTGTATTTTTATTAATTGTTGACGTTAGTTTTATAAAATATTGTCGTAAAATAAAAAAAAAATTCACGTAAAAAGACAAAGAAATATATGTTTGAATAAAACGACATCATATCAAAAGAGAAAGAGATAATGAGTATATGTAAAAAAAGAGAGAAAAAGTATGTTAGTATTAGAGTACATATCCTAATATTAGTTTTACTTACCACCAAGGTGCATTCTGGGGAGGGCAGCGATAACTGCCCAGGATAGTTTAAACAAAAAAAAAAAAGGAACGGAGGATTGAGAGAACCCAGAGCACAAGAAGATGCAATTGGGGGAACGTTCCAGATATACGCCAGAGAGCAAAGAGGGCGGGACAAGCGAGTCAGAGCAAGGACCATGAGGACAGGCTAGCTTTGATTGGTGAATCTTTGAACACTCAGAGGGACACTTGATAACTGCTGTAAAGAAGCAAAAAAAGGACTCAATTAAAATGGGTTTATATGTTTTTCTTTTTCAAACAAGCTTCAGGGCCAGGTACCTGGAACAAAGAAATCATATCAAATATGAGAAATCTACATGGTGATTATTCAAGAAGATGCGTTGCCAAATATGACTACATGTTCTGATTTCATGGAAAAACCGAATAAAGAATTTAAGCTTTTACAAAGAGACTAAAGAAGGTCATTTCTAATATTAAGTTAATTTCAACTCCAAGACAGCCCACATGTTAAGGTTACTGTCAAATGGGATAGTGAGAAATGCTCTTTTTGTATTTGTTATTACACTGAAAACACTACAGCGGTTTCAATACGACATCTAAATTTGGAAAACACGACATTCAGTCTCGTTATTTTTTGAAAATACAGTATATTCATGGATGTCAAGGCTGATACTACGAAAATATTCTTGGCGACGACGAATTTACATTTCATACAGCATGAATATTGTTCTCACCATTGGGTGCATTTATTTTCGATCACAGGCGAATTTACTTTCCGGAATGGCATGATTCCAATAGCCATATGGCGGCCATCTACCTTGGTTATCCGCTGACCAGTTCTTCCACACAGACGATGACTTTCTTAGACGAATTGCTTGGTTCCACTCGATTGATTGCTCATCGTCTTGCCTCACGAGGGCTCTCGGTTCAAGGGCGCGGTTTAATAGCCAATACGTTGATACTCAGCAGAATATGGCACTGTCTACGTATCCTCACTGTACCTGCTTACTTTCTCGCCAAGATCCGTGCAATAGTTGACCAATTCATCAATTTCAGATCCTTCCCGAAGG